GTTTACATCTGTTCTGACATAGTTTACATCTGTTCTGACATAGTTTATAACTGTTCTGACATAGTTTACATCTGTTCTGACATAGTTTATAACTGTTCTGACATAGTATATATCTGTTCTGACATAGTTTACATCTGTTCTGACATAGTTTATAACTGTTCTGACATAGTTTATAACTGTTCTGACATAGTTTACATCTGTTCTGACATAGTTTACATCTGTTCTGACAAAGTATATAACTGTTCTGACAAAGTATATAACTGTTCTGACATAGTTTATAACTGTTCTGACATAGTTTACATCTGTTCTGACATAGTTTACATCTGTTCTGACAAAGTATATAACTGTTCTGACATAGTTTATAACTGTTCTGACATAGTTTACATCTGTTCTGACATAGTTTATAACTGTTCTGACATAGTTTACATCTGTTCTGACATAGTTTACATCTGTTCTGACATAGTTTACATCTGTTCTGACATAGTTTATAACTGTTCTGACATAGTTTACAGCTGTTCTGACATAGTTTACATCTGTTCTGACATAGTTTATAACTGTTCTGACATAGTTTACATCTGTTCTGACATAGTTTACATCTGTTCTGACATAGTTTACGTCTGTTCTGACATAGTTTACATCTGTTCTGACATAGTTTATAACTGTTCTGACATAGTTTACATCTGTTCTGACATAGTTTACAACTGTTCTGACATAGTTTACATCTGTTCTGACATAGTTTACATCTGTTCTGACATAGTTTACATCTGTTCTGACATAGTTTACATCTGTTCTGACATAGTTTACATCTGTTCTGACATAGTTTACATCTGTTCCGACATAGTTTACATCTGTTCTGACATAGTTTACATCTGTTCTGACATAGCTTACATCTGTTCTGACATAGTTTACATCTGTTCTGACATAGTTTACATCTGTTATGACATAGTTTACATCTGTTCTGACATAGCTTACATCTGTTCTGACATAGTTTACATCTGTTCTGACATAGTTTACATCTGTTCTGACATAGTTTACATCTGTTATGACATAGTTTACATCTGTTCTGACATAGTTTACATCTGTTCTGACATAGTTTACATCTGTTCTGAGATAGATTATGTTCCTTTTCATTACATAAACATGGGATTAAAATGAACTTATGTAACCTCAAAAACTCTAATCTCTTTGTTGTTATTGTGTGTACCTTTCCTTACATATGTAACCGATACTTATAAAACCACTTGATCTATATATACACAGTACAGTTGTATAAAGACGCGTCGGTATAAAGTGCATGATGAAATATATAGTTGGCAATGTTTAGACTGTTGTCCATTCATGTGGAAAATATATACAAACGATAGAGTCACACAATATAAATAGTATGGTAACTTCCCCTAATAGATTCAAGTGGCTTAATACAATTAATAAAGTGTAGTTTCTTTGGTCTATTTGGGGTTTTAATTTCCGCATAGAATTTGATACTCCTCTCTTAAGCAAAAACTAGGCTTGTAATGTTGATTGAAGGAAGAGTATATTTACACTGTACAATCAACGGCCCACTTCGATAACCATTATTTGATTAGCATGCTGAATATGTAAATAACAAAGTCCCATTTCATGTAATGACGATTGCCGATTGCATTCAATGCTTTAATAACAGTATGACGTCATTCACTTATTCAGCTACTTAAGTGTTGTTGAAGGACAAATTTTCTCCGGTATATTCAAGTACGTATTGTAATATTGTACATTGTTTCAAATGATTGTTTTCAGCTTACACTAGTAAATAACAACTTTTAAAACAAATGTAGTAAAAGATGGTAAAGTTTATACCATAGGTAGATCATCAATTTAAAACTGCATTATACATGATAAAGACGAGGAGAAACAATTGTATCTGAATTTCAAATATATCATTATTGATTGACTTTTGTTTGTTTATGGGTGAAGGTTGTATTCCCAGATTTATTTATTTATTTATTTGTTTATTTATTTATTTAATTAAAATGCAAATGAAAAAAAATGATATCCATGTTTATTGAAGACAAGCTTACCAATTGAAAGAGCAGTAGTAAAAATGTACAAATGTATACAAAATCAAAAACGAGAAATAAAATGGTTATCATTGAATGATGTAGAAAACAAGCAAAATGAAAGAGACCTCACAAGATAGACAACCATGAAACCTGTTTTCAAATTTAACATATAAACAACGCTTCACTATATTTCATACACAAGAAATAATATAAAAAACATAAAAACCTGAACCCATTAAAGATACTTATAATCACTACATAGGTTATATATACTTATAAAACACTACATAGGGTATATATACTTATAAAACACTACATAGGGTATATATACTTATAAAACACTACATAGGGTATATATACTTATAAAACACTACATAGGATATATATACTTATAAAACACTACATAGGGTATATATACTTATAAAACACTACATAGGGTATCTATACTTATAAAACACTACATAGGGTATATATACTTATAAAACACTACATAGGGTATATATACTTATAAAACACTAAATAAGGTATATACATTTATAGAACACTACATAAGGTATATACAGAGATACTGACACCTAATACACGGTAATCATATATATAGACTCGTCAGTACGGATTGTATGATGAAATATATAATTGGCAATGCTTTAGCTATTACCCATTCATGTACAAACAACGTAGTCACTAAAAATAGCACATGTGATCTTTTTTCGTTACGTTGGGGAGTTAAAGACAATTATGTTAAGAAGAACACTTCCGCATAGTTTTGTACCGTGTTATTGTGCTAGGACATTAAAATGCAGAAACCAGAAAGTGATTTTAGATCATCCAACTCGTAAAAGACGTATTAGGGGATTTAGATCAATGCAAACAGCTTCCAGTAAATGTATATGTTCTCACCCATCCATGCTAGCATTCAGATCTCGGAAGAATTCAGAACTGACATATATTAAGAGAACGAAAATCCACAAATGCCTGTAACAAAAACAACACTGCTCATTGAAAAATCCGTATGAAAAAAACTACATAATACAACTCCTTCGTGCCAAGTGGATCCAACACACTGATGAATGGGATCTTAAGCTACCAAAAAATTCACCGAACATTATACAAAAACACAAGTGAACAGCGTCTTTTGATACAAATTTGGAATTAGATACAGTAAAGCCAAACTATAAACTGAACTGCACCACACAGTTTTGACTATGTAGGACTCCTCACTGATGCTAAGAGCCTAAATTTTGTTGCCTACGAGGCGAGGAAAAAAGATAATTTAAAGTGGGTGGGGGTAATGTGTCACTACTTGACGGAATTAAACTAGTTATGAAAAGAAACAAATCGGAAATGGCAATCTTTACAATATCAGGATTTTTTGTTCATTTTTTCTTTTTCCTTTCTTTCTTTCAAAAAAATATTACCAATGCATATACCAGTAATGTAAAACAGTACTTAAGTGATAGTAATTAGTTCCAATTATTACGATTTGCCTATTTACATCAGATAAATAAGATCAGACCAACACCATTCCTTCGACAGTAAATGACACAATCCGTGGATTTCCACAACCCACGTCCTGTCATTATCAATTTATTTTGACCTACATACGCGACGTCGCGTGAAGCGTCATAATACCATATGTGTTCTATATAGGGTAGGCTTATTGACATTGTTTCCAATACCTGAATCATGTCTGGCGGTTCCGTGCAGTACACTAGTATTGAACACAGTACGGGTCATCAAGGCACAACCTGAGTCACTAGCTAAAGTACCAGGGTCTACTGTTCAAAGCATTGCCATCTTAACACTGACTTGCTTGTTTTTAGCATTTGAGGAATTTTTGCGAGTGATAGGTTACTGTCCCTGCGAATGTTTCTTTTATACCGTAAATCTCGAAAAAAATAAACTGTTAATTATCTTCAATAATAAACCAATGTAGGTTTATGAAGTTTAAGAAACTACAGACTTATCTTTTAGGTCACCATAAAATAACTATGAAGTGAATGAATGTTTTTGCCGCAACTGAACTGTCATTATTGTTTAAGTAACTATGATTTGACTTAAAACTTAAATATCTATTCAAAACTTCATTTAAAAAACATGTCAAAACGTAAAACGTCCCGAGGAAAATGTGCCGAAATAGTTTACAAAAGATAAATGAAAACCCCTTTTAATACAGGTTCAAAATTAGATACAATAAGATTTTACAAAGACACACAAATGAATAACACCTTTCCATACAAATTCAGAATTTAAAGCCTAGGAAATAAAATGAAGTTAACTGCATAATGTACAATCAGGTGGCGTACTCGCCTTTCACCTAACCATCCGGAGTTCGATTCCCGGAACCGATGTGAAAAGGTATTGGGTTACCAACTCGACCACATAGGTTTTTCCCGGTTCTCCGTTTCCTCCCACAGTAGAACTCCTCGAACGCTTACATCAGGGCACAAAAGAGAGTTTGAGAGCAAATGTTGTAAAATAAATAAAGCTTATATGATATATTATAGATTTTAAATCTGAAATCATATAAACAATATGTATTGGCCAAGAACCCAGTTTCGGGAATTTCTTTTGCCGACAGAATCTTTAAATCAACATGTTAAACAGAAGATGATAATACACTTTATTATCGATTAGTTTTGCCTTTTAATGTATAAATTTAGTACTCTCCGAAATGAAATGTCACTTTAAGATGTCATCATCATTTCTTGATACTCATGATAAGAACACAACTTTGGTCAAATGAACGACGTGTAACTCGTATCTAATGCTCAAGAAGTTTCAAATATTATTTACGAGTCCAAGAATTCGTCCGTATCAAGGTGATAACCAATATTTACATGGACAGTCACGTGCGCCAGATAAGAGACCCGTGTTTGGGTACGGAGTTCAATCATGTACTGAACAATCGGGTAAGTTGATGTAGTAGGTTGTGTTTATTTACATTTTCATCGAGAAAAAATGAAAATCCACCTAGCCGTTTTGATGTTCGTTATCGGCGTATCTAGTTCCGATACCAATGTCGTTATTCAAACTCGGCTCGGTAAACTAAAAGGCGTGAAAACGGATACTAATCTCAAGTTCCTCGGCATTCCTTACGCAGAGTCACCTACAGGCAAATTAAGGTAAGTCTGGAGCATGTTAATCCTGTTATTTGGAATATCGAAAAACAGTGTGTACATATCTTCTTATCAAGAATAATCGTAAAAGAAAATCCCTCGGTTTTTTTATGTCATTGAGTCACAATACAATTGATATATGCATTTAAATATCAATAAACCGCGACTTAAATTTTTGTTGTTGTTAATGTTTAATTTACAAAAGCCGCATTTTTTTCTAATTTTTATATATAGCTATTTTTAATGTGACTCATGACTCCTAACGTTCTTTCTGGAGATATTACCATTGCCTTTGCTGTGCCATTGCGTCCTTCTGCGGCAAAAGGATCTTACGTTTGGCAAAGAACCTCATTTGCAATATGACTGAATTCCGTGATACAGATTCATGTGTCTTTTTATTATTTGTATTACACGTTCTAAACATATGTAATTATGTAAAGTAATTCCTACAGTTAAAAAAATCTAGAAGTTTGATACAGTAAGTTAAAACGTCATCCATTGGTCTAAAATATAGATGGGCGGATCCAGTAGCGCGGTCACCATGGTCACCAAGTGTGTATGACGCAACCAAGACAAAGCCCGGATGTCCACAGAAAGGATGTTTTGATATGAACCCAGCTTTCGTTTGTCCAACTGAAGTAAATTGTGTTTCCAATTTGTTTTAAACATATCCACATGAGGTAGATATTATGCCACATTGATTCAAGACAGGAAAAACTGAGGAATTTCAAATGAAGAAAATACCTTTGAGGAACCTTGTCAGATGAAAGCACATAGTATGAATGAGAATTAGAATTGATGGTCGGTAACGCATAAGGCTTTTATCAAGACGACCGTGGTTCGATTTACAGCCAAACGTGAACACTTTCATGTTAACCCCTCGGATAATATTAATCTACAATGTAGCAATCTAAAGTGACCATTACAGGTTGATCACACTTCAAACAGATAACCACGTGAAGTATAATTTATCTATCTTAAAATATGAACCCAATGAAAATCCTTTCGCATCGTCCCTCTTATCTTGTGCAGTAAATAATGAATAATTGTTACTCCTATTTTTCCAAATCAATAGTTGACTTATATATAGATATTTTTGTTTATATACCAAGGTATCTGAGGATTGTTTGTACTTAAACGTGTTTGCTCCAGTTACCGCAAACAGTTCCTCATCAAAATATCCTGTCCTCGTGTACCTCCACGGAGGCAATTTTGTCCATATGAGCTCCAACGCTGTGCTGTTTGACGGCTCCGTACTGGCTGCGAAAGGGGAGATAATCGTGGTTACACTAGACTACAGGCTAGGTATGGCAGATAATCATAAATATATTAATTGCATTTAATCGTAAATATATTAATTGCAGATAATCGGTATTTCACTAGAAGGCCATAGACTCGGTTAATAAAGATGACCGTCGAAAGACTATTGCACGTGCTAGGTAAGGGCAGACAATCTGTATTATACCAGTAGGCTACACGCTAGGTAAGGGCAAATAATCGGTATTATAAAAGTAGGCTACGCGCTAGGTAAGGGCAGACAATCTGTATTATACCAGTAGGTTACATGCTAGGTAAGGGCAGATATTCGGTATTATAAAAGTAGGCTACAGGCTCAGTAAGGGCAGATAATCGGTATTATAAAAGTAGGCTACAGGCTAGTTAAGCTAGTGTTTTATATTACATGGTAGATATATAGGACTGTTCAGGCCCTATTTTATCGCATGCAAGGCAATAGCAGTCATTTACCTTAACGAAACTTCCAATTGGCCCACTAGTTTTTGATAGCTATTATAACCTCGTAATTGAAAGTGGGCAGAGAAAAAGATCGATTTAATGGATGACAGTGACCTCTTAATATGTTTATAATTGTGTAATAACTTGCACTTGATAGCCAGTATTTAGGATACAGTGGCATGTTAAGAATTTGAACCCTGACGCAAGCGATGAATATCAGTTGTCACAGATGGAGATATACAGTATTAAGTATCATCTCTCTTGTCTCTGCGCTTTTCATTCAAAAATCACGTATCTCGCAGATGATGATGACAAAGAGCACTTTATCTGATACAGGTAGTCTAGGGTTCCTAGTAACCGCCACATCAAACATGGCACCGGGTGCCCGGGGCAACTATGGGATACTGGACCAGCGATTGGCGCTAAAGTGGGTCAAGGATAACATCCGAGACTTCGGCGGCGATCCAAATCAGGTACGATTTAATATCAAATAAGATCTATGATTAAAAATGTTTTGTTAATTCTGTCAAGTTAGTAAAAAATTTAAATCTTAAGCTATTTGAACATCGGTCAGATCGACTCACTGCGTTTCTATCTTTTGGAACTATGGCCACAGAGTTCCTCTGATCTGATTTGATAGTGTCCAGAAAACGCGCTACTGAAACCCGTTTTCTGTTTGAACCAGGTAACACTAAGTGGGCAGAGCGCAGGCGCACAATCAGCGGTTATACACATGATGACTCAGGACAGTTCCCAGTATTTCCGAAGCGTCATTCTAGAGAGCTCTCCATTTTCAATCCCATATAAAACACGAGTCGAAGCCTTGTACCTTGGCGACCTCTTGGCTGATGGACTTGGCTGTCCCCGAGGTGACGTGAACTGCATGGCCAACAAGTCTGCAGATGACATTGCAACAGTGCAACACAATATTCGCAAAGACCCAACATCTATAAAACTTCTAGACTTCTTTGAGCCTCTTGGACCATTCGTAGACGGAGTTGTCGTTCCTTATCAGCCGCTAGAGGCGATGAATCGCGGCATCATTGCAGATATACCCATACTAATAGGTACAACATCAGAGGAGACCCGAATATACGTCTATGAAGCGTGGACGAAAAACTTGACTGTCCCCATGTACTCTGCAGCACTTCTCGGAACTTTCGGACCTAACCATATCACTAAAGTTTTGGAGATGTATCCTCCTGTCCACATAAAAGACGAAAGAGAGGACCTGCAACACGCTAGTACAGATTTTATTTTCAGTTGCTCGAAACGAAATTTCTCAAGGGTTGCTCTGAACCAAAACAAAAATGTTGTTTTCAATTACGTTTTCGACCACGCGTTTTCCTTCGATGGTTGGGGCCCTAATTTCACGTGCTGCAAAGGTCATGTTTGCCATGGGTCAGAGATCCCGTATATGTTTCAGCCTGTTTTCAAAAATATGACATTGGATGCGGATGAAAAAGTAATGGCGGATTCTTTAGCTAAATACTGGTCTAATTTTGTGAAAACTGGAAATCCGAACAAAGGTGGAACTTCTCCCATCCTTCAATGGCCGGAGTACAACAATGTCACCAATTTTTCCGCCTTACAATTTTCTACACCCCGTAATTACATTGTTGTTAACGTAAAGCAAGAACTGTGTGATTTCTGGGACACAGTGGGATACAAGGCCTAAGGCATCAACCTCTACCAGAGTTGTTACTTATAGGCAAAATTACTTATAGGACACCGCAATGCAGTCTGGGAGAGACATTGATGATGAACATCATGGAAAAGAGGTAAAGAAATGTTTCATTGTACAAAAGGTCGTGGCATAAACAGTCATCATATTTCACCTATAGGCTGCTTAAATGATTGATAAGGAATCAATGGTTTAAGAAATAAAGACAGAAAAAACAGGTTGCGTAGTTTTTTGCTGAACATTTGCAGGAGAATTTGGGGTTCCGTAGGATACTGTTCATTGTACATATCGTAGCACAGCAAAATCCCTTCCCGGAAGTCTACGACTTTAATTTTACCAAATTGTACATTCTTGTAATTTCATTTATAATTTATCATTAACTTGTCATGGGCTAAAGACGATGAAAGAATCTGAATATTCCAAAATGATGCGTATGTATGTAAACTATTTATTTTACAACGATTGCGGAACAAGTTATGTCAACTTATACTAATCACTCTTGTTGGCCCAGATGTAATCGCGCGAGGGGTCTTATTTTGGGAGGAAACCGGAGTACCCGGGGAAAACCCACGTGGTCGAGCAGGTGACCCCTTACCTTTCCACGTCCGTTCCAGGAATCGAACCCCGGTCGAAAGGCAAGTTCGTTACCACTGCGCCACCCGGCCACCCGGTTCTACTGACAAACTAGCCTTAATGTACAGCCTACTTTATTAAATGTATTAAGCCAGAAGTAGAGTACATTTAAAAGTTACTGTAGACACTGTTTTCTGGCTTCAGACTAGATATAAAGATCATTGCTAATGAGCATATACATAAGTGTATATATATTTTTTTTGTTAATTCACGAATAATAAGTTGACGAGGGTAACATAACATTCATTTCTGGGCGAATTATTTCGTTTAATGACCAGTTTTTTTTTTCAATTTTGGAATTCAGTATACTACTACTACTATATACTACAGTATATTAATGGAAACACCTTGTAACTTCGCCAGGAGGTCTCTGCCTTCTTAACGACCGCTTACAAGTGAAAACCACTGACATTGTCTTCGAAAGATTAACAATCATAGAATCTCGCTTTTATTATCATCCGCAACAATTTTTTTCTAAAATCATAGATTAAGATATTGTCTAATACCGCATTCAATAGAATCACACCAAAAACGGCATCGTTCTGTTTACTTCAGTTTTGTTGAAAGGAAATTCAATATTCCGAATATTCCATACCTGGGAATCAGTGTAGCACTTTAAACTAGGACCTGTATCGGGTGAACCTGATGTAGATATTATCGTTATGAAACCATTGTGAAATTGTGAATCGGTCTCTGTTCTTATTCGCAGCCTAATGTTTTATTTGATTATCTATTTTCACCAAATATCCACGGTATAAAGATTTAAACAGGACAATAATTATTTGATGTTATAACGTTGTTGTAGGTTCAAATATTTTCAATAAACCACGTGTGCAAATTAATATTTAACGATGTTACTGTAAACGAGACTTTTCCCTAAAGCCGATCACGATTCGAAATATTCTATATTTATCAAGCGAATATGGAGATAGAAATATTTACTTCTATTTATATGTTTATATATTTCTATCTATATATCTAAATTTTTATTTAAATTCAATATAAAGTTTGTTTCCAAAATTTATTTTCATTGGAATTTTCAATTTGTATTTGAGATGATTTGAAAAAGCAAAGTCTGAAAATGAAGCTTTATAATTAGAGTAGGGAACATGTATCATTTTGTTGTTTATTTACTTATTTATTTATTTATTTACTTAAGTAACTATTTCCTAACTTTTCAATTTGTAATTGATTTCCTTTTTTAACGTGTTTACGTCCATTATTAAGGTCTATCGGTATTATTAGTTTTGATGTGTTTGGGTGTCCATGCAAGTCTGTTGTAAAGGTATATAAAAATTGCACTTACTGGAATATTTGATAATTAAAACATTCAATTCCATGTAACATATATTCTAAAAACTACATTTAGATCGAATTTGAAATATTCTCGGTCACCCAGTCGCTTTATCTCTATATAAAATTGATGGTTGTGCGAGAATTTCTACAGTTTCCGGTTTCAGTAGCACACGATTCTCGTTGGTAACATATATGGGAAGGGCGATAACTCTTAATGAACTATTTCTTGTGCTTGAAGAGCTACTGCCGGGCGCCGGACGACTGCGCTATTTATTAAGTAATAATTTGAGAACATTTCATGGTATTTTTAATTTCATTATCACAGTTTATTGCTTTCATTATTACAGATACCACACATCCATGCAAACACAAACATACAATATTAAATAAATTATACTCGCATACATTCATACAATGATAAGTAAAACTATTTTCCATGGTTTCTATTTTTCACCATTTTCGAGGTCAGCACCCACTCCCTATAGAATGAAATATTCCTAAAAATAGATTGTTGTTCGTTCGATAACTCTGTTGGAAATTATATCCTTCTTTTACTTCAAACTTGTGGATATCCCGCGAAACGTGAAGTACCGAAACCAATTAATAAAATTATTTCTCGTTCGTTTCATCGTCAGTGGTTTTGGCAATAAAGTTCCTTTTGTCCGATCCTGAGGTTTAAACTCCAAACATAGACCATGAATTACAAGCAGTAGCATTTTCGTCACATATTTGAAATTCTCTAATTACAGTGTCGCGAAAATTAATTTTATAATGAACGTTAGAATAGTTTAGGAAATAAATTTCACAGATAGCGTTAAGCAAAGATTAACATTATAGGATACATTTCATGCAGCTGAGTATGTGTTTGTTCTGGATTTTGCATCAGTCTCTTTCAAAACATCCCATAATATTCCTGAATTTCATGAGCCCGCCTTCAACGACAAGTTCTCCAACACTATAGGCCGTTAAAGCCCTAGCTCGACTAGATACGATTTCTTTGAACACAGCCTCTGTCAATGACACTTTGACGTCATAAATGCTAGAAGGACTATTGGTAATTATGGCAATTGAATTACGTATGGTAACTAGAACATGTTGTTTCGTGTCTGTGAATTCAAAATATAGCTTTTCAGACATGGAAGAACACTCTTCCGGTTTGAATCGGACAGGAAGTGCATTTAACATTTGAGTAACTGGAAAAGTTTTCATGGCGTTTACTCTGAGAATATCTCTCTGTTTTTTTAAATCAATTTCTGACGCTTCCTCAAACGCAGATGTCAGATAATAATTTCTACCATTTGCACTCGTCTGTTGCGCACCAAGTGACGACAGAGAATCTATTTTTATGTCGCGTGCTTCTGTATTGTCTTTATTTACATGAAGCACGTGCGAAGATAATTCAAGCGCCCACTGGTAGTCTTTTTCCTTATATGCGGCTTTTGCAGAGTCCAATAATTTGTTTGCGCCCACTAAACGAACCATTTTCTCGGCTTTGGTTTTTCGTGTGAATGGTGTAAGGTCAACTGCATCCCCACTAAACCAGCCGATGTACGATGTGAACACACCCTTTACCGACCAGGCTACGGTGCCGTAGAACTCCTGAAGGAAAGGATGAGCGGCCAGCCGCGGGGGCAATTTGACAAGTTCCACAATTTCCTCTTTTGTGAATCCCTGATTAATGTAGCGCACAGTCTGGTCATGCACATACTGAATTGCGTCCCGATAAGCGATTAGTGTCTCCCGGATGTAGCGCTTGCCCTGGAGGGGTCGAGTGTGGCTCGGAATCAAGTACTCCGGACCTAACTCTATCATAATATCCAAGGAGTTCACCCATTGCATGAGATCACGGGACATGGTTCCCCGAATGGCGTATAAGTTCGGAAATGCTCGGTACACATCGTCGGCACATAAAAAGATTTTCCTGTCAGCGATCCAGACTCCGATTTGATCATCTGTCTCTCCGGGGATATGGATGATCTGTACTGGGATACCTGGAAATGATGGATATAGACTAGCATTACAAACAGAGACACCAAAAACACACAATACATAGTGGGTAGGATTATATTTATAAATTTTAATAAATTTTAATAAATTTCATTCTGCCTTTCTCTCTCTCTCTCTCTCTCTCTCTTTTTTTTTTTTTTTTTTTGTAAATAGCATTCAAAATTTCATAGTTTCAAAAGTGGGTTACACAATTTTTTTTTATGGAATGTTTGACCGTTTCGTGACATCATTAATGTTTTATACGACACAAGCAGGAGCGGGCGGTCTAGGTAATGTAATTCATCTGTATAAGGCATAAGCAAATAAAGTACCAATTTCAAAATTACAACAGCAGAATTTATTTCAATAGGTTTGTTCAATTTGATAATAACCTTCCAACTGCTTTAGGTTTCAATACATTTTAAAATGCGAAAATACGGTTGTTAATTAGCATTCTAGTTGATTTTCTTTCACATTTCCTTTAGCTAATTCTGTACTCTTGTTTGCTGGCTTTTCTACCGCGGTCATAATGAACATATTTTATATGTGTTTCACGAACCTGCCATTGTGACGTCCGTGACAGCTTTGGAGACAAATTTGTTTGGATAGACAAGTCCAAAACTGTTGGTATCATACTTAAGTTTCAACCCAATCCCGGCATTCACAGATTCCGGAAGTAAAGCTCCGAATTGCCTCATGGATCTGGTATAAGTGGCGGCATTCACAGTCGAAAAGGCCCTCTTCATCTGGGGTATAACCTTCTTGTGGGCCCAGATATCTGGAGGATTGTTCACATCCTCAATAAATGACTAGAAATGATAAGTATTACTGTAGGTGTCTTTTTGTTTCGAAAATGATCTCTAACTTTAAATAAAACGCAATTCCTCACCATATCAAATGTACGAATCCGTAGAGGCGGATAAAACATGCTCAGGTGACAAAGAGGAAGAGTTCCAAACACTAAATCTGTATAAAAACCTGCCAAATGCATTATAGTTTTCACTTAAGGAAGTATGTGACGTTGAAGACATCACTGCGGAATGATTTTTTGTTCTAGTAACAATTATGCATATACATGTGATTCATGCAGTAATATTTTATTGGGGTGTTGTATGAATCAAAACATAACAATAGAACACCCCAAAATATACACAACAACGTTGCGGAAGAGTAAACATCGGCTAAATCGAATAATGACACGTTCTCAAAATGTCAACCGTGCCAACTACAGCGGAAATAATTACTTGATCTTTCATAGCTTACCGATGCTCCAATGGTGTGATCTGCGTGGCTATGTGTATATACTATGGCTTTAATTGGTTTGTCCGAGATGTTCCGAAAGGCTGCCATAATCTTGGCCCCTGACTGGGTACTTTCAGTGACATCCACAACGACTAAGCCATTTGGACCCTCCAGCAGAATGGAATTGGCTAATGCATAACCAATGGCAACATACACATCTTCGGTGACCTATACTAGAAAGATAGATATTTTACCATTATTACTTTGGGGTCACATAAGACATTAACTCTTGAATACCTACTGCAAAATTATTAATTCTCCTGGGGAACTTATTTTCGGTCATATCGTATGTACTAAATTCAATTTATTTGTCCACGAAATGATAAACAGATAAAAATTGACATGGATTTTAGTACTAGTCGATTTCGTGAGCAAGATTCATCAATGAAAACCACGAAATTTATAGTCCAACGAAAATGTATGATATTATTGTAAATGTATGGGATACTGTTTCAGGGTGGAAGCTGAATTGTTAACTGTAACATGTGCAATGACTTCGGAGACAAATTAAAATCATTGTTCATCGGGTGAATATAAATGACGGGTTTCAGTTCCATAAACATCAAAGAGCGGGTGGTATGGGAGAATTCTGGACAAAGCATTTCATTTTGAAAAAGTAAGAGAATGATTATACTTCCTAGTATACAAAAAAGTACTTTAAATGGGCAACATTACGATATTAATGCAAGGTTGAAGAAAAATCGAGGATTCTTTCTGGTCAGTATGTCCGACAATTTATACCTTAACATCTCATAACATTGATCAATGATGTAACTTTGAACTGTGTGTGTATTTCGACTCATTGATTGACATTGGCTATCATATTGACAGATTGTGAGCAAACACAGTTTCTTTATCTAACGGCGTGATATGAGCAGACGATATCACTCCAATACAAGAGCCGGTAAGGCTAATTTCATTGATTTTCATTTTGTTCGTATCATCACGCGAATGAAGTTAAAACGATGTAACGGTTTCCATGTATATATCCAAAAGGTTGTACCTTTTTCTTAAATGCAATCGTTCCAAATATAGTTTAAGTGTTACTTTGATTAGAAATTGCAGCTTGAGAAATGACGAGTGCTAAATGAAATCTCGCTAAACTATCGTGGTCCGGAAAAGGCTAAATGATGCAGTTTACTCTCTAATTTGGCTTCACTGTAGCTAATTCTTAATTTGTATTTAGTGAAGTTATTTACTTGAATGTCTTTTGTACAATCTTTGAGACTGCAGATGGTAGAAACTGCTGGTGGACGAAGTCCGCGTCGTTTGCCGTAACCTAAATACCACGTTTAATTCATACACATGGGCTTGGCCTTATACTGAATTCATCAGCTATGTAAACAAAAATGATAATAACAATTAAATTGATTTAATTTTGGTTTTAGTGAAGAATCGCTCCATCTACACTTGCATATTTTTTTCGATCTCTTTGAATTTTTTAGAGTCACTTCCAAGTTTTCAAATTCAGGCCCTTAACAATACTGACGAGTCCCTGAAGGACGAAATAGCTGTATGATGTAGGTTTATTCATCATATGAAACAATCTAATTCTACTTAATTCTATCCAACGATGCCATTCTTTTGTGTGAATTTTATATAGTCTTCATTTTTGTACTTCACAAAAGAAGATGGACACTTATATAAAGAGGATAGTTTCACGATATAAGCTTCCCGTAATAACACGACATCATCGCGTAATAACGCGGGGCGCGATAATTTCGCGTAATCATGCATTTTCCCTCAGTAATAGATTCCCGTGTGAATGCGTATGTTCTTAATTTATTTCGACCATTTAATCAGACTGCAGAAATTTTAGCTATTTTATGTTCGTTTTTCATTTGTTGGTAAAATTATCCAAGTTTCTTTGTGAAAGCAATGATCTAGTTCAGCTGATATATATGTCATCACACGAAATATGTTATTGGTTTTTAAACAATGGCGATATAACTCTGACAGTTGAAACAGACGCCAACCCTTTTGGTTGTACCGCACACATCTCACAGCGAATGTAAACGTCAAATTTACAAAGTGTTATGCATAAATTTGTCTTTCAAAAAACTGTGCTACCTTTCCTGATTTCAAACGAAATGAGATATATTTACGTGTCAATAATTGTTAAACTGTTTAAAACGTTAGATAATGGATTGAAATTTGATACACTAGTAAACTGGTAATGCATGTATTGGGGTAAAGGTTAAATTGTCAGAGGTCAACAATGAGTAGGCATCATTTGTATGTATTACATACATGTTTACATAAACTTAACCAAACACAGAAACTTGAGACTGTCATTATCGCTTTTGTGGGTATCATACTGGCCGATTAAAGAGGTATTCCATTCATCTACGACAGCGTTTACAAATAGTTTCCCGCTATGAACAATGAAAGTTTATTTTTGCCAGAAGTCAAGGATATCAAAAAAGTATTCCATATGCCAGTGGCAGATGATATCCAAGCATAAAAATGAAAAACGAATAGGAGACGGTTGGCTTCCTCTGTATTACTAGCTGTCGTGAGAGAAACACAACTTATTTACGATATCTACTGAAAAGGGAAGCATATTGTTCGAAACTTTGCCAACTTAACCAAGAATTAAAACAAAAATAAAATATTAAGTACTTGGGAGAGCAGAATTAAATGCAAAATATGTTTTCTTTACAAGGATTTACAGATCACAAGAAGACAATGAAAATTACAGAAGTAGTCAGTCAGTCTTCGGAAATTTTTTAAATAGATAAATGAATTAATCAACTGATTTAATGATTTAACTAATTAATTGATTAATTAATAAAAATGTGTTAATGACTAATTAAACTAACCAGTCTAATGACTAACGGCTGAGTTCTGATTATTTAATTTCTTTCAGTTGTATAAACATTATGTTTAACTTGCATGTTACTATATCAACGATCTTTTAGTCGACCCATACATTTCTTGAAATATTCAACAATTATTACAATTATCGCAGTATATTACTACTTGACCTTTATCACTTCCGGTTCACCGAACTCCTTGGTATGAGCGATCAAATCACGGTCAGGTTCGGCCAGTGCGAGAATCCGCTCTCTATATGAGTGACCAGTTCCGGCTAGGATACGGTTACCTAGATACAAGGCGACAATACCCAGCACTACCATAAACAATACCTGTTTCTCTTCCATGTTGGATCACCTGAAAATTGATAAACAAACATAAAATCACTTGACTTGAAATTCTTATTTATTTATTTATTTATTTGACAACGATAAATATTATTTTAAATCGCGAATTTAATGACGATATTTTCCCCGCGATAATAAGAAATAAAAAGTACCACAACATTTTGAATAAAATAATGAATTCCCCGTCTGCCTTAAATTCTCACGAGGCATATCAAAATCCATAGTGGTAATATAATTATCAATTACGTGTTAATACAAAAAGTTATTATCATCATCATTATCATTATTATTATTAAAATTTTTTTACGTTCGCTAACTTCTTAAGCATAAATCTTGTTCATCCTATCCTGTCTGTGTGCCCACAGTTTAGTAAAGGTATACTATGGACCGTGTACTGCGACCTATTAATGCGGTCAATTTTGTAAATAATCTTTTAAACTTTGTTCCATCCACGTGACTCGAATGTACACAATACATAAAGCCGTCGTCCTGCTCTAATAACGGCTAACGTCTATGGGTCACGGTTCAAAAAGAAGTATTGAGATTTTTGTAGGAAATTGGTCGTAAATTTCCGATATTTTTGAACACCGAATTGGCCGTTCATGAATCATCGTCAAACAACATGAACGAAATAGCGTTCCGCTAATATATTTATAAGAGTCATTGTTGATTGGTTCGATCGAATAATCGAAAAAAAAAACACCAGTATGTTAACAACAGTGATGTGAACTATCTGCTTTATCATTCTTTCATCATTCAATATAACCGAGGCGTGTCACCTCTGGAACGAGAGACCGCCACCTCTAACCTTAAACACCAAGGACTAACTCTCACCTCCACCACTACAGAACGCCACCTCTCACCTCCGTAAACAGGGACCCTCAATTCCCACTTCCATCATTAGAAACTGCCACCTCTCACCTCCACGAGGGACTCCATAACTAGAGAACCTTCACCTTTCACCTCCATCACCAGGAACCGTCACTTTTCATCTTATAACTAGGGACCGTCATCTCTCACCTCCATAACTAAAAAATCATCATCTCCTCTCACCTTCATCTTATGGAAATTACCTCAATAACCAAGGACCGTCATCCCTTACCTCAATCATTAGGGACCGTCACCTCTCACCTTCATCACAAATGACCGTCACCTCTAACCTTAAACATCACCTGGAATTGTCGCAAGTGACCTTCACCCCTACCTCCATCACTTGGAATTGTTTTTCAACATTAACCAAATTCCCCCTTACCTTAATTACCGTGGACCGTCACCCCTTACCTCATTCACAAGGGATCACCACCTCTCACCTCCATCACTTGGTAAGCGTATTTTTAAGTGCTCCCAATATTTGACATTCCAGCGTAGTAGTGTGTAATCTCATTTCGAGGTCGGTAGCCTTATCAATATACCTTGTTCTATTGTCGGTTACAGTTGTACTTCCCTCTGGTGTCAAGAAAGGGGACATCTAATTTGCATAACCTAGTTGATAAACCCATTTTAATTGTCTCTACCGGAGCGTGCACTACAGCGCTTCTATCCGCTTTACTGACTTTGTTTACTATTATTTGGAAATTTTAAATGGTTTAAAAATTGGTTTAGTCATGCTAGAAAATGTTTTGTTATCGTGTTTTTCACATGATCTTAATTTCATATTTAGGAAATGTGATATAAAGGGTGGTTTTTTTGCGGAAATATAAGCAGACACACCTGTGTTTGCAAAGAGAAAAAAAATGTTACTAAATTTTACGTAATAGATTATAGAAGTCAATTAATGGTTTTGAAGTACTACCTACCTGTGTTTAAACGGTGATATAATTCCGTATTGATAATTAAACTATTACAAAAACCTGAAGATACAAGAAAACACTGCTCGACGTCCACACAATAGAAAGTAGATATATGTGTATATATATCTTACCTCTAGTGATGATTTATCTATATGCGCTGGGTTACATATCGTCCGGACTTGGACACGGTGCAAATCTACCTAACACATATCAATGGCTTCCTGGCTTTATCAGGTCGTTTGGAAAAAGGTTTCGGACAAGGCCGTCGGAACCAGTCAATATTTGTATACGCAATCTCCAGTTTCCACTACGTACGCACGGGTCAAAAACTGGGCTACATATAAACGTATCTCTACGGGATAGTGCAGGGAATAAGAACGGTCTTTAATTTTACGTATATCTCTATGTATATGCTAGCAAACGCGATGACGATAATAGTCAGTTTTACGGGCAGACGCATGTGTAATCTAGCGTGCTTGTCAAGTCAAGAGTGATTTATGGGCATAAATAAGAGCTACGTCATCAAATTGCGATATTAAATTAGTGGCAGAGAGCACCGCGGTACATCTTTCATATTATAGTCCTAGTACGGAGAAAAGGGGTGGAGGCGGGTAACAGAGTCAATGTTACTGGAGTAGACGGTGTTACTGGGTCAGACCAGTGACGGTTACACAGACCAGGGACGGCCACACAGATCAGTCCGTGTTACTGGGTCAGACCAGTGATGGTCACACAGACCAGGGACGGCCACACAGATCAGTCCCTGTTACTAGGTCAGACCAGTGACGGTCACACAGATCAGTCTGTGTTACTGGGTCAGACCAGTGATGGTCACACAGACTAGGGACGGCCACACAGATCAGTCCGTGTTACTGGATCAGATCAGTGATGGTCACACAGACCAGTGACGTTCACACAGATCAGTCCGTGTTACTAGGTCAGACCAGTGACGGTCACACAGATCAGTCCGTGTTACTGGGTCAGACCAGTGATGGTCACACAAACTAGGGACGGCCACACAGATCAGTCCGTGTTACTGGATCAGATCAGTGATGGTCACACAGACTAGGGACGGCCACACAGTTGTAGTACATTTCCTGCTGTTTCCATAATCTATCCAGACGGATTTGAATACGTTTTCGTTTGTTCCAAACTTTCCATACTCTATGGGAGAAAAAAAAATGTCAAAGACTAGTTTTGGCTCTTTGCGGATAGATTTTGTTCGAGTTTGTCCTTGAACTACTTCTTTTTGTAACACCATTCCATGGTGTAAGAATGCTGTTGTATACTTTTCGTATGTAACACTCATTATCTTGTATGCCTCAATCATGTCTCCTTTTAAGCTGCGAAATGCGAGTGTTGGCAATCCTAGATCCTTAAGTCTATCTTCATCAGTTAAGTTTTTTAGTCCTGGAAGCTGTTTTGTCGCCCTCCTCTGCACTCCCTCAATTTTTTCAACGTCTTTGATTCTGAAAACGGGACTAGCTAAGTCCAAGTTACTGGGTCAGACAAGTGTTGGTCACACAGATCAGTTTGTGTTACTGGGTCAGACCAGTGATGGTCACACAGACTAGGGACGGCCACACAGATCAGTCCGTGTTACTGGGTCAGACCAGTGACGGTCACACAGATCAGTCTGTGTTACTGGGTCAGACCAGTGACGGTCACACAGATCAGTCTGTGTTACTGGATCAGACCAGTGACGGTCACACAGATCAGTCTGTGTTACTGGATCAGACCAGTGACGGTCACACAGATCAGTCTGTGTTACTGGATCAGACCAGTGACGGTCACACAGATCAGTCTGTGTTACTGGATCAGACCAGTGACGGTCACACAGATCAGTCTGTGTTACTGGATCAGACCAGTGACGGCCACACAGATCAGTCCGTGTTACTGGGTCAGACCAGTGACGGTCACACAGATCAGTCTGTGTTACTGGGTCAGACCAGTGACGGTCACACAGATCAGTCTGTGTTACTGGATCTGACCAGTGACGGCCACACAGATCAGACTGTGTTACTGGGCCAGAGCAGGGACGGCCACACAGATCAGTCCGTGTTACTAGGTCAGACCAGTGACGGCCACACAGATCAGTCTGTGTTACTAGGCCAGAGCAGGGACGGCCACACAGATCAGTCCGTGTTACTAGGTCAGACCAGTGATGGTCACACAGACCAGTGATGGTCACACATATCAGTCTGTGTTACTGGGTCAGACCAGTGACGGTCACACAGATCAGTCCGTGCTACTAGGTCAGACCAGTGACGGTCACACAGATCAGTCTGTGTTACTGGGTCAGACCAGTGACGGTCACACAGATCAGACTGTGTTACTAGGTCAGACCAGTGATGGTCACACAGATCAGTCCGCGTTACTGGGTCAGACCAGTGATGGTCACACAGACTAGGGACGGCCACACATATCAGTCCGTGTTACTGGGTCAGACCAGTGACGGTCACACAGATCAGTCTGTGTTACTGGGTCAGACCAGTGACGGTCACACAGATCAGTCTGTGTTACTGGATCAGACCAGTGACGGTCACACAGATCAGTCTGTGTTACTGGGCCAGAGCAGGGACGGCCACACAGATCAGTCTGTGTTACTGGGTCAGACCAGTGACGGTCACACAGATCAGTCCGTGCTACTAGGTCAGACCAGTGACGGTCACACAGATCAGTCTGTGTTACTGGGTCAGACCAGTGACGGTCACACAGATCAGACTGTGTTACTAGGTCAGACCAGTGATGGTCACACAGATCAGTCCGCGTTACTGGATCAGACAAGTGATGGTCACACAGATCAGTTTGTGTTACTGGGTCAGACCAGTGATGGTCACACAGACTAGGGACGGCCACACAGATCAGTCCGTGTTACTGGATCAGACCAGTGAAGGTCACACAGATCAGTTTGTGTTACTGGGTCAGACCAGTGATGGTCACACAGACTAGGGACGGCCACACAGATCAGTCCGTGTTACTGGGTAAGACCAGTGACGGTCACACAGATCAGTCTGTGTTACTGGGTCAGACCAGTGACGGTCACACAGATCAGTCTGTGTTACTGGGTCAGACCAGTGACGGTCACACAGATCAGTCTGTGTTACTGGATCAGACCAGTGACGGTCACACAGATCAGTCTGTGTTACTGGGCCAGAGCAGGGACGGCCACACAGATCAGACTGTGTTACTAGGTCAGACCAGTGATGGTCACACATATCAGTCTGTGTTACTGGGTCAGATCAGTGACGGTCACACAGATCAGTCCGTGCTACTAGGTCAGACCAGTGACGGTCACACAGATCAGTCTGTGTTACTGGGTCAGATCAGTGACGGTCACACAGATCAGACTGTGTTACTAGGTCAGACCAGTGATGGTCACACATATCAGTCCGCGTTACTGGATCAGACCAGTGGCGATCACACAGAACAGTCCGTGTTACTGGGTCATACCAGGAACGGTCACAAAAATTCTAGTCCGCGTCACTTGGCCTGTCCAAGGATGGCCATACAAATCATAATCCATGTTACAAGGTCAGACCAGGGACGAACACACAGATCATAGTCGGTAAATAATACTAGAAATGAACGGAGACCGACACATAGATTTTTATAGTCTACTGTTAACGTGAAAACTATTTCTATTCTACATATGAAAAGAATATATACGGCTTGAGGGCTAATATCATACAGAGAAGTTTTTGTTTAATTTTCTTTGGTAAAAAACACTAGTACGGGTGGGGTTCGAACCCACGCGGAGATAACTCCATTGGAACTTAAGTCCAACGCCTTAACCACTCGGCCACCGTACTGCCATACACACATTTGTAAATTAACTTCTCAGCACAAGGTATGATAACAGATATGAGCATTTGGTACATTCAGAAAGCGATATATTTACATATGGGCGATCTATACAAACTTTTTAATCGATATTAAAAATTTCACTCTTTCTAAAAATGCTATAATCAATATAGAGAAATGTTTCCGTATATTAATTAATTGATCAATTTATTAAATTAATTCAAATGTTATGCATGAAACACAATTTGAATGATGCATTTTGAAAATGAAATTTTTTTTTTTATTTCCCCATTGTGTAAAACTTTGGAATCCGACACTGTTTTTCATTCACATAATGTTAATAGATTTTCTAAATATTTTTTTGTTGAACTGGTATTGTTACTTGTTATTAATGTACATACTATATACATACTAATGTGTCTTGATCAAATATGTTAAAACTTAGGAATAATTTTGGATTTACCGCATAAAAAAGGAAAGAGAGAAAATGAAGTAACGTAAGTATTATTTGTTCAATATGTTCTTACTAGTGGTAAAAAAAATCACAAACAACAAACAGACAATCAAGCAAACAGACAATCTACACGAGAAAATAAAAACTATGGCTTATATAGTGTACAGCATCGATACCCAACTTTACGTGTCTACCCGCAACGCTGCCATTTTATAACAAAAAAGGAGGTTTATGATACGTTACTGTCAATGTCCTATATACAAAATAGTTTTACATTTGAATGTTTAATTAATTTTCCGTTGATTTTCAATATTTTAGTCTTGATAAAGTCTCATTGATTTTATTAGAAATATGATTTTGAACACGTATTACTGAGTGAACTATGCACCAAGGGAAATAACTCCTGTAAAAATCGATGTTTTAACCTTGCATATGAAATGTGGAACTCTCGTTTACTGATTGTTGTATCAGAGATGTACATTGTATGGTGCATCTCAGAGCGACGGCGGAAAAAAGTATTTTTTCTTAAAAACGTTAATTGTATGTAATTTCTAAAAAAATCATCAAAAGAAAGGTAATTTCTACTGAAGGAAAAAGGTAAATAAACAAAAAAAAACAAATAAATAAATAAATAAAATAAAAATAAACAAATAAACAAATAAATAAATAGTATTCAGTCCAAAATTTTCGAGTTTGACAATGCCTACGATCGTACATCGTTTGCCATCTTTTGATTTTCCCTAGATGGATTAGAACACAGGTATTCTTTGTCAATGTGCTATATATTGAGCTGTAAATCTGAGAGACATTGTAATGACTCCTGTTTAGAATAGTAGTAAAACCTGTACACGGATCGCATTTCTAACTTAATAAAGATGTGATTTTCTCGTCTCTGTTTCTACAAATGTCGGACAAGTGAAGCTCGTGGTAGCGATTGGCACATTTATCTCTTTACTGGTTACAGAAAAAACTTTTTTTTCTTATTTTATCATCGTTATTTAATTCCTTTTCGAGCCTTGATATTGCCTGACTTTAGTTTCTGTGTTGAGTACACTATGAGAAAGGCTTTAGGTCCTATCCACAAGCTATTACTTACAAAGGTATATATCGCTTTATGCATGCTATCGACCAGCATCACCCAGAATCTGTCCAGTTTATGGCATTTCAGTGTGATAGCACTATAATAGGGTCAGTAGTGGCCCAATAGTATGACTTTAGTTGATAAAAAATATATACCATTAAAGTCTCTAATGTTATTTCACTCAATTCCTATTCTTCGTCTTTGATAAACACGTTTTAATTTGTATACTGAGCAATCTTCAATACCGTTTGATGAGTCGCTTAGCAGTAAGTAGGTATCAAGACATATTTTGTGAATTTCTCTGGAATGTTAATTTTCTTCTCATAAGAATTTTATGAAATCGATACGAAATATCAGGAAACAAAGCCAGCCCAGTGTCGTCATTATTCAAACTTGTGTCACAAAATGACCTTATGTGCATTGTTTTACTGTATTTAAATTCTTGCCATCAAGAATTCTCAAAATGATACACAACGTGTATACATTATTTCGTTAAGTAAATCTGTCTCTAATTATTACGTTTTTGAAAGACGCCGATAAAGTTTTCATGACGATAAGGTTTACATACTGATATTCTAATGTTTGGACGTCTGTCGTTAAAACTACGTCAAAGTTTTATACAAAACATTTTTTCCTGTGAAGAACCAAACACAACGACAGAAACGTTATTTTATATCTATGTTCCTTGTTTTATCTTTGTATATGGTAATGTAAATATTGTGATATATTAAAATCTGAAAATTTACATAACAGTGGAAAAAAAAAACAAAAAAACCTAGAAGCAAATATGAGCTTATTGCGAGTTACCTCCCTTCGACCGCTGAGCATGCCGTCAACGACAGTATGACCAGCGGACTCGGCGGCTGGCCAGTGCATCGTCCGTTCTCAACCTGGACCTCAGTAGTGTTTTCTGTTCATAAGCATGGTAAGAAAAGTCAACCATCCATAAAAGCACAAGGAATCGCATACTATACATGTTTCATATGCACAAACATAGGTTGTCATCATAATTTATGCGTAAAAATACAGGATTGAACGGTGGAAACGAGGCAGACGGCAAGGACTCGCATTATCACTGCCGCTGTCTGTGTTTGTCATGTTTTATGGAAGTACCGGTCTCTAAAATCAACTGTTGTTCCAATATTTACAAGATGTGTATCTAAATGATAGTCTCCTTTTAGGTAAGTAGTTCTTGGTATTCAAAATATATTTATGTGAATGAAATCTAATGTTGCTACTGCAGTGTGAGCTAAAAATAGAACAGACAGCGATCTTATACTTAATGCAGTTTAACCAGAAGACCGACAGAATACATGTTTCGTCATTTAAAAAAATCAACAACTAGATCTGAATGATAGTCGACCGACTGCAACGCAGTCATACACGACGTGTTAAAGTGAATAAGACCGCTTTATCCGGCTTATATTTCATATACATTGGATGCACTCTCTCGCATATTAATTAGAATGCAGATGATGCTTGCAGTAGCCTGCTCTGTGTGTATCGTTTAAAGGATCTATCGATTTTAAAACTGTTCTTTGTCTTATGTGCGTCTGTAACTTTCCTTTTAAGCTACATATGCCAGGAAATTTATCATACACATTAAACTTATATGAAAATTGCATTTGCTAATTTCAATCTTCATACACAGTTATAATTTAACATATCAAATGAGGTAATGCACATTTGCTGTATTACTTTGTATAACATTGTGGGTTTGTTGATGTGAAAAAGGAATGCAGTGGTTTGTTTCTAAGTCTTATCATGTATTACATTGTAACTCATGATTAACTGTTTGAAATTTTTACCATTAAGGAATACACATATTAATGATAGATACGCCCCCACTGAAATACACAATATATTAACTTAAAATGATATTGAATTTTCTTTTAATTCTCTAATTTGATCTTTAAAGAAAAAAAATATATATATTAATTCTTTGAAATGAATTAATTATAGATTTTATGATATATATCTAAGGTCATGTCTTACAATTTAATGTAATTATCAAATGATCATTATTTTTTCCTTTTGTTATGTTTTAATTTTCATCAATATACAAAGTTGTAAACAAAATTATACTTCTCTGTAGTTTAATAGCATTAAAGAAAGGAGTGTCCATGAGTTCGTTTATTTAGAACTTTTTTTCAATAATTCAACCCCTGGGTCGCAGGTTCAAGGCTAATGTGGGGCAGTTGTCAGGTACTGACTGCAGGTTTGCTGGGAACTCCCAGCTTTCCTCCACCATCCAAAATTGGTTGATAACTTTCTTCAGGGTTGTCATTAAGAAATGGCATTTGTCATATTTCAGTAGCAAAAATAGTCTTTAAACAGCTCCTAAAAAAGTTTGAACCATGTACTGTGCAGATACAGATACATTTCTTGTTGTAAAATAAATAAAATTTATTATTTATTATTAGCTATTGTTTAACATCTATATTTAGCAGCTAGGCAACAGGAAAGTTAATTTTAGCTGTGATTTCACTATGGTACAGATCAGAATGATACTTTTCTATGTATTCAAGTTACTGAAGATTATCACTCACAGAAACAAAGACTAGCGTTTCATTTAGCGTTTGGCTTAAAATTTCACATTTTCCTTTGCACTGTTTCCATATTAAACCAAATGCAGGAATGTCCAAATGTATGCACAAAAATGATATTTGTAAAGGATGAGACAGTATTGTGTGGCATTAAGGTTCCATAACTTGTATAAAGTGCAATTATGTAAGGACATTATAAAAGATGATAAAATGTTGTGTTAGATAAGATGTTGGTCTTACCATAGCAGTAACCCCATGCCTAGTAATCACCTAAACATTTCATTGTCTTGTAATAAGCCCGCCCCCTGACCATGAGTTAGAAGATATTTGTTAACACCTAGAGCTTGTTCCATACAGTTTATAAAAGATAAAATGCAGATAAACATGTAATGAACTAGATTTTTATATGGCCTGAAATATTTCTCATGGCGACCCATTACAATTGCCATATGTCCAGCATTGTACAACATGTGTTGTGCATCGTTGTAACATTTTCAACTCCTGCACCAATTGTAATGAAACCTGAGGTCAAAGGTTAACCCAAACTGTGATGTATGTGGTTCTCAATCGCGAGGGGCTTGAGGGGCGGGGGAATAATGGGGTCAAGTTGCCTCAAATTTCACAAATCCTTTTCTCAAGGGTCACATATGATAGACAAAAAATGCTCACATTTGGCCTCTGGGGAGAGACTGCAGTATCTTAAGTTTATAGGATAAATACATTTTGTATCAAATTCAGTCTCGCTTAGAATCCTTAAAGTGACATCATTGTAAAACTATTTTTTTAACAGATTTTGTAAAACTATTTTTTTTTAACAGATTTTGTAAAACTATTTTTTTTAACAGATTTTGTAAAACTATTTTTTTTAACAGATTTTGTAAAACTATTTTTTTTAACAGATTTTGTAAAACTATTTTTTTTAACAGATTTTGTAAAACTATTTTTTTTAACAGATTTTGTAAAACTATTTTTTTTAACAGATTTTGTAAAACTATTTTTTTTAACAGATTTTGTAAAACTTTTTTTTAACAGATTTTGTAAAACTATTTTTTTTAACAGATTTTGTAAAACTATTTTTTTTAACAGATTTTGTAAAACTATTTTTTTTAACAGATTTTGTAAAACTATTTTTTTTAACAGATTTTGTAAAACTATTTTTTTTAACAGATTTTGTAAAACTATTTTTTTTAACAGATTTTGTAAAACTATTTTTTTTAACAGATTTTGTAAAACTATTTTTTTTAACAGATTTTGTAAAACTATTTTTTTTTTTTTTAACAGATTTTGTAAAACTATTTTTTTTAACAGATTTTGTAAAACTATTTTTTTTAACAGATTTGTTTTTATAATTGTATATATTTATCAAGTGTATCACCTTCTGAACAATGACAGTTGGTTTTTCGCTGATAAAGAGGTTATGAAAAGGAAAGGCTTATCTGTTGATCAACAGTCTGGATATGTAAATTTTTTTCGTCATATATGATCACGATTTTGCTTACTCTGTCACCACTGTCGCTGTCATTTGTACTCAACATCATATATTCGTGTGTACAAAATTAACGTGCTCATTTTCAAACTATTTCCTAATGTGACGGGATTTCCAAACCATAGAAGTGGTGAAGCTGGACATTTGATATGGACTGAAGATCGGGCTAAAATAAACATAACAATATCAAACGTGGAAATGTATACATACAATCAATAACAAAGTCAATGTTTTTACCGTGAGGTCCCTTTCAGATGGGATATCATTTAATATCATTACACAGCTTTTACATCGTCCTTTGTTAACAAGATAATTTCTAGCATTTCTAGAACTCAGGTGACCATTAAGGACCATGGGCCTCTTGTGTTTTAACATAGCAAGAAGTTTGAGATATTTTACTTAATCAAGTTAATTGCTAATAGTACATGTAGTATCATTTTGACTTTTGTCATATATTTGCAGATTGTACCATAGGAAGTTGGTGAAATTGACAAAAGTCTTCAAGAAGTCAACAGAATTCAGGTAAAGTGTATGATAGCTAGTTTGATATTCAAACAAACAAACAAACAAAAACAAAACAAAAAACAAAAAAAAGCGAGATACTTGTCCGAGTCAGTGGTGTCAAACTCACAGAGGTTAAGTCAATTGTATTAAACTTACAGAGGTTAGGTCAGTGGTATTAAACTCACAGAGGTTAGGTCAGTGGTATTAAACTTACAGAGGTTAGGTCAGTGGTATTAAACTTACAGAGGTTAGGTTAGTGGTATCAAACTTACAGTGGTTAGGTCAGTGGTATTAAACTTACAGTGGTTAGGTCAGTGGTATTAAACTCACAGAGGTTAGGTCAGTGGTATTAAACTTACAGAGGTTAGGTCAGTGGTATTAAACTCACAGAGGTTAGGTCAGTGGTATTAAACTTACAGAGGTTAGGTCAGTGGTATTAAACTTACAGAGGTTGGGTCAGTGGTATTAAACTTACAGAGGTTAGGTCAGTGGTATTAAACTTACAGAGGTTAGGTCAGTGGTATTAAACTTACAGAGGTTAGGTCAGTGGTATTAAACTTACAGTGGTTAGGTCAGTGGTATTAAACTTACAGTGGTTTGGTCAGTGGTATTAAACTTACAGTGGTTAGGTCAGTGGTATTGAAATCACAGAGGTTAGGTCAGTGGTATCAAACTTACAGAGGTTAGGTCAGTGGTATTAAACTTACAGAGGTTAGGTCAGTGGTATTAAACTTACAGTGGTTAGGTCAGTGGTATTGAAATCACAGAGGTTAGGTCAGTGGTATTAAACTTACAGAGGTTAGGTCAGTGGTATTAAACTTACAGAGGTTAGGTCAGTGGTATTAAACTTACAGAGGTTAGGTCAGTGGTATTAAACTTACAGAGGTTAGGTCAGTGGTATTAAACTTACAGAGGTTAGGTCAGTGGTATTAAACTCACAGTGGTTAGGTCAGTGGTATTAAACTTACAGAGGTTAGGTCAGTGGTATTAAACTCACAGAGGTTAGGTCAGTGGTATTAAACTTACAGAGGTTAGGTCAGTGGTATCAAACTCACAGAGGTTAGGTCAGTGGTATTGAAATCACAGAGGTTAGGTCAGTGGTATTAAACTCACAGTGGTTAGGTCAGTGGTATCAAACTTACAGAGGTTAGGTCAGTGGTATTAAACTTACAGTGGTTAGGTCAGTGGTATTAAACTTACAGTGGTTAGGTCAGTGGTATTGAAATCACAGAGGTTAGGTCAGTGGTATTAAACTCACAGAGGTTAGGTCAGTGGTATCAAACTTACAGTGGTTAGGTCAGTGGTATCAAACTTACAGAGGTTAGGTCAGTGGTATTAAACTTACAGAGGTTAGGTCAGTGGTATTAAACTTACAGTGGTTAGGTCAGTGGTATTAAACTTACAGAGGTTAGGTCAGTGGTATCAAACTCACAGAGGTTAGGTCAGTGGTATTAAAGGTCAGTGGTATTAAACTTACAGAGGTTAGGTCAGTGGTATTAAACTTACAGAGGTTAGGTCAGTGGTATTAAACTTACAGAGGTTAGGTCAGTGGTATTAAACTTACAGAGGTTAGGTCAGTGGTATTAAACTTACAGAGGTTAGGTTAGTGGTATTAAACTTACAGTGGTTAGGTCAGTGGTATTAAACTTACAGTGGTTAGGTCAGTGGTATTAAACTTACAGAGGTTAGGTCAGTGGTATTGAAATCACAGAGGTTAGGTCAGTGGTATTAAACTTACAGAGGTTAGGTTAGTGGTATTAAACTTACAGTGGTTAGGTCAGTGGTATTAAACTCACAGTGGTTAGGTCAGTGGTATTAAACTCACAGAGGTTAGGTCAGTGGTATTAAACTACAGAGGTTAGGTCAGTGGTATTAAACTTACAGTGGTTAGGTCAGTGGTATTAAACTCACAGAAGTTAAGTCAGTTGTATTAAACTTACAGAGGTTAGGTCAGTGGTATTAAACTCACAGAGGTTAGGTCAGTGGTATTGAAATCACAGAGGTTAGGTCAGTGGTATTAAACATTCAGTGTCTGAATGTGTGCATACATGTATCCATCTGTAGCAAAATTGATTATTGCTGGATAATTATGTGACCACATAGCTACCTAGCAACAAACACACCTGATTTTTCTGTAGAAATTAGACAAAAAAAAAGCTTCACAACTTTTGTGTTTAAACCCACTGCCCTGATTCAAGCCAGGGTGTATGATTTTGGCCCCTGAGCTGTCCCACAGTAAATACAGTATGCACGTGAATGTGTTTTTGTAGTCACCTTTGAATAGTTTGAAATGCTCATTAATTGACCAGATTATGATATTTAAGGTCAAAAGTCACACTTGACCACCCTGAAGAGTTATTTCATATCAGTATAATCTCCTGTTTAGGATATATCTGTATCTGTGTGTAAACCTTCTCGGACTTTGCCTCTATTTCACAACAATTACAGAACTATACCTAATCTTTTATATTAATGATTCTTATTTGTCTGGATAGACAATTGTATGAGATCTTAACATGCAGGCCGAGGTGACCTCATCCTGACGAAAGGCCAGCCTATAATTTTTCAATTCTATACTGTGTCTACATATTACATTGCATTAGGTTGAGGTGTTAGAAATAAGTGACCTGTATTAAGCTATCTTAACTTGTATACATAAGTGTAGTAAATATCAAGGTGTTGCACTCAGTAAAAGCATTTAAACATGCAAAACAGACTAGTGTAAAAGCTTTTAGTTGGTTTTATTTTGGTCCACTAAACTATAAATAGAAAAAAGACGTGGACTATATTATTAGTGGATTTAGTGATCCAGATATCATCACAAAACCAATTGTCAACCAGATTGCACAGTTTTGTAAAACCACAAAATTTGAGCTACAGGAAAATGTGTGATTTTACAGTATATTACTAGCCGACCTGTGACTGATGTAAGGTTTTAGATGTGACGCCATGATCTCTTCAAATCATTAGCATTGTGATGTCACTAAGGAAAGAAATCTAGGAATGAAAATCACCAGTTAAGATTTTGTGTCAGTTCAATAAGAGTATGTAAGTTATACACAGAATTTCACATTCATTTCAATTCATTATGATATTCATGTAACTGGTCATTTCTTTTTCACCTCTCATATTTGTTTCATATATTTCAAATTAACTAAAATTTGGATGTTAAATCCCCTTATTAGTTTTTGCATCGCTGTCCAAATAAGAAACAACATCATCTATGTATAAAAAATTTCTTATGAATTTTCCAGATCATGGAGTGTTATGATTCACAGAAGATAAGTGGATTTGTGTACGAGAACATCTCAGATGACGACGAAATGGAAACGAAACCTTTCCAGGTGTTAAATAGTACAACAAATGACTCATTGACAATGAAAACTGGAACAGAGGCTGTTACTCCAATGAATTTACCACAATTCAACACCAGTGTGGCACCATCTGCAAATATCTACAATATAGCACACATCCCTGTTCAGATATCCAAGAAAGAGACTGATTGTGAACAGAGCAGTAAAGATTCTGAGAAAACAGTAGATGTTTGTTGGAGTATACTCCCAACCCTGTCAGATGTTGATAGTGCCAATGAATGTAACCTAGCACTACAAAATGTCTGTTTGCCAGAACCACAAAGTAGCAGCCTTTCAGACGGCACAACTGAAGAAGTGTCTCCCATGATTAAAGCTTACGGAGAAAGTCCAGCTCGTAAGAAACGCCGCAAAAAGAACAAAACACATGCAAGGGTGACACCTAAAAAATCAAAAAAGAAGAGACAGTCAGAATCCTTTGTGTTTGAAATTGCAAACGATACAGAGGAAGCCGATTATGTATTTGTTGGAGGAGACGGAACAGAAACAGGAGAATCTAGGGTTAATGCTACAGAGAATATACTTGAAAGCAACTGTAACGTGTTTGATGAACAGAGCGTGAAGTTAGCTAATCTTGGAAAATCGGCAGAGAGTAATAAGCTTCAATCAACTCTTCCTTTTGAAATCGCTCCACAACGAAAAAGAGGTAGGCCGCTGAAAACAGCAACCAAGACAGCAACAGCTTCAACAAGTTCTATATCAGCAGATAACGAAGATTCCTACACCAGTGTGTCAGAGCAAGACCAGCAAAGAATAATTGGATTTCGTGTTGCTGATATCAATACCCAATCACCGACAGAATGTGAAAGTACAGGACATTTAAGCATGCCTCCAAAGAATTACAAGAGTAATTCTAAACCAGCTTTGAAACAAATCAAAGTTGAGCAAGACACTTCCTTTTCTCGTGACAATAACCAAGAACTTACATCAAGTTCACTAGCAAAAAGTAAAGGTATACATGGTCGGCAGAAAAAATTGAGGAGGAAAAAACATAGAATAGGCAGGCCCCCTGTGATTGGAAATTTCAAATGTGATCGTTGTGACTTGGTGTTCCAGGAACGTCCTAAGCTGATAAAACATAGGAAAACACATGTCATGCCATTTATATACTGTTCATACTGTGACTTCAAAGCTAGAAGTAGAGGATCATTTTTGGAACATGAATCAAAACACACCAAAGCTAAACCATTTAAGTGTGAACTGTGCCCTTACGCTTCCAGATCTCGAATTGACCTGCAGCGTCATCAGGCTAAACATTCAAAAGTCAAAAATTACAAATGCCCTTATTGCGACTTCACTACAAAATGGAGGAGAAATGTTTCAAGTCATCTTTTGAGCCATGTGGATGACCGTCCATTCCATTGTGAAATTTGTGGACATTCTTTTAAGAGATCGTGTGACCTGAAATATCACATCTATCGTCATACTTCATTAAAACCACTTTCATGTGAAGAGTGTGATTTTCGATGTAAAACAAATTATGAACTGAATCTCCACAAGTTTAAGCACAGTGATGTTAGATCATTTCCATGTACACATCCTGGTTGTCAACAAGCCTGTAAAACTAAATCAGATTTATCAAAACACATGCATGTTCACTCAGAAGAAAGGAAGTTCCCGTGTCCTTTATGTGGAAAATGTTTCAAATCGCCATCAGCAAGGAACAAGCACACCCAAAGGCACACTACCGAAAGACCATTTAAGTGTGACATTTGTGAAAAGACTTTCAAGGTCAAGTCGTCTCTTGGAAAGCATATGCAGCTACATAATGGTATAAGACCATTCTCCTGTGAAGTTTGTGGTCGGACCTTTGCTAGCAAGTCAAATAAGCAAGCGCATATGGTAACTCATGACCTCACAAACCGTCCCTATCGCTGTCCTCTTTGTCCATATGGAGGTAGATCTCAACAAAACCTCTTGGCTCATGTGGGTACAATGCATGGGAACTATGCTTTCTTTTGTGAATTATGCAAGAAGCCATATAAAAGGCACAGTCAGTTACAGCTGCATTACAAACGAATGCATACCAAGAAGGAGATCGAAAAATTAAAGAGCTTGGATAAATTAGACATGACATTGATCAAAGGGGAGATAGATGAAGATGAAGACACATCCGAGAATCAAACGGGTTTAAATCATCTCATGAAACAAATTAAACAAGAAGGCAACAGTGATGAAGACACAAACGCATCTCAGTCATACACTGAAAGTTCGGAAATGAAAAGTGAGTCGCCCTTGGCTGCCCGTGAACAACAGCATAACCCTGAGAGGAAGAGAAGGGGAAGACCAAGGAAAAAGGCGAAGACTAATTTGACCTCAAGTAAAAAATCAGGGAAAAAACAGAACATAGATAATGGGATTGCAGTAGAGACCACAGATAAGGAACCTCAAAAGAAGAAAAGGGGACGGCCGAAAAAGAATCATCACGGTGAGAAGCAAGGAACAGATTTAAGGGATCCAAAATGTGTTAGGCACTGCACATTAAATAATCACAGTGGACAGCGAGGTAAAGACAGTTATGGCGAGCACTCAGAAGACATTAGAGGTCATATTGGGAATGTAACAGAAAATAGTGAAGATAAACAGCCAAGTAACGATATTCAAATTGAGGACTCGACAGAAACGACACAAAATGGACCGTCAAATGGCTATCAAAGTGGACGGTTAGCTGAGGACATTGAAAGAGGACAATCCGTGGACGTTTTTCAAGTTGAACAGTCCACAGGTAAGTGGCGCAGTGAACAGTCAACTGAAGACGTCCAAAGTGAGCGTACAACAGAAAAAAATCAAAATAACAAGCAGTCTCAAAAAAGGGGAAGGGGAAGACCGAAAAAGAATCGTCGGAGTGAGAAGCAAGTTACAGTTGAAAGTGACTCGACTGATAATGGACAGAAAGGTAGTGATAGCAGACAGAACTTTAAAACTGAACACTTAACAGACTTAAGTCAATGTGGACGTTCACTAGACAGCGGAACAAGTATAATAAATGGTCGTAGTGGACATCGTGATAAGGACAGTCAAAGTGAGCAATCGGTTGGCAGCGACAGTCAAATGGGGAACACAACAGAAAAAGGTGGACAGTCCAGTGACAAGAGTCAAACTGATCACTCTACAAAAATGAATGACGATGGACAGTCAGCTGGTTATAGACAAATGGAGATCTCTGCAGAAAAGGGTAACAGTAGACAATCAGCTGATGAACACTCAACAGAAAACAGTCAAAGTGAAAGGTTAGCTGATGACAGTGAACATCTACAGTCTGTTGACATTTGTCAAAGTCAGCTTTTAACAGAAAATATTCAAAGTGAACTTTCAGGTGACAGTGATCAAAGAGGGCACACAATAGACATTTACCAAAGTGGGCCTTCCTTAAACAAAGGTCAAAGTGAGCAAAGTCGTAGTAGGGTCGATAAAGACACTGGCATCAGTAGGCACTTGGAAGACAAAGGTATTGATACGCAAAAAACAGACAATGGTCAAAGACGGCACTCCGTAGATAATTGTAACGGTGTACATTCTACTGGCAACTTTCCAAGTGGTCAGTCAGTGGTTATTTTAGAAGACAACAGCTCAAGTGGAAACATAAAAGAAAACAGGAGTCATAGACATCTGGAAGATACCAAAGATGACACAACAGAAATGCACGAGGGTATTAACGAGATGGAGTACTGTGTACAGGATAAAGCACTTGGCGATACTATCAATGCCCAACTATCTTCTGTCGCAAGCAATGCGGTTAAGGAGCCAAGTGTTGAAGAAAATGACCCGATGCCATCTGGAAATGCTGAGAACGAAATAAGGTCTGATGATCAAGCTGATTGTGAAGATTCTGGAGTTGATAGACAAAGAAATTGCTTCGAGGAAAAAGATCCTAAGGAGGACACTATTAAGATATCAAAAGACGAGGAGAATGTAACTGTAACCAGCTGCGTCTTTTTGATGAGTGAAGACACGCAGTTACAATCTATAAAAGAGGAATATCGACAAGAACAGCAGAAAAGTGGAGATGAAGAAGATAATCTTGTTAGCAATCCTGATCATAGTTGTCATGACAACAAAGATCAACAGAAAAACGACATTCAAATTGATTGTGATACTCTTGGTATGGAAGCAAATCAACCATTACAATCTGAAGAGAATGAAGATGAAATAATGCAATCTGCTTCACCTCAAATTGGCGCAGATCAAGTAAGTTTAGGGCAAACAGGTGGGAACACTAGAATAGACCACAGTGATGCTAGTAAAAACACACAAAATCCTGAAAATCAAGACCCTGAAAGTGGTGAATTACCAGCAAAGCAAAACCTGTCCTTTGTTCGTGATGCCACCTCCCATTCTACATGGACCAGATTTGATGATAACTTCAGGCTACCTCTTGCCACAAAGGGTTTCCGCTTTAACTTCCAGAAAAGCGGGAAAAAACCAAAATGTTGGTTTATGGATCTAGATGCTATGCATGACGAGGCCAAGAGACGTCAGCTTCAGTACTTGCGCAGGAAATCAAGCATGATGTCAGCTGTTCAAAGGCAGAGAAAAATGAGACAAGCATCATTATCGACACATATGAGGAGAAAAAAGAAACTTTTATCCACCGATCGAATGAAGGGCAACAATAAATCTCCAAGAAAACACACAGAAGGGACAACTCTGGCAAAAAAGAATTTTCATGGAGAGTCGAGAGAGACCACAGAGCCTCGGAATTGTGGTAAATTTTCCGAAGTGGGTCCTGCTCGCAGGCAGTATACAAGCAAACTGGATGGCGAAAAGGTCTCCAAAGAGGATTTGTTCAAACTGAACAAAAGTGAAGGCACCATGCTGAAACCCAAACTAGCTATCGTGTCAGATGAGGTTTCTGAGTCATGTATGCAAAAAGTGAAAGGCATCTCTATGACATCCAGACGACTACCTTTCAAAAAGAAATACATTAAGTTAGAAGTCGGTTTGGATGGACATTGTATCAACCCAAAGGAGAATTACCCCATTGAAAAAGCAACAGACAAAAACGTATCAGTCAGAAAGGAAACGGGTCATAAGGGAGTTACACAGAAAGGCGGAGTCAACACGGAAAATGAGTCACGAGATGATAAAGCACTGGGTGACAGAGCAGGGAAACAGAAAGAAACGATCAATGAAGCATTTAACAGAAAAGATCGGGTTACAGGGACAAAAAAGAATAAACATGACCATGGGGTAAAGCATGAAAAGAGGACTATAAAAAAGAAAGCAATTTTAAGGAAGACGACAATGAGAAAGCCTGGAATTAAAAGGACAAACACAAAAGGTAACATTAAGTACATATAACATGAAAATTATTTAGAAAGAGTAAACCAAAATTACAGAAGTATATCATTTGAAACATCAAAGTTTAGTTCATAGACTGTTCTACACAGCTATACACTCCAATATAATACATCTAAGTAGTTATTTCTGTTTTCCTTCTTGCTTGTTCAAACTATATATATGATAGACTGACTGTTGCTGTCAAATCTACAGTATTTCATTAAATGCACTCAACTACAGAAACAATCAATACAGTGGCAACCATGCGGGGGCGCAGCACGCATATATATGGCTAATACGGCACATACCGTCATCTTGTTCGTAGTTTTAGGTACTAAAAAAAGGTATTTACATGCAACTCTGCCGCAGCTTCCAATTCTGTAATTATGTAATGTTGGACTCGGTCACCTTTATAGGAAAAATACATGAAAAACTTTCCTAATTTGAAAAATCAGTATTGATCTGGCCAATTGCATGTTGCATATTGGAGGTGTTCATGTTGCATATATGTGTCATAAGATTGCATAAAGGGTAAAAGTTGTCTTTAATGTCATCAAAACAACTGCTGAGTTCTTTTTCTTCAAAGTTTTATTAATACAATAACAAAAAACCTGTAACATGAAATACATCATATTACTACAATACAAACACAATCTTACGATAAGATAATCATATAATATAACCACATATACATATTCATTACAACTGTAAAATCAATCTATAAATTATATAGAAATAACAGTTGGTATCCAATTATACTACATATATAAAAAATATCCTCCTCGTCAGTGTGAAGAGGGTTTTCTCGGATCCACCTGTCTGTTAAATCGACCACGCCCGATATTTGAATTAACACACTGTCAAAATATCAACTTTATTTTTAAACAAAAATATGCCTTTAATCAAATATATTATTAAATAGTTACTAGTTACTAGTTGCTAATTCTACACATAGTACTTACGTGTACAATTCTAGGCTCTAGTGCCGCTACCTCTCATGGTCGCTAGACTGGCTGTTATCATACTTCGACGATGTTGAAGCTCTGAGCGCTCTGTCCAAAAGTGACCAGTAATATTATTTATAATTTATTTCTGTAATTAAAACACATAAAATATGAATTTAATAAACTTATTCATCATTTGATATCGGTTTGACCAGAGACGTATATATCTCTGGTTTGACCAAATGCCCGCTACATAATCGATGCCGCATCATTTCGGAACTGTTATCACGTTTTCCGAATTTACAATTACTAACAATGCGCCATTTCCGGGTTGTCAATCTGCATCTATCAGCACACGCTACATTGTAGTAAACTTGTTACGTTGTTTTGTATTGTTATTATGCAAATTTGAAGAACTGGAATCTCAGTTGTAATAGCAATGTCTACAAGTACAAGGAGTCGGACTGGAAAACGGTCGCAAGAAATCCTAGGTAACTGAAAACAAAATAGCAGTTTTTGCACAATCTACAGCACTTTCATTATAACGAAAGAAAAAAAAGAGTAAATCATTCTTTAGCATACGTACGTGTTTCAGAAATAGAAGAAAGTAAATAACAAATAGTATTTACTAATAAATAGGGGTATTTTTCTTCTTGAGCTTGCATTTATGTTCCAGAACACAGCTAGCAGCTGTGATCTACGTACGATGCGGTTCACATTACTTAGTGAACTGGTCATGCTTTGTCTTGGTGTGCTGTTTTGTACGTGTCTATATTTTTTTTCAAGTTTTATATCGGAAAAGATGTACATTTCTAGAAGTTATATCCATTTTGATCCTCTTTCTCTGAATATGTTTTCTAAGTACAAATCATTCATGAAAAATGGTTTTGCTGGCAAATGAGTTACTTCTCTTATCACATTAACACTAAACAGAAATAAGGTAAATTATTCATTGATCAGATGAATTTGTATATACAATTTTTTAGGTTCAGATCTAAAATACAAAACAGAGCAAAATGAAATTAATTCTACTTGAAATTAATATGGTTACAAATATACATGCATTTTTGTAACTAATCAATGTTATCTAGTGAATGTTAAAAAAATAATTGTATTTTTTCCTTTTAAAGTTTACACATAAGATTCCTACATGTTATCAGTACTTATTCATGTCATGTGCTCCAGAGACATCTCAAGTTACAGGTCACTTCTTTGAGACAATGCTGAATAAAAGGCATTTATCCACATGAACAAAAAGATATTGTCTGGGCATCCTTAATCTCAAAGTTTCTACCTTTTAAAGAGACATAATATCTATTATCTTCAGAATCCCACAAAGACTTCTCTGGAAAATGAAAAAGTGTGGGCCATACTTTCATATTGGTTAAATTACTATAATTGGCTAGAAAATTTACTTGTTCCAGTCTCACAATACTTTGTTGAATCCAATGCAAGCCATTGGCAAGAAATCTGAAGGTGAACTGTTAACTAAATTAAAATTGTCATAAACTTGGATTGTGGATAAGGCTCCTAAAACCATATATTTATGATCTATATTTCATTTGAACATGCCATAAAGTTAACCTGTTTTATCTTCAAAAGATTTCATAAATTTACTGTTAAGAGAAGCTTTAAGTGCCTTACATAAAGTATGTATATGTTTCAAAATTCTTTGTTTGCAAGTTTTGTTATGTACAGAGTTATTGCCCTTTGTACATTAATTGATGGCCAAGTTGGGCTCAGAGGAGGGTTGTACAATTTCTTATTAATTTTTTTTTGTTCTGTTTTTGCAGAATGTGAAGTTCCTGTTGTGAAGCGTGGACCTGGACGGCCTCTCAGAAGAAAAAAATCTGAAATAAATGCAGATTCCCTAAAGAAAAAACCAAACATAACTGATGTTAAAATGCAAACAGAAGGATCTGTTCTATTGAAACTTCAGGAGAAAATAAAACAGAGACAAGTGAGAAACAAAGCAAAAACTCGTTGCAGTGACAAAAACAAGAAGACACAGCAGTGCCCAGTTTGTATGAGAGATTTACTTTTTGGTAAGGATAATGTGGACAGAAGTTTAGAAAATGTTACCTGTCCTTTCTGTGAACTAGACCTTCAATTCTCTTCAGAGTTTGAAAAAAACAGGGCCAAAAACAGATATGAAAAGATTGACTTAGGAAGTGATAGTGACGAAAGTGAGGATGGCAAGCTCTTTTCAAAGAATGTGTATGTGGTAATGCCACCAGCCGACAAGGAAGTCATACAAACTGTTGTAAAACGCAGTAATGTTTATATCAAACCAAAGGTTGGACATGTTAAAACATATGTTGTGTCAAAGGAAATTAATAAGGCGGTATCCTATGAATTGACTAATACGAGACAAAATGTTGGAGAAGGTTTCTCAGATGAAATTACAAAGTCTTTACAAGTTACAGAAGATGTGGGAAGAATAAGTTCTGTAAGGAACAACGAAGGTGATGCTATAAAAATTGTACCTTGTAGTGCACCCTATGAATCACAAGTATCAACAGATATAAAACCAAACCTAGAATCATTAGATATCCAAGTCCATGTCAGCAGTCAAGGAAACCATGTGACAATACCTCAGCTAGAAACAGTCACAACAAACACCTCTAATTTTGATATTACGAGGGGGTATCCACATGTGAAGAAGGAGATTGATAGACAATGTCAAAACGAGGTTGGAGGAGGTGAAGATAATGTTGTATTTCACCATTATCCGCTTCACATCCGCACAAATGAAACATCAGAATGTCTTGAACAGAACATTATCGATGATGATGAGAATGCCAAATTAAGATACTCGTACTTGTGTACAGGTTCGCTACAAGAGGTCAATAGTAACTCTAATGATAATAATGTTGGTACATCGGACAGCATTACAAATCCAGTGACAATCAAAGCTGGCACTTCTAAGGAGGTCTGTGTAGAGTGGGATAATGAAAATCAAAAGGTGTATGTGTATAGTGATGATGTTGCAGTCATGAGATCCACTACAGGGCAGGAAAACCAAGGACAGAATGATGGAATGTGGAGTGATCCCTGTGTGAAAACTGTAATGGAAGATCTCGGGAATGACACTATGCTGATAAACGGACAGGCAGAGAACATTGCAGTTGCAAATTACCTCGGTTGCGAAGTTAAAAAGGAAAAAGAGGACATAAACAGTGAAATTCCCGATTTAGTAGAAGACCCTGTAATCCATTCATCTAAAGATGGATTGCTATCAGTGGTCCAAGAGGCAGAAATGGATACTGCTACAGTTGTCGTCTTGACTGATGTCAAACCTCTCCCTGTTTATCATTTGTCTGAGTCTGGCGTTCAGCAAAATGAAAAAATTGTGCAGGATCTGGGTCCAGAACCAAACTTGGTGCAAGACAACACAAACATTGCTGGAGAGGATGCTACAACATCAGGTCTTCCTATCATTCTAGATGTACGATCAATTAAACACGAACCTATTGACTTTTGATAGGGTGATGAAGCCAAATCATGACAAACATTTCATACTTGTTAAGTTTCAATGTTGTGAAGGTATTGCTGTTGTATGTGAATATTTATGTGTATGGTTTTGTATGATTTCTGAGAGAAACTATTTCATATACATTTATACCACCTATGAAATGAAAATGTACCAAATGTTTTAAGAATCCTACAAAATGTAGATGAATTGAATTTTGTAAGGCTGTTATCAAGATCATTGTATCTTGGTATCTGATTATCTATTTGTTAAGTTTTACCATACTGTTACAAATGTTGACATAATTTCATACAGTTATTTTAAATTCTGAAATCTACATGTGGAGACAGTTTCACTATTGGTTTTTAAACCTAAAGTCTGTATTCTAAGTATCATGAATGAATCTTTTTTTATAAAGATAATTGTTAAAGACAATAGTATGGTATATTGTTAAATCTGTACTGATTTTTATTGCCTATACAAGAAAACTTAATATCTAAACTAAACAACATAATAGGATCTTATGATAGAGACTTCTTGTGACAACAAGTCTGTAAAAAGTTAACAAGCTTGAAGTCTTAGCAGCCATATATAAAAACCAGAAGTTCATGTCAAGACCATGCCAGATCCAGACTTGGCTCAACTCTACACAGCTGTTGTTTGGACAAAGGAACATAAAGGAACATACCTCAGCAATAAACAGGCAATACAGATATACTGATTAAGTTATTATCTTAGTCATGAATACAGATATACTGAGTAAGTCATTATCTTAGTCATGAGTACAGATATACTGATATACTGAGTCATTATCTTAGTCATGAATACAGATACACTGAGTAAGTCATTGTCTTAGTCATGAATACAGATACACTGAGTAAGTCATTGTCTTAGTCATGAATACAGATATACTGAGTAAGTCATTATCATAGTCATGAATAGATACACTGAGTAAGTCATTATCTTAGTCATGAATACAGATACACTGAGTAAGTCATTGTCTTAGTCATGAATACAGATACACTGAATACAGATATACTGAGTAAGTCATTATCTTAGTCATGAATACAGATATACTGAGTCATTATCTTAGTCATGAATACAGATATACTGAGTCATTATCTTAGTCATGAATACAGATATACTGAGTCATTATCTTAGTCATGAATACAGATATACTGAGTAAGTCATTATCAGATATACTGAGTAAGTCATTGTCTTATTTTAGATGTAATAACAGCTAATAAAATGTAAAATATAACGGTGTTTGATTGTTTGTTAACATTTAAAAAGATTGGCTTAAATATTACAGGTGATCATAATATATGGAAATAAAGGCTTGTCAAGATCCAATAAATATTACAGGTGCATTTAGATATTCCTGAATCTATATAGACATATTGTATCAGTTTTGTTTGTATGCTGCGTTTATCGCCCCGTGAACAGCCAGGTCGTTTTGAGGTGGGGACTCCTTAAGATATTGTATCCCATAGAACAACCTACACAAGGCTCGTAGCATGCTGTCTAGAGCAATTAGGGTAAAGTGCCTTTACCAAGGACCACGTCTGCACAGACTGATCACTTTCTCAACTTACTGAGAAACACAAACTGCCATTGGTCAGAGAACATTAAACAATGCCCCTAGGACCTTCAAAAACTGTAAGTGATTTGAAAAAAATTCTACTGCAAATGTCTCATACATGATAACCAACAAAACATCAATATTTTATTAAATGAGAAGTTTCACTATTCATTAATACTGTACTGAAGGAGATCCTGTTGAATTAACAATATTATGTACTTCTATGAACATATTAGTGTTGCATACTGGAATCACCTAGATTGTCATCTGACTACATTTGTATAAACAGAATTCTGGCCCTTTGTTCATTCTAAAACTGATCTTATGATAAAAATGGGGCATTCAGTCGTCTAACTTCAGTAATTTAAGAACAGTTCCTGTTTAGTTTATGCACAGGTACATGTATCTTCTGCCTGTGGTGTATGTAATTTCAATCTCTGAAACTTTATACTATTATTACCATGAAAAGGTGTACTGTAACTCACATTTCAACCATTCAGATATATATATTTACATCTGATAAGTTTATTTGATACACAACACCCCAGCTCAGAAATTATAAGACAACACCAGGTGTGTTGTTTCGATATTTTTTACCTGTGAAGAATTTTGATCAGCATATACCTCCCCTTGTATAGTCTCTATGTTGAAACACATGCATACTTGAAATTACCTCAAAGTCATTCATAGAAAACTGATAAAGCATCTTGGAAATACATGACATAAGTTATTGAAATATGTGTTAAATTCATGCAGAGCCATAAAGTTTCCAAAATTTGGAGAGAGGCATGTCTGAAAAATGGAAGAACTTCCAAAGGATCGAAGAGATTCCAATCAGGTGACCCTAGCATTGTCCTGGCTTCGGCAGCTTTAAAATTCAGCATCCAAGGATATCCTTCATTGAAGAACCTATCTTCTTTCAAGTATACTGAAGGCACTCAAAACGGAGTGTTTGTAAATGACCTTGATCTGCATTTTGTGTCACAGGGATAGATAACATGAAACATCTGTGTAACACCACTTGAAACACTTCATGTGATTTTGACATTAATCTCACCTCAGTTTGACCTTAACCTCTATATACTATATTTCATATACCATTTTATTTTTGTAAAGCTACCTTTGTTGCATATGGACACATCATTTGACCTTGGCATTGACCTTTGACCTCAATTATGGAAATACCTGACTTTGACCATGTTGCCACTACCATACAACCTAGTACTACAGTATAAATTTTACACCTCCTTGGGATGCTGGTGTGCTATGACAGAACATGAAGCTTTGACCTTGATATAGATCTTTGACTTCAATCATACAAAGAGCCTATTTTGATCATATTTCCTATACAATTTAACCTTATAATACCAAAGTTGCCAGGGTGGTTCCTTTGGTTGCTGTGTCTTAAAATTAGGTTGTTGTGACCTTGACATGGACCATTCCAGAAATATATATTTTTAGGGCCAAATTTCATTATACTATCTTTTCATACCAAATGTGGCAACTTGGGGTACACCTGTGGGTGGCAGTGTGTAGTATATTAGAAGTACGTGTAGTTCACAGTGACCTTGACCTTTACCCCGGTCATGGCAACCATTTATTCAAGCCATATTTCCCATGCTGGTAAACCTATAGTGCTGATATTCCTCCAAGGGTGCACTTTGAAATGGCTTTGTCATGTCGTAGAGTATGGTCACTGTGTTACGGACTTTTGTACTTCGTCACAGAAATAGCCACATTGGAATCTCGATTGTACAAATTTGTTTATTGGTCAACTGCTAAAGCTTGGCGTAATGTTATGGTCAAAAGTCAATACAAGTTGCTATAGCCCAGAAAGTCTAGGATTGAGATATTTATGGAAAGATTAAGGATAAAGGTCCGATAATTGGATATTTATAGTACATGTTGGCAATTTTTCTGGATGAAAAATGAAACCGAATGAAAGTTTACCTTAGTATTTCATTAAACATAGGTATATGCCATGCACTGATATTACTGATTAGGTCACTATGATCTTAACTTCAAGGTCAAATGTATATATAAGTATACAATTTTATTATAATGTTTTACCAAATTGTGCTGAAAAGGTCCACACATCACCAGTGGTCAGCATTCATTACATTTGAAATATGTTCCGAAAATGAAAAATTACGATGACCTTGAGATAATGGTGGTATACTGATATTAATAGCATGTATATTCTGATAAATACGACTTCACGAGGCAAATATGACCCAATTATAGGCAGGTCACCTGTACTAAGGTCGTCAGGTCAGAGGTCAATGTCGAATTTTCAGTCATACTGGTATATACTTGATGACCTTATGGAAAGAAATTTAAATCCGTGGCTAATTTTCGTCTTAATTTATCTCTTAACTGTCTTTAAATAATTTGTTAAGGTATTGCCATAGGTCAAGACATATGGTTCAAATATCAAAAGCCCGGTCCCAATTTCACAAATCTTAACCTTTAAATAGACCGTAACTACCACAGAAAAGCATTACGTAAGTTTAAGAAAGAGAAAGAATTTAAGGAAATTTCTTTAACGTATGCAACGCTTTCCCCTGGGCATCAACTTCTGAAGTTAGGGAAGATTAATAAAACTGAGGTCTGGCTTTTTTGGGTTTTTTTACTGGCAAATATAAGAATAATAAACATATTCTTGGTAAGATAAAGGCCCCAAGTCATACATAAGTAGGGTTTTGTCCCCAGGTTTTTTGTTTTTTATTGGGTTACTGAAATTGTTAGGAATATTGGAATTTGAAAGAAACTCAATCAAAAAGCAACTGCTTGTTTTACTTTCTAATTCCTCTAGGCTACATTGTTTTCTGGTAATTCATTGGTAAAAACCCTCGCTGAAAGTCTGTACAGTCAGTCTTGTACATCTCTATATATTATACACAGGACTGAGAAAAAATAATGTCATCTGTTGAAAATGATTTTTTTCACAAATATCTACGTTTGGTCGTCTCCAGTTTAATACAACAGTGCTAACCTACAAACACCCAGTGTGTCCATATATATGTAGTGTAAAGTCAGATTGCTTCTTTTTTGGCTGTTCCCATGACTGGACTTACTCCATCGTTGAAGATAAGGTTTTGTTCTGTTTATATCCATATACCTGATCAACATAGCCAAAAATGATCACACTGTAAATTAAAAAAAGTATGTAGAGTGTCCGCCTGGAGACCGCGGAAAGGTTGCTAGTTCGAACCCCAGCAAAGTTGCTTCTCTTTAGCCGAGCGCAAGAGTGTCCGCCTAGAGACCGCGTAAAGGTTGCTAGTTCGAGCCCCAGTCAAGTTGCTTCTCATTAGTCGAGCGCTAGAGTGTCCGGCTAGAGACCGAAGAGTTACTAGTTCGAACCCGAGTGATGACAGGGTGTTTGTCGTTAGTTCTTCCAATTACATACGAAAAAAGCAACGTTTATTTTACACCACAGATCTAGATAAAGCTACAATACGTCACAGAGAGAATGTTCATGTGGCTATTATTAACTTGCACTAATCCATACCAACATAATTTCCATGCGCTAGATTGATATTATTTTCTGGGTTTAGCCAGGGACGTATATTACAGACTGACTCCTATACGGTTTGTGATAAGTTACTTTAATTTATTAAAATAAATTAAATTCACATCTCACTGGTGGTCAAAATGGCCCTGGTTAGGCTGGTCAGTGCTAACTCATTGGCATCAGTAAGAAGTGGTGACTTCGCTAATTCATGGTGTAGTGATCTAAAAGTTAAAGCAAGAGAAATCAACCCCGGGCCTAGTTTAATTCTTATACGTCCCTGATTTGGGCGAGAAGTGTTGGTTTCCACCGCATCCGGATTTTTCACACCGGACTGAGTCACGACTGAAGTTTATAATTGAAGTGCTGTTTCCGGTTAAATTTTGTCTGAATGACTGAAGAAGAGGATTTTCAACTTATATTCCATGTAAATTGGCGTTCTCTTCCGTTTTTCTGATGTCCACAATGCCACGGAAAATAAAACAGCAACCCTATCGTGTGCGTAAAGAAAAGGACAAAGTAAGGACAGCCAAAAACAGAAGAAAACGCAATGAAATTCTAGGTAAGGACTTTAGTATTAATGTAATTGAAAGGGACGCGTCCTGAGTGATCCGGTCGCTAATTCCCCGGTAGAAATAATATGATCATCTAGGTCCATTGACGTGTATGGCGAAAAATGAAGTTCAAAATAGTCAGGAGTTCATGTTATTTACATAGCGGATCGTTGTGGCTTGTACATGTACCACAAAATAGGTCGAGTTGTCACTGAGCGTGGAAAGCATTTTACTCTGCCTGGTAGAGCCGTGGATTATCATGTCGGAAACTAAGGGTTCGATTCCTGTTCGGGACGCGCGGAAGGAATTAGTATTTTTCATGTTCTTTCACAAACTAATTTGTATTCCCTTTTTTACTTCTAACAATACATTGCATTAGTCCTTTTGAAGGACTATCTGTGGTGTATGCACACTCCAGATATCTGACTGTGGTGACGCTGATATTCTGACAGAACATCAGAACTGATTCCAACTACTTTAGAAGCCTATGATGTTGAGAAGGATTCCTGCTATCAATCTGCATATGTCAATCGCAGAGAGAAAGTCGGGTCTCCTCCAACAGGTAGTATTCTATATGTGGTTACACATGAAAAGTGTCTGATGTCAGTAGTTCTAGATAGCATGCAGTTCACAAAACTGTTGAACCACACATGCATATTTTACAAGACGTTTATCAAGTTGTACCATCTTTTCTTTAAATAGAAATGATCCAATCATCATAATTACAAGTGATATTTATGACTTTAAGCACAACAATGACACATATCTTTTTTGATTCATACATTTTAGTTATGTCAGTTTATTTCTTATGAAGTTGTAGCTGGATTATTTTTTTATATTCCTCAGTTGTACGATATTAATTTTTTTTATGTTTTATTTACAGCTCTGGATCAGCCAGTTCATGAACAAATAAGAGCAAAATCTGAAAAAGAGGAACTGGCTGGATCAACATATGACAATAATCAGCATGTGGAATCAACACCAAATTACAACCAACATACAGGATCAACATCTGATCAATATAAGTCTTCAGGTTGTTACAATGCTGACATGAATTTAATGAAGGAGGATTATGATCATATGGGACCAGGACTTATAGGTTTTGAAATTGCTTCAAAGCTAAACAGCACACCAAAAGCATACCAGACTGTAAGCACTAGCCACGAAAAAAAGCGAACTCGGGGGAGACCTTCAAAGTACCATATAGAATGGGAAAAAGATAACGGAACACCAAAGGAACCTAATCCAAATGTTGTACAATGTTGTTTGTGCTTTAGGAACCTGTTGTTTGGCTGTAATGGGCAAAAAGTCTTTAAACGACACAAGCACTTTGAAAAAGATAATGTTATCTGCTCATCATGCGAAAAAACTTCTGATGTGGATTCGTTAGCTCAGAAAACGAAACCTTCACAGAACACATATGAGAAATTAGAGCAATTGAATGAGTCAATGCCAGGATCAATTAAACCTGTAACAAAGGTTGTGTATATAGTACGGCCACCCAGTGAACATGACAAACTCATTGTTAAAAAGCCAAGAGTTTATAAGAAAAGGCGTACACCATCAAAGCTACCAAATAATGACAACTTTGAGCCAACTTCCTTTGATTTTACAGGTGTAGGAGGTTTAGGAGGAGAGGCTTCTAGCTCCTATAGAAATACATATAACAGTAATCATTCATCACCAACCACAATGCATATAGGCCAGTCACAATACAAGTTAAGATTTGACACCCATTCAAATTACAATGAAGATGACGATGATTCTAATGAGGAGGAGGAAGATGAACATGATGATTGTGATGAACGAGTAGAAAACCACTCAAGTGGAAAGATGTATGTCAAGATTGGAAAACGAGTCAAATCAGGGAAAAGTTGTTTAATTTCACAATCTTCAGCAGCTTTAAGGAAACACCAAGATATGGCATGCGACATCAGTGATCAAGAGTTTGATAACTACCCAGGAAATGAAATAAAGAGTGAACCAGTTGACCCAGAATTTGATCTTCTGCACTCAAATTCACAGCATCAGACAAATCCTGAGACTGATGTCAAAATAGAAAGTGTTGACTCAGAATATGAACGTTTTAGTCATCAGGCTTATGTCAATCATGGTTCACTGGCAGAGCAGTCTGCACAGAGTCAGTTTGTGAATGAGGACAATGCCGGAATGACTGGCAATATTGACCATGCGTTTGAAGTTTCTGAAAAAGATCCTTGTTCAAGAGAACATTCACATCAAACAGATATTAATCGTGAGTCAGTAAAAGAACAGCCTTCACAGTCCCAAAATCTTGCTTACATTTATCTTTCTAAAGAAGAAGATACTCCAGTACCTAAACCTGTTCCAGAAGTTAAAAATTATGATTCTCCTGATCATTGTGTAGCTGTAATTCCAGTTTTGGACACCGAAGTTTACGTCAAGAAAGAAATAGATTCTGATTAAGATTTATCGTGCGTTTTACGTTGACATGGAAACAAATGACAATATCACAATTACAAATTTTACATGTAAATGACTTCATACTTGTTTTGATACAAGCCTTAAAAATCACCAATAACTCAGAAAAATTTGATTTATGATAACTTGAAATCAAAGTAAATCTCAGATGTCTAGAATGTAACATGATTCAGAAAGTTTGGAAGGCTGTAGAATAAAAAAAATTGTTTGTCCAGAAAGTCTGACATTTATACTTAACCAGGAATTTCAAGTTAACAGATCTAACCTACTGCCAGTTTAATTTGCGACAGAAAAAAAGGCCACCGACTGAAGAACTACATGTACAAGTTCATGGATGTTGATGCTTGTGTCCATGAACTACAAACACACTATGCATACATTGGTAGCAGCTCTTGATCAGCAATCTGTTATAATGAAAGGTAAGATTGAATTGCAGATGGAAACGGTTTTAGTTTTTCCCCTTTAGTAACATGTTTTGGTTGTCTGAACTATGCATAAATTTGATAGACTAGTACTCAAGTCACTTTTTGTACTTATTCCAACTTCTAAATAGATGACATATAAAGGCATTTATATTTTTCGATGCTACATGCAATTTTTATGAAATAAGAGACATCTTGACTCATTTGCAGATGTTTTCTACATTTATGAATAACTTTGATAAAATTTGATAAAAAGGAAAAAAGAGATATACACAATCTGACAGTAAAATTTGTCGACACTTAAAATTGTTAAAATGTTCTGAAAGTAGTAGGAATAATTTTCCGTTTTCATTTCCAGCTTCAACACCCCTGATGCATTTTGTGGATCTGTCAAGTAAAATCTTGTCATTCCCAGAGCTGGTTCTTGAATTGGGACATTGTCTTCAGATGAAATCCTATGATTGAAGTAGAAAGATGTGAAACTACCTCCTGCAGACCTGGAAAAGTTAATTAGGAAAGGAATGTGAAAGTGTGAAAGCATCTACTTAAAATTCCGATGTTTATACTGATTGCATAATAACAAAATGTCATTTTACATTCAAAATCTTATTACCAGTAAATACTTGCATCAAATTAATTCATCAGCATATTGGGCATCAATATAAAAAGATATTCAACAATGTATAACGACCTGGATTGACATTTGATATTAAATATACTTGCCATTGCCATCATGTAATAGTATAATGACCTACATTGAGTTAGATTGAACTAACAGACAGCTAACTTTAAATTAGTAACAAAAACAGTTGCTGATCCAATATCCAAAGCAATATTTTTGGACCTCACATTTTCCTTGTATTTGGTCATTTTGCTAAATAATTTCAACTATTTTTACTTATATATATGTGTAACATTGTGCCGGATGATATGTTGTATATGGAATTAATGATGTGTACATGTACGTAGATATTTTTGAAGAATTTCTAGGTGAGGGCCTATTATACATATGATAGTGTGTAGACGTCGAGAGTAGGCACAACACGAAGCAGTTCCGGTCCAATGCACGATTTATTCATACTAAGAGTTGTTTACATGTTTCGGATCTAAGTGATCCGTCATCTGATGACTCTTAGCAGGAATAAATCTCTCGATGTCTATTCTACTTATTTATAGTGGATACCCTGTATCCTTTTGGATCCATGACTGTTCCCGAAAGGAATTTCCTGATTTCACTGATTGCGGGATGTTGTGTCTTTACCCCCCAGTTGTTGATATGATAGTGTGTGTAAAGTTCATTGCCTGCCAAAATTGGTCTGGAGTATCAGATATTTCCATAGAGCTAAAAGTTTAAAGTTTTTTTTTTTCAATGACAGTTTGCAATTCGACAGCAGTAAATAGGAGCACCTTGTGTTTTCAACTTCTACCCAAAATCCTCCAGTTCAAAAGTAATGTTAATTTCAACTTTTTATCATTTTGTACAAATATGGATTTGTGGATTAATATTACCCAGCAAAGTTGTGAAAATAAAACCACCAGTTCACTTTACTAGGGCTTAACATTTTCCTGTCTACCAGCAAATTATATCAGTTTAAAATGACCATTGTTGACAGGGTGACTGATCAATATAAACACACATACTGTTAAAAACATTTCATCTGGCTGTCTCCATACTATTTTAAACATATCCTGTGTATTACATGTATGTATACTGTAAAATGATTATTTTTTGTGGGGGATTTATTTTTGTTTAATCTGTAGGTACTCTAAATCCATGAAATCGTATACAGATAGAAGCTTGACATGCAATATAGTACCAATTGATTTTGTGAGCAAATTAAAGTCAAGTGTCAACAAAAATGTATAATTTTGGAAAACCACAAAATTTGAGCCTCATGAAAATTTATGATTTTGCAGTATATCTCTTAAACAAAGTTATGGAGTTAAGATATGTATTTTAAACTGTTTCTTACAATCATACTGCTGCAGGATGGCATTTAATTGGCAATTGTAGTTTCTTAACATACATGTATGTTACTAGAAGTTAGTCTGTCTTGTGTTGAAGAAGTATTTTTGATCATGTCATTGTACACATGAAATCTTAACTTTGAAAGTACTAACCTACTTTCATTTAACTCTTTGATAAATTGATTATTTTTACCATTGTTGATGAATGATTGTGTTGAATTTTAACTTTATTTATTTATTTGAAATATTTATTACTTTGAAAATAATTAAAGAACTGAAGAACCGAGGAGACGGTGGCTTATTCCTGTTAATGCATGGGAATGACATTTATTGTACTAATATTTTTCTGAATAATTTTCTGAAAGTTATTCTAAAACTTAGAGAAGGCTTCAAACTATTTCATGCCTCTGCCTCCATTTTATTAGAGAAGAGGGAAGAAAAAGCGGTCAACAGTCAAGGTTAAAGGGTTAAAGGTCAAATTTCTGCAAAGTCCTCAAACACTGATACTTATATGCATGGGATTGGGGGCACTCATGTCTATAAGACATTTTCTAGTTTCATTTTGTTAAGTTGATTTACAGGAAAATAGCTTTCTATGACATGTATTTTGTATGTGATAGAAAACTACTTGTTAGCCTTAAAGATTAATTTTAATCTTGCATTGAGTCTTTATTTCTGTAAAACACCAAGACAGAAGTAGCTGCTTTTTGTCAAGTAGTTCTTGAATTCTTGTTAATTTGGTTTTCAAATCATATCCTTGCTACAGCATTCTCCTGTCCATGTATGAATGTTGATCAAATATTGAAGTTCAAGTCCTAGGTGTACATTGTACATGTACCAAGGTATCATGAGATTCGTAATAAATTCAATTTACTGGTAATGTCATCACTATTGACCGATTTGTAAAATAAATCTTAAAAACCGATGAAATGAATTTTTGTTTTCAATAAAATGTACATGTACTGATGAACCCAATTAATAAGGTTTTCCAAGTGGAAGTTCTCAAATCATGTTGGACACGTAGTAGACATGGATTACATAAAAGTAATTTTTAAAGAAGTTTGTTTAATGTCTATGCAACAAAGAGCCACTACATACATGTAGTGTGGCAACTGTATAATATTACAGTTACATCTAATAAATTCCAGGAAGTCAGAAATTGAAAAGATATATATATATAACAAAATAGTTGTATGGCAACAAATGTAAATTTATTGATAAGTAAAAAATAACATATATATTACGTGAAAACAAAGACGATTGGTTTGAGATCAACAATTTTTTCAGCATATTTAGATTTTCATTCAATATATTTCTTTTAACAATATTTGAATCACTCCATGTATATACATACAGAAAAAAATCAACCACAAAGTGGACCTAAATTAGACGTTGCTATTCCATCTCTCGAAAGTGTGACCATTCATACTCTAACCAAGGGAGATAATGCACTGTCTTAACAAAAGCATTCATTATGATACATGTATCTATTATTTGTTTCTGGTCGGAATTATCAAGCTGACTGCTCCAAGGTAGAGATGTCATAATCCAGTGACAACAATATCCAAGTGTAACTACACTGTATGTACATTAATATATAACCTTAAGAGTAATCAAGAGAAAAACCAAGCAAAGTTGATGTTTTACATGATTTAACATGGGGGGTGGGGGGGTGGGGGAGGGGACACCTACAGTTTGTGTTGTAAATGATCACACTAGTTGGGGGGGGGGAGGGGACACCTACAGTTTGTGTTGTACATTACCCCACTAGTTGGGGGGGGGGACACCTACAGTTTGTGTTGCACATTATCACACTAGTTGGGGGGATGGGGGACATCTACAGTTTGTGTTGTACATTATCACACTAGTTGGGGGGGGGAGGGGACACCTACAGTTTGTGTTGTACATTACCACACTAGTTGGGGGGGGACACCTAAGTTTGTGTTGTACATTATCACACTAGTTGGGGGGCACACCTACAGTTTGTGTTGTACATTATCACACTAGTTGGGGGGGACACCTACAGTTTGTGTTGTACATTATCACACTAGTTGGGGGGGGACACCTACAGTTTTTGTTGTACATTATCACACTAGTTGGGGGCACACCTACAGTTTGTGTTGTACATTATCACACTAGTTGGGGGGGGGACACCTACAGTTTGTGTTGTACATTATCACACTAGTTGGGGGGGGACACCTACAGTTTGTGTTGTACATTATCACACTAGTTGGGGGGGAGGGACACCTACAGTTTGTGTTGTACATTATCACACTAGTTGGGGGGTGGGGGACACCTACAGTTTGTGTTGTACATTATCACACTAGTTGGGGGGGACACTTACAGTTTGTGTTGTACATTATCACACTAGTTGGTGGGCTGGGACACCTACAGTTTGTGTTGTACATTATCACACTAGTTGGGGGGAGGGGACACCTACAGTTTGTGTTGTACATTACCACACTAGTTGGGGGGGGACACCTACAGTTTGTGTTGCACATTATCACACTAGTTGGGGGCACACCTACAGTTTGTGTTGTACATTATCACACTAGTTGGGGGGGACACCTACAGTTTGTGTTGTACATTATCACACTAGTTGGAGGGGGGACACCTACAGTTTGTGTTGTACATTATCACACTAGTTGGGGGGGACACCTACAGTTTGTGTTGTACATTATCACACTAGCTGGGGGGGACACCTACAGTTTGTGTTGTACATTATCACACTAGTTGGGGGGGGACACCTACAGTTTGTGTTGTACATTATCACACTAGCTGGGGGGGACACCTACAGTTTGTGTTGTACATTATCACACTAGTTGGAGGGGGGACACCTACAGTTTGTGTTGTACATTATCACACTAGTTGGGGGGGGACACCTACAGTTTGTGTTGTACATTATCACACTAGTTGGTGGGGGGGACACCTACAGTTTGTGTTGTACATTATCACACTAGTTGGGGGGGGGGGGGGGGGGGGACACCTACAGTTTGTGTTGTACATTATCACACTAGTTGGTGGGGGGGACACCTACAGTTTGTGTTGTACATTATCACACTAGTTGGGGGGGTGGGGGACGCCTACAGTTTGTGTTGTACATTATCACACTAGTTGGGGGGGGGACACCTACAGTTTGTGTTGTACATTATCACACTAGTTGGGGGGGACACCTACAGTTTGTGTTGTACATTATCACACTAGTTGGTGGGGGGGACACCTACAGTTTGTGTTGTACATTATCACACTAGTTGGGGGGGGGGGGGGTGGGGGACACCTACAGTTTGTGTTGTACATTATCACACTAGTTGGTGGGGGGGACACCTACAGTTTGTGTTGTACATTATCACACTAGTTGGGGGGGTGGGAGACGCCTACAGTTTGTGTTGTACATTATCACACTAGTTGGGGGGGGGGACACCTACAGTGTGTGTTGTACATTATCACACTAGTTGTGGGGGGGGGACACCTACAGTTTGTGTTGTACATTATCACACTAGTGGCGACAATCCCCTCAAGTTGTGTTGTGGATAAGGACTCCACAGCTAGACATCATCTGTTCAATAATCAAACTAGGAGGGCGAGCACCTTGTACATTTTGTAGATATCCACTCAATAGCTGGACATCTGCTGTTCAATTACCACTGTAAGAAAGCAGCCTGCAGCTTGCCTTAGATTTTCATTCCACCCATGCTAACTTGATATCAATTCTAGAGCTGGACATGAGTTTTAAAATGACCATTCCAGGGTAGACACCTCATACAATTTATGTCATACATGTAGATATGTCTGTATAAGTGGCATCTTTCACCCAAGGTCAGACACCTCATACAATTTATGTCATACATGTAGATATGTCTGTATAAGTGGCATCTTTCACCCAAGGGAAGATACCTCATACAATTTATGTCATACATGTAGATATGTCTGTAAAAGTGGCATCTTTCACCCCAGGGTAGACACCTCATACAAGGTATGTCATACATGTAGATATGTCTGTATAAGTGGCATCTTTCGCCCAAGGGAAGACATCTCTTAGTTTCTGATGAAAGACTCTGCAGTTTGACCTCTAGATATGGATCTGTCACCTGTAGCTGGAGCTAAATCGTGCATTTATTGCCTTTAATGTGAGGCCTAATATGGCTTGAGTAATGTAGATATCACGGTCGTCTGTCTGTAAACAAAAATACCAACAATTTATCATACATGTGCTATTATTTCATATCCCAAAACATTTTTTTAAATTATAAACCTGGGGAATTAAGTTATCCCTCTGTTAGCAGATCGGAATAATTTACCAATGATGTTTGAAAATATTTAAATCTGGTAAATTGACTAAGTACATGTTGATAGAGCAGTTGCAATCCTTCATTATAGTGTTTATCTTACTCACCTGACTAAATTCCATGTGAAATTTCCCCACCTCATCGATCAGATCAATGGAGCGTGCACCATCATCACAGTACTCGAAGTCAAGAGCTACAATCACATAAACAGATAACTTTAATGTTCTGTATAGGCGCCAACGCCATTCTGTAACACTATAAGTGAATTAAAATTCATATTTCACTTCAAAAAATGCTCTCTTTACTTGGATATTTTCATCCCCATTTAATTTTCACCCTTAATGTCTATGAACAGGGAGGCTGAATTCAAGATAGGGGAGGGGTGAAATTTGTTACACTTTTATAACCCTGTTATATTAATCCTCAGAGGGTGAAATGAAGATGAGGTGAATTTGTGTATAGTGGTACAAAGGCGAAAAATAACCGGAGGAGAAAATATCCTGGTGTACAGTAACATAAAAAACATTTCAGAAAATTTCATGTTTTATGGGAAGTTTTCTTGAACATCAGAAAGAGGAACCTTTGTCTGAAAGCGAAATGTCTCTTTCACACTAACGCATAAGATTTTTTTAATATTGCATGCATATTTTCCATTCAACCTTTGATCACACGAAACAAAACATAATTCATCATTTACTTACAGCTGGCTCCAACTCTAGAGGTTGCCTTGGAATTCACCAGGGCACTAAAATAAAAAAAGGGAATTCAAATGTTAACTGGCTTTTATTATCAAACTAAAGAAACAGGAACAGATTTACAAGTTTAAGAAACTAGTTTCAGAATCTGATTCAAATACGATCATGGTTCTTGTATATAGTGGTATATATATATATGTATATATATATCTATGAATGAAATAAATACTAAGAAAAAAATATTTTTATTCATGTATGAAAAGAACAAATAAAAATATCCATCCCAGATAGTCAATGTTTAATCACCAGCATAGCTTTATCAATTTTTCCAGAAGTAATTTCCTGTATATATTTATAAGGGATCAACTTAAAAGCAAAGAGTAAAATTTCTGAAGAAAAATGCTTTGCTTAAAGTTTGGTGGTATGTATAGGATAAATTGAAACAAAAAAATTTAGAAAATTATTTGATGTTGTTTTCTGAAGGTCGTTGGTTAATGTAATTCATCAGTTAAATTGTCTGAAGAAGAAGATTTTTAAGTATTTTTCATTTTCTTTCTTATATGAAATTCAAGCATTTCTGAACATAACTTTTGAGTCATCAGCAAAGTGGTGGATAAAAATCCTGAATGGTGCTAACCTACCTGGCAGCCCAGAACACGTCCCCAGTCTCGTCTATCACGGTGATGTCAAGCCAGCAAGCATTCTGAGGACATAGATATATTTTATTACATTTTCTGATAAAAAAAACGCTTACAAAGGGATCAAGCACAAATATCAAAGGGTCTTTCAAAATATTTTCTTCTAGTTAGTAATGTCATTAGCATAGTAACTAGTTCTTATAACACAGCCAGTAGAAAATTTATTAGAGTGTGACGTTTCGATGACTGCACGATCACCTTTATCAGACAAATAACCAGTGTGGAGCATACTAGCCCTGATGTAAGGAATTGACCAATATTTTTGGCTGTGCTATGATCCTATGTAACAAAGATGAAAAATAGTCTCATGAAAGTGACCGTGTCATCAAAACGTCACACTTTAATCTCCTACTGGTTGTGTTATACGATAAAGGTGACCGTGTCATCAAAACATCACACTTTAATCTCCTACTGGTTGTGTTATAAGAACTATTCTATGTTAGCATCACCTTTTGTTTAGTAAATTGAAATCAAGGTCACTGATGAAGAGATACACTTCTATGATATAAACATACTTGTTCGGAAATGCAATTTTAGAGCATTATTTACTTTTAACAAATAAACACAATGATAAATATGCCCATTCGTAACAATTGTTGCATAGATAATGGAAACCACAAGAAGTGCAGCCATATTTTAGCTTGATAGTTTGAGCATGAAAAGCTCTAATATAAGATAACCATTAAAGTACGTGTCTTGACAGAAGTTAAATTTTTTATATATAATTTATATGTTACAGTATTTGAAAAAGATTTATTTTGTATCTTCTTATAGCACAAGAATTACAGTAACGATAAATTGGATAACTGTTCAGCTATTACGTGTCAAACAAATCAGCTCTTTTCCTTTGAACAACTAGTTGTAGATCAAACAAACCTGAACTTTCCCTTTGAATGCCTCTGTTTTCCAGGGAAACACTATTTCCTTATTTATGATCTGACGTTCATGGGGTTCAATCAGGACAAACTGTGCATAGCCACCACCTGTTGTGTAGAGGGCAGATTAAGATGAAAAAATGAAAATAATCAAAGGGCAATAACTCTATTTAAACACCCTGATTGAATCAGAAATTATTTTTGGTTTATTTAATATGAAAATGAAATTTAACACAATATATACTGTAAATGTAATTGTACCCATGTTAAATTGTATAAGAGATAGGTAAAAATTTAAATTTTTCATGTTTATCCCGTCATCAGGTATTCCTTTTTTAATAATTTGAAGACAGTTACCATGGTTACTGCGACAATTTAGACCTCTGAACTGTTGATCCCAAATCTGTTGCTTCATCGTCCTCAGCTGGACAGTACAATTGTAACCATGCAGACCTAACATAATGATAAATAACAGACATTTACGACAATAAGTCCAAGGGGCCAACACACACTTTCTTAACTGAAAGTAAGGATGACAAATAAAGCATTTAATGGTATTTCTACTGGAACAAAAAAAAAATGTGGATGGGCTTATTCTACATCAGCTACCTATCACGATCTTTTTCTACAACAAGATCAATATGGCCAGCTTTCCACCAAACTGTATGATAAGCCTGGTGATCATAATTCCTCTATTGTGAATTTTCCAGCTCTGGAAAGCTACATATTGCATCCCCAACCTATGGCCTTTACAAGTTGCAGTTGATTCAGTATTCAAGGGCCTATATTTAAGGGCCTGTTCTCAATATAACAGTTTTTGTGCAAGATTATCAACTGACAGACAAACTGATGGCACAGGATTTGGGAAGGTGCATGTTGATGAAAGTTATAAGGTTTTATGGACATCATAGTCATCTCATTGTTTCATGCTTATTAGTTTGCCTAATTGTTGGTAATTCACCTGAACAAAATTTACATGACATGTTCCGACAATGAAGCAAAAGATGCACACTCTTCCAGAACACCTGGTCTTCTCCTTGTTTTCTTGTTTTTATTATAAAACATGTATGGAATAACACAGTTTATGCAAAATGCTGCTTATGAAGATTGAACTCTCATATTTCTATATCCTGAACTGAATACTGTCCTATTGATAACAAGAATTGTCTGTAACTCTAATAATTCAGCACTACCATACTCTATAAAGTCTGACAATAAATGGTAATATCTTTCTGTTTTCATTACTTTATTTTGTTTTTGTGAGAAAAAGACTAAAATATTATCACCACAAAAATTTGAATATTTTTGCAGGAGTTAATTAAGGTACATGGATAATCATACTTACCGAAAGCGGAATCAATATCGTCTGTAATAACAGGAGGCAGTGGGGGACAGAATGGTCTGAAAGTAATAAAATATTAAGAGAGAGTAGATATACTAACATATGTAAAGAACAAGATTCTGATATGACTGATATCTGACAGTTATAGTTTAGAGAGATGTTGATACAGAACAACAAATAAATTTTATCCTGTAAACGTCCTATTCACATTGTATGTACAATGTATAACCATTTAATTCTACACTGCTACAGCCAGTTTGACAGAGTTTGATAACTTACTCGACAGAGTTCCCTCTCAAACATCTGTCCACCAGGTGGTGTAAGTGAAAACTAACACAAACAAAGGCCACTTCTCCTCCATCCTGTATTCAGAGGAGAAAATTGAAATTATACAAAATACACTGTAATATATATTAAGTAATTAGTAATTTAAAAGAAAAATTATTTAAATAATTCCTATTTTACATGTTGAGTGGATGCTCATCTGTTTTTGATGTTATAAGATGGCCTGTGATATAAAAATATAAAAGTCTCCACTGTAGAGACCATGTTTTGTGCATAAATACCATTTATGCATATAAATATCGCCTGGACATATATATTTTTGTTTCTTTGGCAAGAGATAGTTTTATTATACAAATTCAGATATCTTTATACTTTCCACATACAATATACATGTATTTCATTTCCATTTAGCTGTGATAGCTCAGTCAGTTTGAGTGTTGGCATCCCTTTGGAGAAATGTGTTTTTCAGGAAGCCGAGAAACTGATTGAATGTGTCCCTGGGCATGACAATTTTTTTTTTTTCACATATGGTGTGTGATGGGCCTCCTGTATGTTGTTCAGTGAGGTCACTAAAAGCTACTACAAAGAGAACCTGCTTGAAAATTACCTTGATTGTTCACTGGGCAACATGCCCAGAAAAAAAAACCTTTGAAGCATATTTACATATCAGTAGAGAAGAATAAACAGAATTTTTTTACCTTCCAAACTGCTATCGCCAATCCTCTTGGGAGAGAATAGATATTGATAGTGTCATTTTCTCCTACTGGTTTGTTGGTTCCCACCCAGGAACTCCATTTCAACTGAAAGGTCATTAACAATGACCTCTGGTAAGGACTAAAAGGTCAAGGTCAAAAGCAGGTAAAAAATAGTATGAAATAGTATGTGATGAGAAAGACAAATTACTGAAATCATTAGAGAGCGATTTACAGAATTGATAAATATACATGTTTTAAGAAAAAATTTGGTTGCAACATAATGAACACAAATCTCAATTTTCCATTTGAGTTATTTATTTATTTATTTTTTTTTTTTTTCGTGCATTATATCAGATTTACTAAATCCGGCATTTTGTTCGTGAAGTGGTAAAGAGTTTCCCTTTCATTGACTCCATCTTGTTTCAACTCCCTGCAATTAAAATTGGAGGTGAAAAGGACTTTGGTCACCTGCCTGACCATGTTGGTAATTTCTCCAGGAACTATGACTTTCTTCCATAGTAACACACAAAGCATACCTCCAAAATAAATAAATGAATAAATCTAGAAGAATTTTAAAAAATTACCTGTCCTTGACAGCACAGCCTTTCTTTGTATCAAAGAAAATTGGATTGCATGAGTATATCCTGATGGCCTTAGTGGACTGTAGTGACTGGCTGTCAAAATTGTACCAACGGACGGAGGCAGCCATGGTGTGGATGGACAAGTCACGACTCTGTATACATACTTCATTGTTACTGGCATCCACAAATGCCAGCTGCCAGAATACACAGGAGTCTCTGGAAGATATGCACGGAATTTTACAGTACATGTAGATAAAGGATGTGATTTGGATAATGTAGAAAAATGAAGAGAAATGGGAGGAAACAACAGACATCTCTACACAGATGACGCTCATGAATTCTTAGAATGCTGAATTTATATCCACAAAAGATGAATGGAATCCATTGTGCTTGGAATACTGTAAAACGGCATATTTTCGTAGCACCAAATTTTCATGGTTTTTCAAAAGATTAATATTTTGTTGGTCGCATGATTTTGTAGATAAAGATATGTCAATAAATCCACATAAATATACTTATTATGACAGTTTGTGGACATTTAACTTTGCGGAACAAATACATCCATATCATCAGCAAAAATAAATCCCTCACAAAAAATAATCATTTTACAGCAGGTGCTGTCCTGTTCAAATTTTCAGGTGCTTTCTTCTATCAACTGATGACCTTATGGTTGTTCTTGCCTAGCAGACCAGTATAAATATACTATCCCAATTGCCATAAATGATATTATGTAATGTCCCCTTATAAGTAACCCTAAGATATGAGTGGTGTCCCATGGAAACCCTGAGATTTGAGTTATGTCCCTTGGTAACACTAGGAGATTCGGTTTAGTTTGATTTATTGTTGCTTTACATCCTATTAACAGTCAAGGTCATTTAAGGATGTATCAGGATTAGATGGTAGAGGGAAGCCGGAGTTCCCAGAGAAAAACCACTGAACTGCAGCCAGTACCTTGCGACTGCCCCACACAGGCCTGAAACCTGTGGAGGGCTAGTGATCAAGATGGTCAGACGTCATAATCACGCAACCATAATGGCCACCGTAATACTGAGAGATGAGTGATGTCTCCTTGTGACACTGAGAGATGAGTGATGTCTCCTTGTGACACTGAGATATGAATGATGTCACCTTGTGACACAGAGACATGAATGATATCTCCTTGTGACACAGAGATGAATGATATCTCTTTGTGACACTGAGACATGAATGATGTCTCCTTGTGACATTAAGATATGAATGATGTCTCCTTGTGACACTGAGATATGAATGATGTCTCCTTGTGACACTGAGATATGAGTGATGTCTCCTTGTGACACTGAGATATGAGTGATGTCTCCTTGTGACACTGAGATATGAGTGATGTCTCCTTGTGATACTGAGATATAAATGATGTCTCCTTGTGACACTGAGATATGAGTGTTTCCCCCTTGTAACCTTGATTTACCAATGATATCTTCTAGCGACCCTGAGTTACCCTGAGATATGAATGATATCCCCTAATAACCCTGAGATATGAATGTTGATTCCTAGGGATGTGTTTTCCCCTTGTAACCCTGATATATGGGTGATATCACCTAGTGACCCTGAGTGACCCTGAGATATGAGTGTTGTCTCCTAGTAACTGTGAGATGTGAGTGTATTCCTTTTATAACCCTGAGATATGAGTTTTGTCCTCGTTGTCAACTCACGTCAAGGCTTTCTCCACATCTCGCTGCTGGGCAATTCCTGTGTATGGACTTTTCTTTCGCAGATACCTGAACACTCGCTTGTTCCTCTGTTCAATGCATCTAGAAAACCCAAGAAAAGTGAATTTCAGGTATTTATACAATTCCTTTTAACAGAATACAACTGAACCATTGAACATTAATAGAAAAGAAAGAGGAATCTTAACCATGTTCTGTTGTCTGCTTGAGAGTTCTTAACGCAGACATTTTAAAACTTTAACTGATGCAGTTTCAGAAACATGAGAAATAATCTGTATACATCAGAAATACAGTATTAATAAGGCTCCTAAGATCTACAGGTGTTGGATGGGTTAGAATCATTTCCAATGGAACTTAATTATCCATTTTTCTCAATCTTTCAAAGATTTGAACAATATATCTAAATTTCAATGTTGATGTATTTATCAGTGTTTTGACCTAAATCTGTTTCCAAAACTACAATGATAAAATCTCTTAGTGATAGTTTGAGGAACTGTTGATATTTCATCTATTCTGTCCTTTACTAACTGCCTGCAGCATAGAAGTGCCATAGTGACGAAAAAGTATAGTGACAATTTGAAAGCTGACTTTTTTTTTTTTCACAAATCGTCGAATAGTGAACAAAAGTCATCAAGAGTCAGTCATTTGCACTCTGTGCTTTATAAAAGAAGCTAAAATTAAAAAAATCTTAACAATAAAGTTTTCAATCACAGTTTGTTTTCAAAAAAATCATCTTTTCAAAATCTCTTGGACACATTATAACACAATTGAACGTAACTCAGTCATTTATAACAGAGAACAAAATGAATTAAGAATTAGTCACCTCCTGATGCACGCTGTCTTGAGTTGAGACAGAGAGTTTAAACTTCCAGTTCCTGAAGCTTCAGTTCCACTTTTCGGAGCATACTTCAAAAATATTGGCCTCCATAAGGAACTGAAAGCAAACGATTACCTTTCAATATTATATACATTTCTAATCTTGAAGACTTTAGGAAATGACGATGGAAAATAGAAAAAATTTAATTCCTAATGGTACATACCAAAATTAATGTACTTTGGTCTCTTGGGCTGAGGTGGAGTTCAGACAAAAATTCTGGATTTTTCAAATGACAAACATACATGTTTTGGAATTTCATTAAATTTGTAGATGTGAATCAATTCATCATGCCATGATACATAAGACAAGTATTTAATCAAATGATTGCCATACTTATCATTGGCTAAGTTCCTCCATCGCTGACAAACTTGTGATACTAAAATCAAGTCTTGGGCGCCAAAGAAACTGAATACTTTCAAAAGTACTTCATCTGGAATCCTTCAAAACAACAACATAAAAAGCTTTATTTTCGTAACAGTACTATACTTTGTTTAAAGCATCCGTTTTCATTTTGTGACAATCATGATAAATAGCATTGAATCTGATTATTTACGAATTGATCTGCTAAATACACTTTTTGTTTTTGAAACAACAGAATAAAACTTTGTCTATTATCTTTTTCTTTTTTTAATTCTGAAAATATTTTGCATTAATCAGATTTAATTCTTACGAGTTTTATCTTAATCAAGATATTGGTATTACATACTCATGAATAGTTGCCTTCCTTTGTGGTGTCCTTGACAAATGTTTTGATGAGTTTTGTAACCCCTGCCGAGGACGGTTAGCTGGTCTCCTAATATTTGAACTTGTGTCACTTGGTGTTCTTCTTAGGAAACAAAGAAGAGGAAAAAAATATCAATAAATCTGATATTCCAACAATACTGATGAATAGGGAAAACATGCATAATTGCATATATACGTTTATCTGATGCTTAAAAATATGTCTTTCTTCAATGTTGCTATTTAAATTAAGAACTACTTGCTATTATACATTTTGAAAGTTGACTGGTAAATCACCTGACATCAAAATATCAAACATCTGATTTTGGGATCCAGGGGAATCCTTGTGCATTTCACATGACAAATGTCAATTTTCTAAACAATATCTATCCTTGTTTTCATCTAAAATTGGAGGAGCAGAAAAATAAATATCACTTCTATTGATAAAGCACATCAATAAATTGAAGACTATTCCCTGCATTGGTATTCAATGTATTTAAAAAAAAACAAAAACAAAAACAAAAACATGATTGGTGGTTAACAGTGTATTTCAATGGAATTTATTTTCCACATTTTAAATATTTTGCATGCATCAGTCATGTTTCTGAAATCATGAAAAGGTTCTGCTGCCCATCAATAAGTACATGTATATACATCATGAAATAAGCATACTGTAGGCACATCTTTGACACATAAGTTTTGAACCTGTTTAGAATTATATCTTGCGAGTTATGTTCCATTGATGAATTGCAACTAAACTAATACATAAATAAACTGAAATGTGTTCATACAATAAGATTCATTAAAAAACTGACCGATGATAAACCAGTATTTTTCTAAAACATTTTAAAAATTTGATCTCAGATTCGCTACCTTGAATTGGCTGATATTTGTATCAGAAACATGATAGCGTTTTCATTTATGATGACATCACTAAATCACAGCAACACTTGAGTTAGCCTACAGTGGCCCAGAAGAAACATGTATTACATCAAATCACCTATGGAACGGGATTGACATTTTGATGAAAATATAAATCAAGCTAAAATCATGGTGTAAAAATGGTGGATATCTGTGTTGATGTGTGCACCTATTAAATGGTTAAGCTTTCATTGCCCGATCCTTTTTTCTCAAATGAGGCATATTTCTTGGCAAGTTTCTTTTTTTTATAACACTAAGTATTGAAATAAAGTTATCTTTTCATTTGTCAATCTGCAGCTCACTATATACATAACGGTCTTGGTCTCATGTCGAGACGATATGTACTGGTCACCAATTCCAAGCAGGCTGGTCCGAATACAGGTCGAAAAATAAAATCGCTGATAGATGGTCAAACTTTTCTGACAACCAGTAAGCTTCGGCCTATTCTCAATCAGAATTATTTCATTAACTATATTTGTCAGTTACATCACAGGGTTCGTAACAAATGATGGATATATGAGATACGTCGCACTGAACCCTGTACTAAGTTGTAGTCAGGCCTAGCAAAAAAAAAAAAACACTTAAAATTTTACCTCGTCCTGCGATCTCCTGAGATTGGTGGCGTAGACTTGTGACTTGATAAATAGTTTACCATAAGATTTTTATGTTGATTCATTGTGTATACATCACAAACAACCTATCAATCTAGGTCTAAACACTGAATAATGAATCAGTACCTATCGTCAATTTGACAATAAACAGCCATATTGTTTATAGTGATTGTACTCGACACAACACGGTACACGTTTCTGTAATTGAACAAATCTATACGAAGGAACAGCTGGTGAATCCATACAATCATTGACACGTATATTAAATAAATGAACGAATGAAGGAATGAAAAACATGTATTTGTAACAAATTTTGTACAATTTGAAGGTTGTTATAATTTTAAAGTAAAAGTTTATTTTTAGATACGGATTATGATACATACAGGCACTTGATACTGGTTGAACTAAAATGTGAAAAATTCACTATTTAAAAGATCTATTTCTGTTATATCACGTATGAACACACCTTTTCATAAATTAGTCCGAATCGAGTTTTTCATAGTTGAAATCACTCTCTTCCAATATTACTCCAGAGACGTATATAACACGTTATATACGTCTCTGATTACTCCAATAAATTTTGAAAACTTAAGAGCATTTAAAGCATAATTTGTTTGTTTTGTTTTGTTTTATCGTGCGCCGTCCATCGTGCGTAAACTTTTGACATTTCAAACTTCTTCTCAAGTTCCACCAGCGGGATTGAGCGTTCTTTAATTTATTTTATTATTTTTGTGTATTATCATGTTTTCCGGAGGGGACATATATAGATGGCGGCGAATTATGATGCCCTTGGATCTCTTATTAAATGCCGAGATGACCCGAATGTTTGACTCAATGACGTGTTGTTAACGTTTTATTAACATATAAAAGCAAAAATGTCGATTTCAGATACATTTATTTGGTATCGCAATTTGGACTTAAAGAAGAATAGATTGCAAACAAACAATTGGACACGCCTTCAACATTTTAGACCAAGAATATGAAAATTTTCGATTTTGTCATCCATGTCTGCAATTGATTTCAGAGGGATCGAGAAAAGGTTAGTGGACACAGAGACGTATATGTGATATATAAGTCTCTAGTGGACAGTAGTGTTATGGCCACAAATGCATAATGACGACGATGATGTTTCATGCAATTGAGATGACGATCAAGTATGCTGATGACTATAAAAATAATGATGAATGTATGATAGTCTGAATGGAAATGTACACATGTTTAAATAATGTGACTGTTTATTTATGTAAAATATTTCAAAAGTAAAAAAAAAAGTTATTTATGCAAAATCGTTTCATTCATGATCGAATCCGTTAATGAGTTTAGATGCAGCCAATACAGCTGATACAGCCTCGTTCACATACCTCTATGCGAATCAGCTCGTGTTCAGTACATTTCTGTCCGGGTGTTTTGAAAACAAACATGGCTAACGAAGCACTCACTTTGACGGAGGAAATCATCCGAAATCGAGTGAATCTGCAACATGATAATCTAGGTAATGTAGAAAGTAATTCACATTAGTTTATTTAGCTCATGAATAACTTGTCACATTTATCAAGGATTTGAAAACTCTCATTTGGTCATGTTTGAAATCATGTTCGAACGAGTGCTTTGCAGAATAAGTTTGCATTGCAAGTGCTTTTTCATCGATCAATGGCAAATTAATTAATTTTTAGCATGTTTTGATTTTATTCTACTTGAAAAAAATTTTTTTGGATCACTCGTTAGTTTTCGTTGCGAATGCTTCATGCTGGAACCCTTGTCACTGACTTTGACAGTTGGAGGAAATTTGCAAGTCGAAACATGTTTAGCGCGTGGATGTCAGGTTACTGACAGTGCTACATCGTAAATCACATTGACCAGTATATATGATATGATCTTCAAAGGGTTTATTATGTGAGCAATGGATACGTTATCGAGCTTTATCCTTATCTTCATTAACTTTCAGTTATAAATTCAACCAATTTTCTCCGGTGGACTTGTAGATGAATTCATGATAGTGGATAGACATCTGAAATAAAGACCAGCCTTACTCATTAGATAACAGCTTGAAGTACAAATCATGTTAGAAAATGTTATATTTAAAATGGCTAACACTCATTGATCATGAAGAATGTAAATATTCTTTGTCACATGTACAAAAAAAATATTCAGATTATCTCCCCTGATACACATGACATGGAGAATGAATTTTACTCACTTTCAAATCTTTGTATCAATATTGGTACATTATGGATTCCCAGCTGAGCTCTGATATGACAGAGCATTTGTGGGGAATGATTGATTTTGACATTGATATAGACATATATAATAGGATCATCCCAGTAATATTATATGGGACCAGATGGTCGGAGGGCGCGATTTGATTCCAGGAACAGACATGAAAAAGTATGGGGGTTACCTTTCCAACCACATAGATTTCTTCAGGTACTCTACTTTCCTCCCCAAAAAGACACCTCACACACTTCCACTCGGGCCAACAATTATAAATAGGTCATGATGAGTACTTTTCCAGTATTATAAACAGACTTTTCAAATGTTGATTTAACCAATCTACTGCTGTAGTACATCTAATTGGGCTTAAAGTTTTGTTTACACAATATTGCTAAATGAACACCATCAGCCTCAGGTACTCAAAATGACCAATGCTGATATCTGATCATCTTTTATTCATAATATTCTAATTACTGTTAATTGAGTTATTTATAATGTCAATTATTAAACATAATATATTGATTTGTGTCATTTCTAAAACCTGCAGAAAATACAGTGAATTGTATATATTACAGAGGATGTGAAGGCTCTGTCACTCCCGGGAACCTACCATGAGAAAGTTGTCAGTCTAGGGAACTCGCTAAGGAAGTTTTCTCGTCTGAAAAGTCTTGATCTCTCCAGGAACGCCTTAACATGCTTACAGGTACATAAATGTTTTCAGATTAAGGATGATAGAAACATGTCTTGTATTTTTTTTATATATATATATAGTAGATAATTTTATATTATATCGATGTGCTGGTGAATATTTAAACATAACACTATTTTTAAATTAAAAACTTTGTATATGGTTCATTTGAGACATTCTAAAAAATAAAAATCAGTATTCACTTTTCAAATATATTGCTGTGTTATTTTCTCACAGGATTCAATTGAAACTGAACACCATATTTTGTATATGATTTTAAGAACTGGGAATATGGTGCTTAAGTTGAGTTCACTTGTGATATATATATTCTATAGACACAATGTTTAGAACATTTTGATGATAATTTGCCTGATATTTACACCCAACAGGGAATGGAACATCTGAAGTTGTTGGAGAGACTGAATCTGTATCCTTGTCCGGTACTATATATAATATAGCTATAGTTATGTTTTAGTTATTATAGTTATAATGTAACTTGTGAATACATATGTGCCCTCATATAATCAAGTTTAAAGTACACATGTTAAAGTTATAGAAATAATCACTGATCTTTACTTGTAAATTGTCAGAAAGAGTGTAAAGTTAATAGGCTTTATACATAAGTGTCATTCTTTCCAGTCCTTTACTTGGGTTATCTCCCCTTGGCATATACATGCTACACATTTGAGAAATTGAGTGAGTACTCTCCTGGTCTGTTTCCTTTCTTTTATAGTGGTGTGAACTGTTTAACCAGCTTGACAAATGCTGTTCATTCCAGAAATATTTAGATATAGAGCTATTATGATAATATTTTGTTCTCTGGTGTATTGAGAATGACCTGATTGTGGTCAAGTGTTGCCTGTTTTTCTGTGAACTTCATCATTAAAAAAACATCCTTGACACAAACCACAAGCTACTACAACGGGATAGAAACCATGGACGAGCTGAAGCGCTTAAGATTCAACACTGGCCTCAAGGAACTCGATCTAAGACTGAATCCTGTCACTCGCACGGAACCTGACTACCGACTATACCTCATACACATGCTCCCCAACCTTCAGAAACTAGGTCAGTTTTGATGGAAGTAATTAGCATACATGGCAAAGTCTCCTGCCTGACCATGCAGGTTTTCTCTGGGTACTCTAGTTTCCTCTCATAGTAAGACCCCCTCATGCAATTCCATTGGGGCCAACAAACGTGTTTATTATTAGTTGGAAAAAGTTTTAAAAAATTGTTGTGAAATAAAGATTATTTCCCTTTTTTTCTGATTAAATTTCTTTATTATTTGCCCATTTCATATGATATTTAGTGAAGCTTGCTTCTGAAAGTCATGTGGAATGGAATCTTAGATTAGCTTGTTGTGTTTTGTCCAGATGACCGCGGAGTGAGAGACAGAGAAAGAAATGCAGCCCTCGTCCACTTCAGCTCCAGCCAGGCAGTAGAGATATCAGTCCAGCCAAGTAATGGAGAACCTCCACCAAAACCACCCCATCCTCGGGCAGAGATGGTACGGGGCATGGGAAAGGGGATGACCGGTAAGCCCTTTATAAATATGTATTTTATACTATGAAAGCCTGGATTTTTGAGGGAGTTTTAAAGTCATGGATTTCATGGATGCTCTTAATCCAAAAATTCATTTGTTAAGGAACTGTTAAAATCAAACAAACAGTTTTAATTGAACTCTATTTACGAAATCAAACAGTTTTATTTTGTTAAAAAAAAAAACAAATGAGCCCCATGGAAATTGCTGATACTTCACACAAATACTTTTCATATATAAACTGAAAGTTTGCTTCATTTTCAAATTCGAAAGCCAATTTAAAATTCAAATTATGCTGTGTTATAATTCTGTCTATAAAAAGAATTTCATTAGTGGAGTATTGAAATCATTTGATGAGTTTTTCATTTGTCTGCCATCCATTGCAATCAGTATTATGGATCATTGTAGTATAAGTTATACTGTATAACATGAAATATTGGTGGGTATTTTTTTTGTGGTTTAATGCATCCTTTCAAAGGTAAAAACTTAAGTGGATGTCAAATAACTAAAAGACATAAATGTTTATTTATTGTAAGCCTCAGGTGATTTTCATAACATTTCTAGCTGAACTGTTTTCAAGACAAGACATTTTCAGTGTCTTTGTACCATAATTTGAAGTCTTTGTTTCCCCAGCATCTTTTGAGACGTCTGTTTATGAAGGTTTTGATTCAAAGGTTAATATTCTTTACTGGTAAATGAGATCATGCATGCAGTATAATGCATTCTCTGAAGGAAGGAGGCAGGTCAAAATGTTAATATTGAGATGTAAAATGATAGAGACTATTAGTCAGTGAATATATAGTAAGGTTTGTTGATTGATTTCTATCCTAGCCCTAGATGATGATGATGTGGCAGTGCTGGACCTGATTGCCAGGACAGGCGGTGATCTTAGTAGACCTCGAACCGTAACTGGTTCGGCTGCCAGGGAACCCACGGCAGAGGACTACTCTCTAGAAGGTATCACTGATTCATCAGTTACAATAAAACAAGCTGTTAAGACCTGGGAAACTTCACAGATTGGTTGCTGATCATAAAATAACTGAACTTTATTAATAGGAAATACACTCTCCTAAACAATCACACCTATTTTTTTAGTTTAATGCAAAGTTATAGGTGAACCCAAAATTTTACAAAAGACTGTTTTCATAATGTTGCTATTAAATAAAATTGCAAACTTTAATGTTACAATGTTGGAACATTTCCTGAGCTAGCTGGCTAGTGAAATGTACAAATGTACATCTTTCATTGATAAATGATAGAAATTGTCTCCCCTTTAACACAAGGTATTTAAGTACATGTAGTCTTGTTTGGTTGTGAAGTCTCCATTAGACAGGAATGGTTGGTTCAGAATGAAAATCTCCTCTGATCTAATTGTAGGCCTAGTTACAGGTTAATTTACCAAAGTATTGTACTTTTCAGGTAGAGGATCGGTACAAGGTATATAAGATTTCAAAAATATACAAATTAATGATTAATTTGCCTGTAATGTATCAAATGCATATTTTCTAGAATAAAGACAGAGATAAAATTGCTTGATTGACAGGTTTTACATTTATCTTGGTTCACTGACCAAACAAAATGTAAGATGCATGTTTATACTACAAGAGACTTACCTAATGTAATGATACAGTGACATTATACCTTTAACGGAGTAATACATTATAACATGACACTGGAAGGCTTTGGTTAACAGAGATAAGTTTTAACAAGCATGAAATAGCACTATGAGCAAGCAGTCATGAGTTCAGTTGTCACTGAGGCTCTGAGGCAGCATGATAATTCTTTATAGAAAAAATGCCCGAAACAATCTGGGAGTTCAGGTGACTGTTTTATTTATTACACAGGCGACATCTTAAAACAAACTGATAGTTGAACTCTACAAAAACAGGCATAAAACACTAAAATTAGACTCGGCATTAATGTCTAACCTATTATGCACTGTATACTAAATTTAATATGATAATAAATTCAGTGGGTAAAAGACATTTACTCACATATAATGGACAGTTGCTGATGTAATCAAAATAGCATTAATAGTGGATTACAGTAGACACTTGGTGTTCAATAGTACATTACAAGTACTATTTATAGAAATGAACACATACAGATTACTGTACGTATTTGGACTTGACATTTTGAGTGTAAAATATACTAGGGGTAGGTACTGATATATATATAGATGTAACTTAAAGATGCTTTGTGTATCGATTAAATAGTTGAAAAAATGAAATCAACACGACAAATGTATTCCGCTAACTATATATATATATATATATATATATATTCAAACCTCTCATCTGCTGAAAAGTCAAAAGGCCGGAATAGTAGATGTAAAACATGCTAACTAAATGAATGATCATAAACTTATGTCTGTATACATGTTCCATAAGACTTGGTCTCGTACACATTCTGCCTCTCTTGATTTCAGTGTTGAAAAGCTTGGATGGTGGACCAACAGACGATAAAAGGGAGGTTAGTTAATATTCAAGGAAATTGAATCTTGATTTTTCTAAATAAATTTTTCCTTGCAAATAAATTAACAATGAAATATAACACTTATGAAATCATGTTAGAAATAGGGTTAGAATAGCTTAAGTTCATGAAAACATGTGGTTATGCAATACCTGTCTGTTGGTTCACAGGAGGAACCTGCTCCCAAGCCTCGCCCAGGAAGCATGGAGGAAGCCTATAGGATGAAATACCCGAATATTCCTTCACTGACGGTGACTGGGACAGAAGATAGACATCGTGAGAGGTTAGACAGTGATAGCTGTCAGATCAATATTCATCAATTATGAATTAGGTCTCGGCTTCTGTTTGGATATGCTGTAAAAGTACTTATTTTGGGGTGTAAGCGTGTTCGAATTTTAGCTGAATATCAGTTTTCACATTCACAATAATTGCTATATTAACAACGAACAAAAGCTGAAATTAGTGCAACCATGTTGCTTTAGATAAGATTACCAAGAACTTAGATATATATGTGTACAATAGTCAAACTTTTATTTGAATTTTTGATTTGAGAATATACTGACATTGAATTTGATCAAGAATATTCATCCTACAATTTGTCCAGTTGTATGAATGTTTCTTACAAATATGCAGTGAAACAAGTAGAAATTGTAGCAGGATGACCGATATTTTGATGCTTTTATTAATGTATGTCATATGTTTTTCTGTTTACAACTCTAGGAAGGATGAGAACCTACAATATCAGGATGAAGTAGATGCCTACAGTAAATTCAAAAGCCATGGCTACTTCACAGCCAACCCAAATCAAGGTAAGACTTTTTTTTATATCTCTAGTACCGTGAAAGCATTTCATCAATTTAGTCCTTCATTTTATTTCTGGTAAAATTGGTCAAAACTTTTTAACGCAACAAGATGAATGATATATTTAATCCTCACCTGCTTGATTGGGAATTTTATTCAAAATCGATACATATGAATAATTTTACTTAAAAATAAAGAAAAAAAACATGTTTTTTCTGGCAATAAGCCCAATCTAATTTAGTGTTTTAACAACAAATGATATCTTGTTAACCTGTGTTAAGTTCACTCTTGGAATTGGAGTTATGTTTTGGCCCCTGGGGATTATTGAAGATTGAAGTGTGAGTACTGAAAAGTCATTTTAATGTGGAATTCATTTTTGTTGATTTCATTGATTCTCTAAATCCATAAATACATACATGTCTATGAACTATAAAATTGTGCAAAAGTGGATTTATTGTGGGGTTTTTAGTGGATTTATTGCGGGTTTTTTTTTTTTTTTTTGGAAAAGTAAGGAATTTGTGCCCCATGGAAATATATTGTTACGTTGTATAGTAAAGAAATATCCTCTTCTACAGAACAAGCAAGAAATGGAAATGGCAATACCTCCCAGGTCCAGACAGAGCGAGATCCCTACCCAGGACCCCCTCGGGTGCCCACAGAAAGGCGAAGATCATTTGGGGAGGAGGAGTCACCACAAGGTCATCAGAGGTCAAATAGTCAGCCATCACCTAGAAAGGAGGTATCGGCTCATAACAAAAATTCAATTTATAATGTAGATTGCTGTTGACGGTTTGGAATACATCAGTGAAAATTAGACAGAACAATTTGTTTTATCCTAGATTTATATGATCTGCATATAGAAATCAGAAAAATTCTTCCATAATGTGTTGGGAAAATTTTGATGGTATTTGCATTGATTCCTTGAAAACAAAGCAATGTGTTTCTCAATCTGTCAGATGTTTTTTTCTACCAGGTAAAGTATTGGTGTTGTAGGCGATCATATCAACATTAACAAAACTAAAGTTTGTGTAGTGACAAATTTGCAGTGTAAGATTCTGCAAGAGCGAATCGGAAAATTATTTCATAGAAATTTTATTTTCATTCCAAATTGTATTTTAAATAACCAATAAACAAGAATGAAATATTAGGATAAGTTAGCGACATAAATCTGTCTCCCAAATTATTTTCTGACAGAAAACCACAAATATAACACTGAAGCAAAAATCTTGTGTATAGTAATTTTGTTTTTTTCAAACAGTCATTTGATATTTACAAAATAATCCTTATTAGTCATCCACTGGCAATCAGGGGAAGGAGAGGGGACTATAGTTTCCTGTTGTGTTTGTCCATACGCTATCTTGTCAGGGCTCTCCGACTCTACTCTTCATTGGAACTTCATATTTAGCAAATGTGAGATTGTTTGTCATAAATCAAAAGTAGATCATGCTGATCTACATTTTAGCCTTTGACCAACATCCATGGAAAAGTTTGTCCCAGCTCTATATTCTACAAAGCTGGTCACTGGAACTTCAAACTTGGGATATGGATTCACCTTGATAAGATGGTTTGTTGGTGAAATACTGTAATTCGCCATATTGTCTTCTTGTAGATATTTTTCAAAATTCAAAATTATTATTTTGACTTTGACAGGTTATTAGCTGTCAGATAATAGACTTGTTTGTTTTTTTCCCAGCATCATGATTCAATGGAAGATTTAGGGATGAGACGAGCAGATCGGTCAGTGGATGACCTCAGGTCATTGAGGTCAAACGAACAACATGTCTCAAATGGAACCATGAAGGGAGAGAACTCTAGATCAAAAGAATTACTTTCAAAATTACTTGACATTGTTGATAGATATTGGAATGGATCAAAGTCACTACATAAAAATATCAAATTTAGAGGTGAGCTTTGAGGATCTGCATTTTATTAGATGTAGAAATACAAACAAACAGAAGTGTTCTCAAAGAAATAGAAGGTTAGAGTTTTATCGTTACAAAGGAGCAAAGAAAAATTGATTTGATTGTCAAAACTTCTTCAGAAAAGTTTCGTTTGCAAAGTAAATTTGTTTAAATTTCATTTTTAATATATGACTCTTAAGGTGGTTTTATGTTAATGCAAAGATACTTTTAAAATCTGTGTTTTACATCTACCAATCACATCAAGGTAATAATTAAGAATGTAATGTTTTCATATTTTCAAGGTCTTGCATATGAACTTATAGACAACTTTGCCAGAAATTATGGTGATGATTTGAGTAAGGTGGAAAGTGATTTAGCACACATCCGTGAAGAGAACTTTAAGTTGAGAAAAAGAGAAGAAATCACCCGCAACACACTCGCAGACAGCACGGTGAATGAGAGTCAACTAAAAACCTCTTTGCATCAAGCTTACAAAGACAATGTATGTTGTCTTACTCTCTAGTCTTATCCAATTCTTGGTAAAACAAACTTAGCAAAAACGTTGAATCATCGTAAGGCTATTTTTGTCGGTTAATCTTATGACACTTTCTTAAACAATATCATAGAAATTTCAGCTCACATTTAATCTGGAAAAATATTTTCAGAAAATTTCAACTCAACTTTTGACTCACATTTACATTAAAATTTCTGAACTTGTGAATGATCATTAGATACTTTAAATTGGAATAGAAAAGTTAAAACCTAGTTGATCTGGAAGTGCTAACATTGTTTACGATAGCGGAAAAACTGAGAAAATCTACTTTAGCCTTTTGCTGAGTTTCGTTTTTTCAAGAAACTGGATCCTGGTCGTCTTAAAACATGATGAGTTTACTTACATACATATTGTTTTACACTTTATCTGCATAATTCAAAGCATCCTGAAAGAAATTCAAAGCTACAGTGTTCAATTGATTTTTTTTTATTTTGGTATCATCAAATGCGATTTGTTTGTTTGTTTACATGATCAGATATGAGCTATTATTGAATAGACCATCATGTTTTAATCATTATGACCATTATTACAACCTTTTTCTTCTGCACAGCATGATTTTTTTTATTACTGTATTTATCCAGTTTTACACCCATTCCTGGTAATAAGCCCGCCCTTATATATTGCCAGCTGTTCAGTAGAACCACAAGCCACTGCTATTTCATTGTCCTATAAATTCCACTCCCTCGGCTTTTGAGTCAGCAGGTTTTGTGTTGGTCCCTTGGCTCATCGCAGGATAAATTTAGTAAGATTGTGTTGTTATAGAAATAGACATTTTGGATAAAAAATGCTGTTTTTTCTACAGATTTATTGAATTGTTAAGTAATGAAGACAAGATTCAAATGCTGTGTATGGCGTAATATCAGTATGCATCCATTGTTTCATTTTGTCAGTTGAGGACAAAACAAAATTTTATAATTTTCCCAAGAGTTTATTGATTGTCAGTAGCAGGCTCACTGAGACTTTTGTGCTATTTTTGGTATAATAATGCATGTGTATTGAGTATATTTGTTGTAAACAGAGTTCTATTAGATTGTATTTGTTTTCTTCAGCTAGATTGCTACACAATTCTGCTCTTAGGCCAGCACAATATATATTATAGTCTGAAGTGATTCTTTGAACGAAAGAGAATTTTGATATTTTTTTTCTTTTTGCAGAAGTAAAAAATTTAAGCGCTTTCCATGCTTTCCATACAAATGGAGAAAAAGAAATATTCTTACAAAATTTTGTAACAATGCATTAAGCTAATATGGATTATTTCAGACTTTGATGTTTTAATCTGTACACTTGTTAGAACAAAACTTCTCTCTTCTCTCAATCCAAAGTACCCTGTAAACTGTCGAGCGTAGAATGAAATATTTGAACCATAGATAGGATATATGGATTTTGGAACTATTTAGAAAAATTTAATACATATATGAATCACTTGTAACAACACAAGTTCACAGTATTCACAAAATTGATGGTGTTTTTCGGCAACTTTTCTCATCTGCATACTTTCAACTTGTACAGTTTTACATGCCACAGTGAATTTATTATATAACAATACCAATTTTAAGAAAAAAAAATATTTACAATAAGTTTAAAATTTTACATTTCCTTTTATGGGATAAAGATTGTGGTAAGTATACAGAAGCATGCAACACTGTGTTAGATCATACACCCACACTGTCTCTCTGTGATCACCGACAGGTAGCCTGATGCCTATTATCACATGTATGACTTTTACATGTAAACATTTTTCTGTTGTTAATGACAAAAATATATGAGTTGAAATCCATGTTTAAAAGTTATTATTAATATTTTTATCATCATACAAGGTTTTAAAATATATATTTTATTTCATATTGGAAATATTCAGACTTTCTGCTGGCTCTGTAGGGCCCCATTACCAATCGGATTCATTTCATTGTGTGTCCAAATTCCTAAGATATAATAGTTTATTCCTTAAAGGAAAACCTGCCTGCTATCTGTTTCGCAATAATATGAATTCAACAATGTTATGATTTAATTTAAATTTGATTTTATGGACTGCTAATTGTAAAACGTGAAGAAATATTGTTTTAGGAGGCCCTGAAGGACGAGCTGCAGAACACTGTCAGGGAAAATCGTAAACTACAAATGAAACTGAAGGAGCAACAGAATGGTCAACTTTCCACAGCAGCCACGTCCATGTCTTCCGTCAACCAGTCACACCTAGGTCAGTCCCTATGCTGAAATGATGGGTTCACATATGAAAAATAAAAATTTTCATTTCATTTGTCATCATGAGATGTCATTAACCAGTGTGTGATCAATATTCCCACCACTAAGGATTGTGGTGGACAGTATTCAGAATTAGACATATAGGAATTCCTTTGTTTGACCATCATCTTACAATAATGATTCTGTTACTTGTTAATAAAAAATGCACTCAATATGGGTTGCCTTTGTACGATGCAAGTGAATGTTAATAAAAAAGTTTAATACTAGCAACAGAAATTGTACAATTTGTAATGCATTATCAAATTTGTGATGATGATGATGATGATGATGATGATAATGATGATGATGATGATGATGATGATGATGATGATGATGATGATGATGACGACGACGACGATGATGATTATGATTATGATGATTAGATGATGATGATGATTAGATGATGATGATGATGATGATTAGATGATGATGATGATTAGATGATGATGATTAGATTATGATGATGATTATGATGATTAGATTATAATGATGATGAGTAGATGATGATGATGATGATGATGATGATTAGATGATGATGATTAGATGATGATTAGATGATGATGATTAGATGATGATGATGATGATTAGATGATTATGATGATGATGATTAGATGATAATGATGATGATTAGATGATGATGATGATGATGATGATGATTAGATTATAATGATGATGATGATGATGATGATGATGATGATGATGATGATGATGATGATGATGATTAGATGATGATGATTAGATGATGATTAGATGATGATGATTAGATGATGATGATGATGATTAGATGATTATGATGATGATGATTAGATGATAATGATGATGATTAGATGATGATGATGATGATGATTAGATGATGATGATGATGATGATGATGATGATTAGATGATTATGATGATGATGATTAGATGATAATGATGATGATTAGATGATGATGATGATGATGATGATGATGATGATTAGATTATGATGATGATTAGATGATGATGATGATTAGATGATGATGATGATTAGATGATGATGATGATTATGATGATGATTATGATGATTAGATGATAATGATGATGATTATGATGATGATTATGATGATGATGATTAGATGATGATGATGATTAGATGATTATGATGATGATGATGATGATGATGATGATGATGATGATGATGATGATGCTTTTTGTGATGATGTTCTCCAGGATGATGATGATGAATTTGTAGATGATGTTTTTTGATGCCTTTTCTGTTACAGAAGAAATTAAGCGACAGAATGATATCCTGAGGAATGAGGTGGAGATGTTACAAATCCGACTAAAACAGTACTCACAGATGCAGGAGCTGGCGGCCATGTTACAAGAGAGTCACAAGTAGGTACCAACATAAGTAGACAGTCTACATGTTACAGGGCTAATACATGTGCTTTAACATCAACATCGAAGACCGCTTCGATCCGATGACAATCCCATGCAAAGAAATTAGTCTGCCATCATCCATTGCCAAATAACAGAATTTTCGAAAAAGTGCTATTTTATACTCCTTTGATAAGACCATCCCATGATTTAGATATTTTGTTAACAATGTCTGTGGTTTATTGAGAGATAAATTCTTTACCTAATGTCATATGTCGTCGTGGAATGCATGGTCCCCACCCCTGTGTCATGTCATATGACCATGTCGTGAATATTCTCAGACACACATGTATTGAATATAATTGCTGTGAGGTTCTTTTTACAACAGCTTGATGACATCACATATTTGGCTCAGAGAGAGAAAAACATCCTATCTGCATCAAAATAAGATTTCTTTTAGGGAAATTAATGTGAGAGTCTGCTGCTTTTTTCAGAAATACAGATTATATGATAAATTTAATCTTACACTCTTGTCAATATATTATTGGATTGATTGAACGATTTTTCTAATTTTGTAACATATCAAATTATTGAATTCATTTAATATAAAATGCCACATTATGTTGATATACAAGGTTTTCTGTTTCTTTAAATGTGTGATTTCTCATGGTTGTTGGTTTCCTTTGAGAAATTCCTATAGGTTTAAATGTAACTCAATAAAAATAATGGTAGGTCTTATTAGATCTCATACCCTCTGTATTTCTGTGCTTGCTATCTAAGAGATGTGTTAGACTTAAACTAATATCTCATGTCTGTGTAGGTCCCTCGTCCAGACCAATGACCACCTTTTGAAGGACCTCGGGGAAACCAAACGACGCCATCAGGGGGAAGTGGAACAACTCAACTGGAGTTACAACCAGCTGAAAAAATCTTCAGGCTACGCACCACCCACAAAGACCCGAGACCATGGCAGGGCTTCAGCCACCTTGTATGACTCCTAGCATCTAAATTTACACTTATCAGTTCTGTACTGGCGTGCAGAAACATCAATGGTTCCTTGTTGGCTTGGATATGTTCTTAAGTCGGGGAACGCCAAGGGAACAGACTGTTCATAAATAATCTTGTTCCCTTTTCGTTACTATTTTCTCTGTTCAAAGTGTCGAACCCAACAAAGTTCCATTGCTGTTGATATCATCATGATTATTCGAAGTCCAGTTAAAATACAAATGAAACATATTTGAAAATTTGAAATATCATTATTTGTAAATTCATTACTTAAATAATTCATTCTAAGTATTTTAAAATTGGTGCATATATTTAATATAAAAAACCGAAACCAATGATATATAATGATATTTTATATATATATCCGGTGATCATCGCACATTTAAAGAGTGTTGAATAGCTTGAATCTCTGAAAAATCTCAGAAAACCAAATTATATATTTATCATTTCATGTACTTTCAGTAGGAGATTCAAGGAATTTATTTGATTAATTTTTGGATCAGAATGAAAACCAACAATTTTGTTTTGCGTCATATGTACACATGATATTTAATATCAGTTTTGAAAACCATGCAGCATTTAATATTAGACGTATTCAGTCGGTATTTCTTTTCTTGCCTGTCCGAGCATTTAATGCTTGCTTTGAGTTTTTTCAACTCAGAAAAGGATATTTGGATAATAAGCCAGTTTGAATTTGAAGGAATTTTAAGGATTGTACAGGATAATTTTGAAGATTTATTTAAGTTTTGCTATAAAACTCACAGAATTTTATTTTCAAAGATGAAATTCAATAAAAGAATATTTTTATGAAAATGTTTGTCAATTATCGAATCAAAATTGGTAGAAAAGAATAAAAAAAAACATAATTTTGTTGTTTTTTTATTGAAGTGTTTGGGAGTTCCATTTTAATGTAAACATTTTGGATGTAAAATTGTCTGTAAAACTGATTTTCCATTTTTAAAAAATCCAACTTGAAAGGAAAATGGAGCTATAACCAGTAATTAGTCCTTGGAACATTATTTCTTTGATGTTATGGTTGGTAATAAAAATCTCACAACATTCTCAATGCATGAAGACTATGCATGAGAAACTTTATCCGTCCATTATCTTTGTTCATATTTATGTGGTATTTAATTGGGCTTGGTGACAATATGATTGAAGTCTCTGCATCTGAAGAATTTGGAGTGATTTAGAACAGAACATTTATTCACAAAAAACATAGGTTCCATAGGTTATTTGATGTGCAGACTGAGAATTAATTATCATAATTTTTATGTCAAATTCATTATAGCAGCTAATTAATCAAGTATTGAGATCAAAGTGTGTGAAAGTTTCCAGATCAAAACAATTATTTAAAGATTATGTATATTAATGATATTTGTGATCATATTTTTTGTAAAAAGTATAGAGTGGTCATTCTGACCCGTACATCACATGTACATATGTCTCCTGATAGGATACATGCTTACTGATGTGACATGTGTCTTCTGTTATGACATGTGTCTTTAGGTGTAGCATGTGTCCCCTGATGTGACACATGTCTTTCGGTGTAGCATGTGTCCCCTGATGTGATACATTTTCTGATGTGACACATGTCTTTAGGTGTAGCATGTGTCTCTAATGTGATACATTTTCTGATGTGACACATGTCTTTAGGTGTAGCATGTGTCCCCTAATGTGACACATTTTCTGATGCAACACATGTCTTTAGGTGTAGCATGTGTCTCTAATATGACACATTTCCTGATTTGACACATGTCTTTATGTGCCTGGAGGTTTGACACTAATTCCCTGATCTTATACTGTGACAAGATATTGAAGGAGAAAATCAATATTTGACAAAATATATTGCTTGTCTTTTGTATAGATCAATGCAAGTTCGAACAGAAAATGGAGTTAGCATGTTTTGCCCTTTGTTGCCTGATTATAAATATTGAATACCTATTTACCTTTAATATTACAATACTGAAGTTAATGCTGTATTTCTGGGTACATGTGGAGGGATTTGGGACGGTGGAAGGATAAATTGTCTCAGTTGAACATATAACAGTGTGTCTGGCTTTATCATCCAAAGGTATACCTGTAAGTACATACAGGTATATTGGGAGGTATATAAGTTGGTATAAGTGAGTATAGGGATGGTTTTTGTACTTATGATGTTTGTATCTATTTTTCAAGTAATCATCATCAAAATTCCAAGGTCCTGATCTTTAACGATCTCCACGGACATCGTTACCGATGGCAACTCTGGAATTTTGAGGATAGTCGGCAAGTGCCCAAGCACAAGTGTTCAGTAAAATTACAATCAAATGCTTTTTCATTTTCCTGTGATAAGCCCACCCTCAACTTTGGGCAAAGAAATTTTCAATGCTTTTTCAGGACTGAATGATCCGCAATTTAAATGGTGAGTTAAAGAATATTTTTTTCAAATCGTATTTTTTTTTTTGAAGAATGAAAAAACATGCAGCATTAATATCCTGATTTTTAAAGAACACTTTTAGATGTTTTAAAGGAATCAATTTTTTACTCATGTTAGAATTTGTGTGAAGGGTACAACTGAATGTTTGTATGTACACAGTCACTTGAAATAGGATTATGATATGGGGATTTTTTTATTTTTGTACAGTTTAAAATCTGTATAAGTTTGAATGAATTATTAACTCAATTTGAAGTCGGTGAAGTTGACTTGATTAACACGATGTCTGATTTAAGATTGTATGTTTTTTTTTTCCATGTTAATTGAAATTTTCATTGTTTCAACAAGAAAATGCCTTCAAGATATTGTTTGTTTGAGTTAGATGAAAAATTTACCAATGCTTTCAACAAATTTGCCTGCAATAATTATTTTCTCCGATTCATTCTAACACTACGGAAGAATTCAGTTGATAAGTATAATTAATTTAGTTACACTTATGTATGGAAATATCAAGTATTCCACATCAAGATTTTATAAGCTTTTACTGTTGTGTAAGAAAAGTTTTCATCAATGACCATTGTAACAATGATGGTTTGTTTTTCTCAACAAGAAGTGTTTTAAGCGAACTTTCTCAGAACAGTGTTGAATTCTAGATGTAGTGATCGCAAGAAGGTAAAAATAGATGTCTATTTTGAAAGAACTGTTATAAAACATTAAGCGTGTGTCATATTTTACTCCATACATGTGTAATATCTGTGATAAATATGTTGTTTACCATTACACTGACAGTGAAACACAGCATCGTATTTTGTTTGAAGTGTTAGGTCTTTTGTAGCGAATTTCATGTAGTAATTTGAAAGCATGATGTTTGAGCCCTTATCAGATATAAAATTGCCCCATATTAATCATTTCATGAAAATTAGGCTGTTATAGAACGCTCATACATATAGGTACTCTCCATCCTAACTCCATGCTCTGTTTTTTCAGATGGACGCCTATGGCATCTGAATTTATGTTGACATAATTTTATCAAAATGTTGACAAATTGACATCATGCTGTCTCAGGACAGATAGACACGATGTTGTCTCGGTTCATTTAGACGCTGTGGTGTCTTTTTTAAGGTGAATACTAAAGTGTCATATTTCAGACACTGTGTTGTCTTCTTTCATGCAGACACTGATATAGAGTCTTTGTTGAGATAGAAAACATATTGTCTTAATTCAGATAAATACCATGGTTTAGACACTGGTGTCCTGGTTCAGATACACTTGGGTGTCGTATTGTTTCACGAGGACACCTAGAAGTAATAATTAGTATCTTGGTTGTGATAACAACAATATGGTGCTTTATTTCACATAGATACCATTTTTATTAACCATTCACAGACAAACACTGTTGTCTTGGTTCAGATATATATTGTGCTATGTCAGTTAAATAAGGACCATAATGGTGACTCAATTGAGACAAAAACACATTTTGTGTCAGTTACTTATCCAATACAGAGTTTATTGTCTTGTGTCAGACATGTGGAGTTTTGAGACTACGGTAGGCCTAAGTTTAGAAATGTTTTGAGGCTATGGTAGACCCTAGTGAGAGGCTTCGGTATTTGAAGGCTGTGACTGTAAACTTGTTTATATTGAGTAGTGAATCTGCTCACTTTGTAATGTTGCTGCTGTGTTCTTGTCATTTAATGGTAAACAATAAAACAATGCAATAAAGTATATTGTATATTTTACAAGTTTTATTTGTTCTTTATGAGAAAACAATATTCATGATAAATTAGTGCTAATATATCATTAGTGTAAGACAATATTAAGGATAAACTAGAAATAGTCATAGACAATTTTTCACCTATTTTGGCCTGTAATTAAAGGCAATGCCTGCAATACATTGACACTCTGTATGAAATCAAAGTACAAAAGGAATCGTTAATAGTAAGAGATGAAAGCACTGAGCGTGATATTTTCAAAATAAATGCTGTATATCGTTAATTTGGAACTGTAACGGAAAAAAACAGATGCTGAATTTTTGGAAAACATTACTTATTGTTGTCAATATTAAGTGTCCACAGGAGGTTTTTAAGGAAATTTTACAATTGTTCACCTCTGAAAATATTAAATTGAATTCATAGGAATTTTTTAAATGATTGAAGTCTTTCCAAACTTCAGAACTTTCATATACATAGGTACCCTACCTTGAAGATTTCAACTTTGACCCCTAAGGAAAACCGGAGTTGGTCTTTTATAAAAGTTTTGCTTATTCCAATCAAAAGTCCCTGCAGAATGATATTGACCAAATCATGTGTCTGTTTTTCTCTTAAAAAGTTTTTAAAAAACGTCATTTAATGATATTAATATAATTGACCCATGTGACCTTGAAAGTAGGTCAATAAAAAAAATGGCGTCAAGGCGGCAATTTTGTTTTTTCGATAAAGTTGAAAATCACGTCAGAATTTAGAGGGCACGTGACCAAATCCATTCCATAAACAATTAAACAAAATTTCATCTTAGAATCTTGGAGTAATTTTAGTTCAAACTTTTTGTCTGCCCTTAACAATGAACAATGGGATTTTTTTTATAAAAATGACGTAAAACGTCAAAGAAAGACGTCAAAGAAGAAATGTAGACACCAAAATGATCGGATCGACATTCTTCATTGAACTGTGGAAAAAAAGTCGAAAAAAATCTTTTTTTTTTCTTTAGGTGACCTTGACCCTATGGCGAGCTTTTTTCTTATTTGAAAGAATTTCTATTAACATGTATAAAAAAAAGTTAGATATGACCCTCCTCTACATAAAGCGTAATTGTCGCAAATTTGTAGGACAAAGTTTTCGAGTTATTGCTGTTTTCAGAATTTCTGGTAATTAGGTCATGGCGGCCGTTTGGATTTTTGACCTACTTACAAATAAGGCATTAACAAGTTCAGATGTACTTCCATAACATTCTATATAGGTTGCGTGCCTATCCCATACCGTTTAAAAGATTACGAACCCACAAATTCGGAATAAGAATAATAATAAGAAATATAACAAAAATAATAGGACTTTTCACCAAAAGGTGAATAATAAGTATTGATATATTATTGATATATTAAATTAATATATTATTAGCATGAAACAATATTCATGATAAATTATTGCCAATATATTATTGGTATAAAACAATATTCACGATAAATTAGTGCCAATATATTATTAGTATAAAACAATATTCATGATAAATTAGTACAAATATATTATTAGTATAAGACAATAATGGTGTTCCTAAGCAGAGGACGCCTACCAAGACTTTATAGCACAATGCTCCCGGAAATATGAGTGTACCGACTCTATTTTATGCTGAAATTCTGAAAACTAACGATATTCAGCAAGTGAGTTTCGGACAGGTATGGCTGGACCTCTCAATCTGCACGTGCCAAACATTCCGTAGTCCAACCTCGGTCCCGATCCGTACCTCGCGTTTTTCTTAAAGGTTCAACCGGTCCAACCGTTTCAACCGATCACGCGAAAGCGCCCTTAATTTGTGTCCATTACCTGACTCTTTTAGAAACTCTTTTATAGAGAAGACAAAAAGTGGAAAACGAAAAAAACATTAAAAAGAAGGCAGGTTCAACCGTTTCAAGCGATCACGCGAAAGCGCCCTTCCATTCCCCGACTCTTTTGGGAACTCTTTTGTAGAGAAGACAATAAGTGGAGAACGAAAAAAAGCAGTGAAAAGAAGGCACGTGTTACTGTGTTGATTTCCAACAAACGCTGGATCTACAAAGCAACACAACAGTTTATAACTTGGAATTTCCTATGTGGTTTTACCGTGAAAGAATGTTTCTCTGTTTCTGTCAGCTCAAAGTTACTCTAGTTATGTTAATTTTTTTTAACACATCTACATATCACCGCGTGCCGCTGGTCGTCCGTCCAGGTGTCCGTTAGCTGCAGTCCTGCCCTGTTCGTAAGTGTCTGGATCTGTTCCATTGTATACTTGCAGCTCACTCCTGTGTCTTTCTCGTGAAAAAACAGACGTTCATTTTTCTGCATATGCAACTCCATACCTAATCCAGCTGGTAATGAAATTATGATTTGGTTATGACAGGTGTTTTTTTTTCAATAAGTTTAATAACAGGAGTTTCATGTTAAAAAAATAAACGTTATGCGATGACAACGGCGAGTGTCTTTTCAAGACCTTGGAACCGTATATAATGAAAAGCCATTATTCCTGTTTAAAACAGCATGCGGAATACGAGGAAAATCCTGACTGGATTTAATTTCGACTCAAATAAAATCATATATTTAACGGAATCCTTATATGGAGATCGTTAAAAATAATGTTGTATACTACCAGCTTTTTACGGAAAGTCTTCATGTTTATCACGTTTATCCACAAAGATTGAATATTCATATAAATTTTACTTTGGTGAAATTACTTGACACATAGTTGTTTCATACAACGGACCAAATAGTGTCATTTGTTGGAATGTTTACCGTTTACAAATAACTCCAAAATTTGAAAAAAAAAAAAAAATCGTCGGCAACGGTATTCGAACCTCTGACATCTTGTAAAACCAATTCCTACTACTCTAAGCACGTGCGTTGTGCTATAAATATTGATACTTCGGTGCCAAATCCGTTTCGTGCATGTAATGTGTCCTGGGAGGAAATATTCAATGACACAACGAAGATAGTTTTATTGTCATTGAGTAAGATGTTGTTGGATGAGAAAGTCACTTTCGTTCAAGATTGTAATGCCTAGAAAACTCGTTACTAAATTGACATGTGAACTTGAAATATCTTGAGGAATGTTCACCAAATATTCAAATTTTCAAACAAACGTGATTATTAGAAAATTTCTTTATGTTACATACATCCGGACACACTCTAAGGCGTTCACTCAATCTGCATGTATTACACAATGCCGTGTTGTCTCTGAAAAGCATTTACAATATATTCAGATTTTTTTTTATCTCAGTACTGAACTCGAACTATATATTCATCCGTATCATAAACTGCTTTCCGTTCGTTTTACAGAATTTGGTCCTTTCATTTGATGTTTTGTTCGTTTTGAACATTAAGACCACGATTTCTGTGACAGTGGTCAATGGCTGACGGAACAACTCGGGAAATGAAAAGATGACACAAGTGGTTAAGGGTAAACGCAAACACCAGGATTTACACAGGTAACTTTAGTCACAGCCAGCGTCCACAATGTGAAACAAACGGACATTTATATAGAAACCAACTATTTATGTATCATTCGAAATAGATATGTTAAAAGCGTTGGCTAGCATAACCTGATGAACGTGTTGAAGCGGAAAGAAATTCAATTTCTTGAAAACCCGAGCGTTTTCTTTTTAAAAAAATCACGGTTTTAACGTTGATGTTTAACTCAAATCTTCGGTTTTGTCACAGATCGGTATTTTTCTTTCTCTTTTTTTTAAACATCGTCACTTGTATTCTTGTCAACAACTTACGTATTGGGAACGTGACATTGTCCTTGGCCTCGAGGTACGCTCTCACGTAGCTAATGTCTGAGTTTGGGCCCGACACAAAATCCACAATGTATCGGAACCGATCAGTATTGACCTGACTGCCGAACTCTCCGTTCATCCTGGTGATAGAATTCAGGAAAAATCTCTTGTGAAGTCCTATGTAAAAGAGAAAGAAAGAAAAAAAATGGAAATCTTAGAGAAAGCATTGTTGAAAAAAAACCCACTATCCGCAATTCTAAATATATTTGGTAATCGTCAATGGATTATTTCGTTAGATCGGTAGAGTGCAGCGACACCTCACTTAAAGAACATCTCAAAATAAGACGAACTTCACCATCAACTTCATTTTTTTCAGTTCCAAAAGTATCCATACATGTCAGATCATCTGTAATTAAGACGAGTTTCAAAAAGTTTCAAAAGCACTTGTCGAAAGGCCGTGAGAATGGACGTTAAACCCTTTAGATAATTAAAAATCAAATTCTCCAAAATCAGTTTTGCGTGGAATTGCACCTCACTGATCCGAGTGTTTTCTGCCGTGCATTCCATCAGTTGTCGGATCATTAATGTCAATGAAATGTCAAACTGACTTCGATGGTGAAATTACTGTTTATAAATGTTATAAAAATTTATCGACTGAAAAGCAGTCTTAAAAGAAGTATATCTCCTTAGTCACGCCCATTAATCAGACCACCCGGCTTTTAAGACCGCTTGTGTAGTACAATTCCCAAGGTGGACTTAGGTGATGAGGTTTCAATCTGCGTGTATTTAATTTAGAACGTGTCTGTATCTAGACCCACATCTGTAGAAAATACTAACTAACCTTGTACATCGTCGTATGCCTTCAGTATAGATGTCTCGTCTTGTGTGATGTCGGTACTAAAAATTAAACAGCATTCATCTGAAACACATAATGATAAGCTATCGTGGTACGTATCACTTTGATGGACATGGCATAGATATGGGATGCTAAATTTTAGAGTTGCTCTTAAATATGTGGTTTAAGTTTTAAAGTTCAAATCAATTTCATTGCAACAAAAGACAATAGGATTGGACAAAAGTTATTACAACTTACGTCCTTTCTAAACAAAGAAATATATACAAATACAATGTTGTCACGCAGTAGCCATTCGTTGGGTAGGTACGTATATATATACATAAACGTTTTAAATTAAGGGATAGGGATCATAGCGAAAGGGTGAGCATAGGAAGGATGACATCAACATATGATTTTACAAAGAATTCGCAATGACAGGGTTTAGTAAGATTTTCCCAATCCTTATGTTCTCTAACTTATTTGAAAATATAATGTCACAATTGTCCCATAATTCACAGACAATCGCCTAATGAAAACAAGATAGATTTTTCTAGTTTTTTTTTTACTTAAAATATATATAAGTTTGCTTAAACTTCCTTGCCATGTACTTTGTAGTGTTGGATAGTAAGAATTCAATGTGAGAGGTCCACCTACCATTGTTGCCAATAAAGACTCCTAGGTGTTTGTGATTTGTAGCAATAGGGATAGGTTTATTATCGGAAAGAAAATTGAGGGGTTAGAAGGTACAATTGTGTTAGAAACCAGACGTATTTCAGTTTTATTTGGATTAAAGTTCATGAGCCATTTCTGCGACCAAAGTTAAAGTTGTTCCATGTCATGGTCAGTTACTTGTTTAATATCATGTAAGATTTTAGAAGAGTGTGCCAGTGCAGTGTCGTCAGCAAAAATGAGTTAGAAATATAGTTGATATACACAGGAAAAAGAAGCAGTCCTAAAGCTGAGCATTGAGGAATTCCGGCTTTGATAGATACTTCAGAAGACTGAAGCTTAAATATATAGAATAAATGTGCGATTTACATTTTCAATGAAAAAAGAATATGTTAACAAAGGAAAAATCATGTGTCAGTTATTTTCACGCTATAAAATTATTATTTTTACCAAAGTTTTGTTTTCGTATTCAAAAGCACAAATACTTGAAAGGTTAGTATTTGATTTGTGAATGATCTGAACACCGAGACATCGCAAATTTTCTTGTTATTTTTCAAATTGTCTATTAAGTTCTATCATCACAAGGCAGTAATATGATAAAATGATTTTTTTTTTGTCTTTTTAGATGACACGTGTCACAAAGGTAAGATATCAAAATATCACGTGATCGGATGATCCTGGCGACTTTTTTTATGAAAGGTTTTTTTTCTCTTTTGTTTCATGTGAGAAATACAGAACCCATTTTCTATTTTGTTTCATGCGTTAAATTCGTAGGTTGAAAACTCTGATTGAGAAATGTTAGAAAGACCCTTTCAGCCCTACTCGATGAAACAAAAATGTTCTTCATAAAGAATGCAAGAATATCTTCTACTTATTACAATTTGCAATGGTGATATATAAGGTTTTACGGGAGTGAAGATAAGGAAGTTTGAAAATTTCACTTATTTTTTACCAACCCAGAGTGCATTGTTTATTGAATGATAAATCGGTAGAGATTTGGAAACTTAATCACTATAATTGAGGTAAAAAATTATAGTATTTTATCGATACAGGTCACTCTAAATTTAGTTTTTATAGTGTGTCTTGTTTTATATATATGTATTATATATTATGATCTGAAAAACTGCTGTATGTTATCCTGTTGAGTAAATTCAAACTGGCATTAAAAAGGTGAGAGTTTAATTGAAATAATATTCACTGATTCTTGTAGCTGCATACTCGTGGAAGTACTGAATTAGTATTCATCAAGAAACAAAAACATCCTTTCTCTCTATAGAAAATACTATTCTCACAACGTGACATTGTACCTGTCATGATAGTCGATATCAGCCTCAGAGTCTCAACCTGGTCATTATAAGGAAGGTTTAATATGGCGTTGAACCACAGTATTACCTTCGGGCCGTTCAAGTGTCTGCAAAAAGAGGTTGATTATACTAAATTGTTCATTAAATATATAAATACTATTGCTTTCTAATGTTGTCTGCATCTTCCAGTCACAATATTTGTTTACACTGCTGGGATCAGAGCATATGCGTTTGAAAGAGTCAGTATTGCAAAGCTTTTAAATAATGCTCAAAACCAACTTTCTAGGCATAAGTTTTACAACTTTTTCTTTGTATCGCTTTGATTTAAAAAAAACCCCAATCTTTTCATTTTCCCCTTCAAAAAAGTTCTTTTGGATGCGAAAGCACAGCTTTGCAAAAATAGCTATAATGTATCGATGCACTACAGGCGTTAGGATACGTGTAATTATAAATATGAATGTTTACTTATTTTTTTCGTAGACAACAATAATTCTTTGCTATTTTCGAGACGGATTTTCTATCCAGCAAATTTCTTTTATCATTAAAATGCAATGATACAAGGATACAAAGCAAAAACTAACATCAAAATGCCAATTCTTATGCCGCAAATCTCCATCACAACCGAAAGTGACAAATACTGCAAAGTTCAAAATTATTGAAATCCTTTATTTGGCAATGCTCTGAAATTCATTTCTTCCTAGTCTTAATGCTTGGATAGAAAATTGTTTGAGAACAATCTCCCTGATAGAAAAAATGGGATCGCTGTACTTAGTTTTATGCAAGCGTCTTTTCTTTTTAAATCAGGAAACAAACAGAAGAATTGATATTTCGGTCCTAAACTTCAAGAAAAATGATCCAGCAAGTCAGTATTCCTGTATTTCAATTCTGTAATTATTCATGCAAGAATTTGTCGGATTTTGCTTTAAATTCACAGAGGTAAACCCAAGAGCAATATCCTTGCAACGAAAAACATTGAAATTGTTGACGCTAAAAACCGAAGCACAACGTCAACTACGCCGTCAAAAATGACGTCCACGAGCTTTCTTTAAAACGTGATATAAATTGCCCGTTTTCAACATATAAGTACAACTACAGATGGCAATGTATATAAAAAAATGATATTGTGTCGGAATTCATTTCATATTGAATTATGTCAAAATATCAGGGGGGTACATCCTTAAGATCTCACGTAGCAAGGTAACGTAACAAGATCGTGATGATATCAAATTATCGTACTCTTTTAATGAATTCTACATTACACCGGCACTTCTGTAAATTTCTCGATGACAACATTCCTAAAATACCTCATTTTTTCTATCCCATTCACATAATTCTCTGCTGTAGGATGAATTGTCAGCTTCTCGCCATAATCCTGAGACAATTTATCCGCGGTACGCATCAGGAATTCTGAAACGACAAAAATACCCGCATGATAACAAACTCCAAATAGATAAGATGAGGGCAACCACCAATCAATGTTGTTTATTTTTTTTTTACACTTTTTTGTACTATTGAAAAGTACACGGAAACCATTGAAAAGAACACGGAGACTATTGAAAAGTAAACGCAGACTGTTGAAAAGTACACGGAGACTATTGAAAAGTTCACGGAAACTATTGAAAAGTTCACGGAGACTATTGAAAAGTTCACGCAGACTGTTGAAAAGTTCACGGAGACTATTGAAAAGTACACGCAGACTATTGAAAAGTTCACGGAGACTATTGAAAAGTTCACGGAGACTATTGAAAAGTACACGCAGACTGTTGAAAAGTACACGGAGACTGTTGAAAAGTTCACGGAGACTACTGAAAAGTTCACGGAGACTATTGAAAAGTTCACGGCGACTACTGAAAAGTTCACGGAGACTATTGAAAAGTTCACGGAGACTATTGAAAAGTACACGGAGACTATTGAAAAGTTCACGGAAACTATTGAAAAGAACACGGAGACTGTTGAAAAGAACACGCAGACTGTTGAAAAGTACACGGAGACTATTGAAAAGCACACGGAAACTATTGAAAAGTTCACGGAAACTATTGAAAAGAACACGGAGACTATTGAAAAGAACACGGAGACTGTTGAAAAGTACACGGAAACTATTGAAAAGTACACGGAGACTATTGAAAAGAACACGCAGACTGTTGAAAAGTACACGGAAACTATTGAAAAGTACACGGAGACTATTGAAAAGTTCACGCAGACTGTTGAAAAGTTCACGGAAACTATTGAAAAGAACACGGAGACTATTGAAAAGAACACGCAGACTGTTGAAAAGTACACGGAGACTATTGAAAAGAACACGCAGACTATTGAAAAGAACACGCAGACTGTTGAAAAGTTCACAGAAACTATTGAAAAGTACACGGAGACTATTGAAAAGAACACGGAGACTATTGAAAAGTTCACGGAGACTATTGAAAAGTACACGGAGACTATTGAAAAGAACACGGAGACTGTTGAAAAGTACACTGAGACTATTGAAAAGTTCGCAGAAACTATTGAAAAGTACACGGAGACTATTGGAAAGTTCACGCAGACTGTTGAAAAGTACACGCAGAATATTGAAAAGTGCACGGAGACTATTGAAAAGAACACGGAGACTATTGAAAAGAACACGGAGACTGTTGAAAAGTACACAGAAACTATTGAAAAGTACACTGAGACTATTGAAAAGAACACGGAGACTATTGAAAAGTACACGGAGACTATTGGAAAGTTCACGCAGACTGTTGAAAAGTACACGCAGACTGTTGAAAAGTAAACGGAGACTATTGAAAATTTCACGCAGACTGTTGAAAAGTTCACGCAGACTGTTGAAAAGTTCACGGAAACTATTGAAAAGAACACGGAGACTATTGAAAAGAACACGCAGACTGTTGAAAAGTACACGGAGACTGTTGAAAAGTACACGGAGACTATTGAAAAGTACACGGAGACTATTGAAAAGTTCACGGAGACTATTGAAAAGTACACGCAGACTATTGAAAAGTTCACGGAGACTATTGAAAAGTACACGCAGACTGTTGAAAAGTACACGGAGACTGTTGAAAAGTTCACGGAGACTACTGAAAAGTTCACGGAGACTATTGAAAAGTTCACGGAGACTATTGAAAAGTTCACGGCGACTACTGAAAAGTTCACGGAGACTATTGAAAAGTTCACGCAGACTGTTGAAAAGTACACGCAGACTGTTGAAAAGTTCACGGAAACTATTGAAAAGAACACGGAGACTATTGAAAAGAACACGCAGACTGTTGAAAAGTACACGGAGACTGTTGAAAAGTACACGGAGACTATTGAAAAGAACACGGAGACTATTGAAAAGAACACGGAGACTATTGAAAAGAACACGGAGACTGTTGAAAAGTACACGGAGACTATTGAAAAGAACACGGAGACTATTGAAAAGTTCACAGAAACTATTGAAAAGTACACTGAGACTATTGAAAAGTTCACGAAAAGCACACGGAAACTATTGAAAAGAACACGGAGACTATTGAAAAGTTCACGGCGACTACTGAAAAGTTCACGGAGACTATTGAAAAGTTCACGGAGACTATTGAAAAGTACACGCAGACTATTGAAAAGTACACGGAGACTATTGAAAAGCACACGGAAACTATTGAAAAGAACACGGAGACTATTGAAAAGTTCACGGCGACTACTGAAAAGTTCACGGAGACTATTGAAAAGTTCACGGAGACTATTGAAAAGTACACGGAGACTATTGAAAAGTACACGCAGACTATTGAAAAGTTCACGGAGACTATTGAAAAGTTCACGACGACTACTGAAAAGTTCACGGAGACTATTGAAAAGTTCACGGAGACTATTGAAAAGTACACGCAGACTATTGAAAAGTACACGGAGACTATTGAAAAGCACACGGAAACTATTGAAAAGAACACGGAGACTATTGAAAAGTTCACGGCGACTACTGAAAAGTTCACGGAGACTATTGAAAAGTACACGGAGACTATTGAAAAGAACACGGAGACTATTGAAAAGTACACGGAGACTATTGAAAAGTTCACGGAGACTATTGAAAAGTACACGGAGACTATTGAAAAGAACACGGAGACTATTGAAAAGAACACGGAGACTATTGAAAAGTTCACGGAGACTGTTGAAAAGCACACGGAAACTGTTGAAAAGAACACGGAGACTATTGAAAAGTTCACGGCGACTACTGAAAAGTTCACGGAGACTATTGAAAAGTACACGGAGACTATTGAAAAGTACACGCAGACTTTTGAAAAGAACACGGAGACTATTGAAAAGAACACGCAGACTGTTGAAAAGTACACGGAAACTATTGAAAAGCACACGGAAACTATTGAAAAGAACACGGAGACTATTGAAAAGTACACGGAGACTATTGAAAAGTACACGGAGACTATTGAAAAGTACACGGAGACTATTGAAAGTACACGGAGTTCACGGAGACTATTGAAAAGTTCACGGAGACTATTGAAAAGTTCACGGAGACTATTGAAAAGTTCACGGAGACTATTGAAAAGTTCACGGAGACTATTGAAAAGTACACGGAGACTATTGAAAAGTACACGGAGACTATTGAAAAGCACACGGAAACTATTGAAAAGAACACGGAGACTATTGAAAAGTTCACGCAGACTGTTGAAAAGTTCACGGAGAATTGAAAAGTACTATTGAAAAGTACTAACTATTGAAAAGTACACGGAGACTATTGAAAAGAACACGGAGACTATTGAAAAGTTCACGGAGACTACTGAAAAGTTCACGGCGACTACTGAAAAGTTCACGGAGACTATTGAAAAGTTCACGGCGACTACTGAAAAGTTCACGGAGACTATTGAAAAGTTCACGGAGACTATTGAAAAGTACACGGAGACTATTGAAAAGTTCACGCAGACTATTGAAAAGTACACGCAGACTATTGAAAAGTTCACGGAGACTATTGAAAAGTTCACGGAGACTATTGAAAAGTTCACGGAGACTATTGAAAAGAACACGCAGACTATTGAAAAGTTCACGGCGACTACTGAAAAGTTCACGGAGACTATTGAAAAGTTCACGGAGACTATTGAAAAGTACACGGAGACTATTGAAAAGTACACGGAGACTATTGAAAAGTTCACGGAGACTATTGAAAAGTTCACGGAGAAAAGTTCTATTGAAAAGTTCACGGAGACTATTGAAAAGTACACGGAGACTATTGAAAAGTTCACGGAGACTATTGAAAAGTTCACGGAGACTATTGAAAAGTGAAAAGTTCACGGAGACTACGGAGACTATTGAAAAGTTCACGGAGACTATTGAAAAGTTCACGGAGACTATTGAAAAGACTATTGAAAAGTACACGGAGACTATTGAAAAGAACACGGAGACTATTGAAAAGTTCACGGAGACTATTGAAAAGTACACGGAGACTATTGAAAAGAACACGGAGACTATTGAAAAGAACACGCAGACTGTTGAAAAGTACACGGAGACTATTGAAAAGAACACTGAGACTATTGAAAAGTACACGGAAACTATTGAAAAGAACACGGAGACTATTGAAAAGTTCACGGCGACTACTGAAAAGTTCACGGAGACTATTGAAAAGTTCACGGAGACTATTGAAAAGTACACGGAGACTATTGAAACGAACACGCAGACTGTTGAAAAGTACACGGAAACTATTGAAAAGTACACGGAGACTATTGGAAAGTTCACGCAGACTATTGAAAAGTACACGCAGACTATTGAAAAGTTCACGGAGACTATTGAAAAGTTCACGGAGACTATTGAAAAGTTCATGGAGACTATTGAAAAGTACACGAAGACTGTTGAAAAGTACACGAAAACTATTGAAAAGAACACGGAGACTATTGAAAAGTTCACGGCGACTACTGAAAAGTTCACGGAGACTATTGAAAAGTTCACGGAGACTATTGAAAAGTACACGGAGACTATTGAAAAGTTCACGGAGACTATTGAAAAGTTCACGGAGACTATTGAAAAGTACACGGAGACTATTGAAAAGTACACGGAGACTATTGAAAAGTACACGCAGACTATTGAAAAGTACACGGAGACTATTGAAAAGTTCACGCAGACTGTTGAAAAGTTCTATTGAAAAGTTCACGGAGACTATTGAAAAGTAAAAGTACACGGAGACTATTGAAAAGAACACGGACACTATTGAAAAGTTCACGGAGACTATTGAAAAGTTCACGGCGACTACTGAAAAGTTCACGGAGACTATTGAAAAGAACACGGAGACTGTTGAAAAGTATTGAAAAGTACACGGAGACTATTGAAAAGTACACTATTGAAAAGTTCAGACTATTGAAAAGTACACGGAGACTATTGAAAAGTACACGCAGACTGTTGAAAAGTAACGGAGACTATTGAAAAGTTCACGGAGACTATTGAAAAGTACACGGAGACTATTGAAAAGTACACGGAGACTATTGAAAAGCACACGGAAACTATTGAAAAGAACACGGAGACTATTGAAAAGTACACGGAGACTATTGAAAAGTACACGGAGACTATTGAAAAGTACACGGAGACTATTGAAAAGCACACGGAAACTATTGAAAAGAACACGGAAACTATTGAAAAGTACACGGAGACTATTGAAAAGAACACGCAGACTGTTGAAAAGTACACGGAAACTATTGAAAAGTACACGGAGACTATTGAAAAGTTCACGGAGACTATTGAAAAGTACACGGAGACTATTGAAAAGTACACGCAGACTATTGAAAAGTACACGCAGACTATTGAAAAGTACACGGAAACTATTGAAAAGAACACGGAGACTATTGAAAAGTACACGGAGACTATTGAAAAGTACACGGAGACTATTGGAAAGTTCACGCAGACTGTTGAAAAGTACACGCAGACTGTTGAAAAGTACACGGAGACTATTGAAAAGAACACGGAGACTGTTGAAAAGAACACGGAGACTATTGAAAAGAACACGGAGACTATTGAAAAGTACACGGAAACTATTGAAAAGTACACGGAAACTATTGAAAAGAACACGGAGACTATTGAAAAGAACACGCAGACTATTGAAAAGTTCACGGCGACTACTGAAAAGTTCACGGAGACTATTGAAAAGTACACGGAGACTATTGAAAAGTACACGGAGACTATTGAAAAGAACACGGAGACTATTGAAAAGTACACGGAGACTATTGAAAAGAACACGGAGACTATTGAAAAGAACACGGAGACTATTGAAAAGTTCACGGAAACTATTGAAAAGAACACGGAGACTATTGAAAAGAACACGGAGACTATTGAAAAGTTCACAGAAACAATTGAAAAGTACACTGAGACTATTGAAAAGAACACTGAGACTATTGAAAAGTTCACGGCGACTATTGAAAAGTACACGGAAACTATTGAAAAGAACACGCAGACTATTGAAAAGTACACGGAGACTATTGAAAAGTTCACAGAAACTATTGGAAAGTTCACGCAGACTGTTGAAAAGTACACGCAGACTATTGAAAAGTACACGGAGATTATTGAAAAGTACACGGAAACTTACATTTAGATACAAACTTAAGAGATAGATGCAATTGAGCGAAACAATTAAGCTGCATCATACATCTGTTTTGTTCTTCTAGGACTTGTCAATGATGTTAGGAGCCTAAATTTTGAAACCAAAGAGGCGCCATAAATGAAAGAATTATGTAATTTCCATATACCTGATTCTTTTAGGTCAAATTCAAGACTTAGAATTCGTAACTAACATCTCCGTCTATGTACTATGAATGTCACGTTCACAAATAAGAACAAAGTTAACAACAACAGAACCGCAAAGCATACTGACAAGTATCAAACATGTCCACCTTCACATGGAACAAAGAAATTATTTCTCAATGACGACCGTTAAACATCCCCATGATATTCATCCATCTGCATCTATCGAATCCTTATGCTATGAGTTTATCTGCAAAGCTTGAAGAGGTCCAAAGACCTATTACGGTGAGAAAATATTGAGACAAAGTTAAAGAGAACATTTAGCTTTGAATTATCAAGATTGGTGCCTGTCTGAAATAAACTATGACAAATAAACATGTCTTAGTCATACCATTATTTATTTATAAGTTTTTGTAAACAGAATAAACCTTACATTGTGTATAACGGCTTTGTTGTTTACAAATTTCATTTCATCATTTTCTTTGTCAATATGCATTGTGGTATAGTCAGTTTTACTTGATAATAGTAGACATAGACCGAAGCAGCATAAGTAAAGAAAGCGCATGTTTGACAATTTTGTTGTAAACAAACATAGTAACATACATTTCGATAATTCTGTATTCGATATAAGTTCGTACCTTTTGATATATCAAGAGGATAAAACGACAGATGGTTTTGCTTTTTAAGGAGCTGGTCAATCACGTGCCTTGTCTTTGAACAGTTTCCACTCCCGAGGTCAACCAACGTGTAGCAATTTTGGCTGTCCGGAACTATGTCCTTCAAGTAGATACAAGGTAATTTAGTTTTTTACGATATACAAAGAAAACTTCAAAATGAGGGACGGATTCCTTGCGAGAAAAGTATCTTGGAAGTAATTCAACCATCGTTTCATTTTATTCAAGTTTAAATGAAAACATGAAAAGAGGAAATGATAATAATAATGTGTGTGTGTGGGGGGGGACGAAAATATCATGGTTATAGTACTGTTCAATTTATTTTGTTGACATGTAATTTCACTGGTGTTATGCGGCCTTATTCAGAAATACTTTTTAAAGTTTATATTATGCATTGTTGTGAAATAGGGAAAAGAGCAATTTCTTATTTACATTTCTGAATAAAACAATATATGTATTTCTGTTAGTGTACGTGACATCCTTGAGCTTCGAGCATCGACAATCTGGAGATGGGGGTCCACTTCATACACTGTACACTATTGGATACGTGTAATATTAGGACATATACTTTACTTGTATATAAACATGAAATAATACCAATATGTTTAAATATCTCATGATAATAATCTAATCTAGATCGCCAGCATGCTGAGTTCTTATGTAACCTGTAAATGTGATTTCCTCTTATTCTTTTGATTACCTGTATGTGAATGACCTTGTGCAACATCTGTATGTGCATGACCTTGTGTAACTTACATTCATGTTATGATTTTTGTGAAACCTATCATGTGTAAACTACCTGTATGTTTATTACCTTGTTAGCTTCATGTATATCATGCATGTTATGACCTTTTGTAATTCACCTGTATCTGTATGGCCACGTGAAATTTTCCTGTATGTGTATACTATCATCTTGTGTTACCTACCTTAATGTGTATGTCTTCATGTAACTTACCTGTATGTGACCGTGGTTAAATTGCCTTTGTGTGTATAATCTCATATGAACAAGTTTCGTGTATGTATGTGAATTTGTGTAACATATCTGGATTAACAAAATGTATATGATATTGTGTATGTTTATGAGTAAGGTATGTATACAACTTTGTGTGTCTTATCTGTATGTGTATGAGTAAGGTATGTGTACAACTTTGTGTGTCTTACCTGTATGTGTATGAGTAAGGTATGTGTACAACTTTGAGTGTTTTACCTGTATGTGTATGAGTAAGGTATGTGTACAACTTTGTGTGTCTTACTTGTATGTGTATGAGTAAGGTATGTGTACAACTTTGTGTGTCTTACCTGTATGTGTATGAGTAAGGTATGTGTACAACTTTGTGTGTCTTACCTGTATGTGTATGAGTAAGGTATGTGTACAACTTTGTGTGTCTTACCTGTATGTGTATGAGTAAGGTTTGTGTACAACTTTGAGTGTCTTACCTGTATGTGTATGAGTAAGGTATGTGTACAACTTTGTGTGTCTTACCTGTATGTTGGCTTGTAGACAAGATACCATACATCGATACAGGTAGTAATCTTTGTTCTTTTCCGAATCTCTGCAGTCATGCTCTAATTCAGAGCCCAGTAAATCATATTTGTACCAAGTTGGAATGTATTTTGGACATGAATTCAATCCATTTATCAAACTCTGTTTTACAGCTTCAGTCATGTTTCTGAAATCGATGTTGAAACAAATGTGAGAAAACAACAATAAATGAGAATTAACAGGACGTATTTAAGTTTTTCTTATAAGTGCGCTTTTTAAGAATGTGATGTGATATATTTAATAATAATATCAGATTTTATTCCATTTGCCAACTCGAATCGACAAGCTGTGTTCTACAATGGGGTTCTTACGTCAACAACGATCCATCCTAAAGTTCGCTATGTATGCATAGCTAACACCGACCATTTATATTCACATGAGCGATTACTTATCATTCTGTGTTGAGATATGGGATTTGTTACCTTTCAGTATAAAAATACGCGATCATTCACCACTCTTTATTAAGATACTAGATCACGCACCATTCAGTATTACGATACATCGTCATCCACCAGACAGTATTATGATATGGGATTACTCACCATTTAGTATTTAGATATAGGACCGCCAACCATTTATTTTCACATTCGCGATCATTCACCATTCAGTATTTCGATACACCGTCACTCATTATTAATTCTTATGATACTCGATCACTCATAGATCAGTATTATGATACACGATTACACACCATTCATTAATAAGATACACAATTACTCATAGTTCAGTATTAAGATACATGATCAATTAACATGCAGTATGAAGATACACGATTACTCATCCATCATTCCGTATTAAAACACACGATAATTCATAGTTCAGTATTAAGACACACGATAATTCATAGTTCAGTATTAAAGACACACGATAATTCATAGTTCAGTATTAAAGACACACGATAATTCATAGTTCAGTATTAAAGACACACGATAATTCATAGTTCAGTATTAAAGACACACGATAATTCATAGTTCAGTATTAAAGACACACGATAATTCATAGTTCAGTATTAAAGACACACGATAATTCATAGTTCAGTATTAAAGACACACGATAATTCATAGTTCAGTATTAAGACACACGATAATTCATAGTTCAGTATTAAAGACACACGATAATTCATAGTTCAGTATTAAGACACACGATAATTCATAGTTCAGTATTAAGACACACGATAATTCATAGTTCAGTATTAAAGACACACGATAATTCATAGTTCAGTATTAAGACACACGATAATTCATAGTTCTGTATTAAGACACACGATCAATCAACATTCCTTATAAGACACGTTACCACTAATTATTAGTAAACAAAACGTTTGCCGTAATACATATTGCACACCACCAATAATGATCATGGAGAACGTGGTCAACTAACTTTAACACTTATCTCGATATGATAATGACAGACAACTTTTACGTTTCTAAACAGGAGGATTTCTTCTATCTTGGTGTGATCCCTAGTTTACACAGAAAAGTATATATCTATATCACGTAACAGGTAATTTTTAGACAATGCATTCGGATATCGCTTACATGTTGGAGTTCTCATGTGTTTAATGATCATGCAAGGATATTTTGTTTGGTTAGCAATGCTTGAGCGGGTATCTTAGTTTTCAACTCAAAGTCATACCTTTTTGGTTATATGTAATATTAAAAATCTATCGGTTAAATTTTATGTGTATATAAAGGAGGGGACGTAAAATTTAGCTTAATTAATATCCCTCTGATATTGGAAGCCATTCAAGGAAACAGATGCTGACCAGTTGTGAATGCAACTATGGCTTCCGTAAGACGTCTTCACTGATCACTCACCGTTCAGTATTAAGATATATGATCATTAACAATACAGTATTAAGATATGGGATTCCTCACCAGTCAGTTTTACGATACACGATCACTCATCACACAGTATTAAGATATATGATTGCTTACCATTGAGTATTAAGATACATCGTAACTCAACATTCAGTATTAAGATATACGATCAGTCATCATTGAGTATTAAGATATATGATCAATTATCATTGAGTATTAAGATATATGATCATTAACAATACAGTATTAATATATGTGATTCCTCACCAGTCAGTTTTACGATACACGATCACTCATCACACAGTATTAAGATATATGATTGCTTACCATTGAGTATTAAGATATATGGTTACTTACCATTGAGTACTGAGATATACCATTACTTACCATTGAGTATTAAGATGCACGATCAATCATCACACAGTATTAAGATATATGGTTACTTACCATTGAGTATTAAGATATATCATCACTCTTAGTTCAACACAAATATACACGATCGCGCATCACTCAGTATTAAGATATACGGTTACTTACCATTGAGTATTAAGATATATGGTTACTTACCATTGAGTATTAAGATATACGATTACTTACCATTGAGTATTAAGATATACCATTACTTACCATTGAGTATTAAGATATACGGTTACTTACCATTGAGTATTAAGATATATGGTTACTTACCATTGAGTATTAAGATATACGATTACTTACCATTGAGTATTAAGATATACCTTACCATTGAGTATTAAGATATTAAGATATATGGTTACTTACCATTGAGTATTAAGATATACGATTACTTACCATTGAGTATTAAGATACACGATCAATCAAGATTCCTTATTAAGATAAGTTACCACTAATCATTAGCAAACAAAACCTTTGCCGTAATACATATTGTACACCAATAATGATGATGGAGAACGTGGTCACCTACCTTTAACACTAATCTCGATATTATAATGACCGACAACTTTTACGTTTCTAAACAGGAGGATTTCTTCTATCTTGATGTGATCCCTTGTTTACACAGAATTGAAGAAGAGGCCGCGGATTTTTTTTTTTTTTTGAAACGACAGCGAAATATATTACAAATACCTGTAAACAGTTTGTGTTTTTCTTTACAGTTGGTATGCCATTTTATTCAATAAATTTTCCTATTTCAGTAGTCACATATTAAAGATTTAAGAAGTTTGATTAAAAGTAAAACATATATTTACATATTTATCACGCAACAGGTAGTTGTTAGACAATGCATTCGGATATCCCTTACATGTTGTAGTTCTCATGTGTCTAAAGGTCATGCAAGGATATTTTGTTTGGTTAGCAAAGCGAGAGCTGGTATAATAGATTTCAACTTAAAATCATACGTCTGTTAAATGTAATATTGAAAATTAATCAATTATATTTCATGTATACACACGATCAACCACTTGATTGTATGGGGGAAGGAGGGGCGTGAAATTTAGCTTAATAAAAGCCCTCTGATAGCCATTTGGGTCTCAAAATATGTCAAACAATATATCTTTTATTGCTTAAAATCTGTTAAGGAAACAGATGCTGACCAGTCGTGAATAATACTATGGCTTCCATGGGAGGCCTTCAAATATCACTCACCATTCAATGTTACGAATCTCGATCACTAAACATTCAGTATTAAGAAATAGGACCGCCAACCATTTATTTTCACATTCGCGATCATTCACCATTCAGTATTTCGATACACCGACACTCACCATTAATTCTTATGATACTCGATCACTCATAGATCAGTATTATGATACACGATTACTCACCATTCATTACTAAGACACACGATCACTCATAGTTCAACACAAAGATACGCGATCGCGCATCACTCAGTATTAAGATATACGATTACTTACCATTGAGTATTAAGATACACGATCAATCAACATTCCTTATTAAGATAAGTTACCACTAATCATTAGCAAACAAAACATTTGCCGTAATACATATTGTACACCAATAATGATGATGGAGAACGTGGTCACCTACCTTTAACACTAATCTCGATATTATAATGACCGACAACTTTTACGTTTCTAAACAGGAGGATTTCTTCTATCTTGATGTGATCCCTTGTTTACACAGAATTGAAGAAGAGGCCGCGGATTTTTTTTTTTTTTTTTTGAAACGACAGCGAAATATATTACAAATACCTGTAAACAGTTTGTGTTTTTCTTTACAGTTGGTATGCCATTTTATTCAATAAATTTTCCTATTTCAGTAGTCACATATTAAAGAATTAAGAAGTTTGATAAAAAAGTAAAATATATATTTACATATTTATCACGCAACAGGTAGTTGTTAGACAATGCATTCGGATATCCCTTACATGTTGTAGTTCTCATGTGTCTAAAGGTCATGCAAGGATATTTTGTTTGGTTAGCAATGCTTGAGCGGGTATAATAGATTTCAACTTAAAATCATACGTCTGTTAAATGTAATATTGAAAATTGATTAATTATATTTCATGTATACACACGATCAACCACTTGATTGTATGGGGGAAGGAGGGGCGTGAAATTTAGCTTAATAAAAGCCCTCTGATAGCCATTTGGGTCTCAAAATATGTCAAACAATATATCTTTTATTGCTTAAAATCTGTTAAGGAAACAGATGCTGACCAGTCGTGAATAATACTATGGCTTCCATGAGAGGTCTTCAAATACCGCTCACCATTCAATGTTACGATTCTCGATCACTAAACATTCAGTATTAAGATATAGGATTACTTACCATTCAGTATTAAGAAACGCGACCACCTCCCGTTCAGTATTAAGAAACACGATCACTTACCGTTCAGTTTTAAGATAAACGATCACTCACCATTCAGTATTGAAATACACGATCAATCACCATTGAGTATAAAGATTGGCGATCACTCATTATTCAATATCAAAATATGAGATCACTCACCAGTCAGTATCAAGATACATAAAAATGTACATGGTCACTCATTTGTCAGTATTAAGATACCGGGTCACTCACCAATTAAGTTTACAGACAGGGAAAAACGCACCATTCGGACCGAGATGATATATCATTGTTAATAGGAAGATCAACAATCACTACACTATTCCTTATTAAGATATGTTACCGCTCTCCATCAGCCAAACAACCTTTGCAGTAATACATACTGTGCATCAGTTGATTATAGAAAAGTAATCACCAACTTTTCACACCGGCTACTTACGCACCAGGATGATTTCTTCTATCTTGATAGAATCCCTTCTTTAGGCAGAATTGTAGAGGCCACGTAAGTCCTGCGCA